CGCAAGATCTCATTCCGTGGGGTCAAAATGATCACAAGAACGGTGAGCAAAAATCCCAGAACCACACGGGGGGACCTAGTGAATGACCTGCAGAGAGTTGGGACCAAAGTAACAAAGCCTACCATCAGTAACACACTACGCCGCCAGGGACTCAAATCCTGCAGTGCCAGACGTGTCTCCCTGCTTAAGCCAGTACATGTCCAGGCCCGTCTGAAGTTTGCTAGAGTGCATTTGGATGATCCAGAAGAGGATTGGGAGAATGTCATATGGTCAGATGAAACCAAAATAGAACTTTTTGGTAAAAACTCAACTCGTCGTGTTTGGAGGACAAAGAATGCTGAGTTGCATCCAAAGAACACCATACCTACTGTGAAGCATGGGGGTGGAAACATCATGCTTTGGGGCTGTTTTTCTGCAAAGGGACCAGGACGACTGATCCGTGTAAAGGAAAGAATGAATGGGGCCATGTATCGTGAGATTTTGAGTGAAAACCTCCTTCAATCAGCAAGGGCATTGAAGATGAAACGTGGCTGGGTCTTTCAGCATGACAATGATCCCAAACACACCGCCCGGGCAACGAAGGAGTGGCTTCGTAAGAAGCATTTCAAGGTCCTGGAGTGGCCTAGCCAGTCTCCAGATCTCAACCCCATAGAAAATCTTTGGAGGGAGTTGAAAGTCCGTGTTGCCCAGCGACAGCCCCAAAACATCACTGCTCTAGAGGAGATCTGCATGGAGGAATGGGCCAAAATACCAGCAACAGTGTGTGAAAACCTTGTGAAGACTTACAGAAAACGTTTGACCTGTGTCATTGCCAACAAAGGGTATATAACAAAGTATTGAGAAACTTTTGTTATTGACCAAATACTTATTTTCCACCATAATTTGCAAATAAATTCCTACAATGTGATTTTCTGGATTTTTATTCCTCATTTTGTCTGTCATAGTTGACGTGTACCTATGATGAAAATTACAGGCCTCTCTCATCTTTTTAAGTGGGAGAACTTGCACAATTGGTGGCTGACTAAATACTTTTTTTCCCCACTGTACATTGATGGAACTTACAATCTATCTGCAATATTAAAGCTGATCTACCCCCTAAAATAAAAAATACAAAAAAAGTGTATGACGCAGTAAATTAAAATATACATTCAAATGGACGCACAGTATGGGAAATGTGGATAGATTTCTAATGGTGATGTGGTACAGTAACAACACCTATAGTGGAGAATGACTAGGAAAGGAATGAGCTTTCAAATGAACAGCACAAAATGGATGTGTAATGTAGTTTCTATCTAACATGTCAGCTGATACTGTATGAGGCAGGTCTGATCTCCAATGCTCAGTGACTATAGGCGGGTTGGTTGTTTAGCAACAAAACCGACACGTGCGCAACTATGGGGCAGAACAGACAGGGTTGGCTTAAATTGTTGACAACATGTAAGCTATATTTCGTCTCCAATGTTTATTGAAATCATAAATAAATTTGCACAATGAGCACTTGTTGTCTCTCAAATACATTGTTACAATTGTTGGTTAGCTAGCTAGTGAATCTTAGCCATATTAGCATTGACATGAAATCAGTCAAAACACGATTCCCCACATGGTCAGTTTCTTGTCATTCTTGCTAGCAATCTGGCCATCCAGAATCACAATAACGCGCTGACTTCTGCCCCATGGAAGCCCTCACATCGTTTTTGTGACATTGTCAGATAACCCATCTACAGTGGGGAGAACAAGTATTTGATACACTGCCGATTTTGCAGGTTTTCCTACTTACAAAGCATGTAGAGGTCTGTAATTTTTATCATATGTACACTTCAACTGTGAGAGACGGAATCTAAAACAAAAATCCAGAAAATCACATTGTATGATTTTTAAGTAATTAATTTGCATTTTATTGCATGACATAAGTATTTGATCACCTACCAACCAGTAAGAATTATGGCTCTCACAGACCTGTTAGTTTTTCTTTAAGAAGCCCTCCTGTTCTCCACTCATTACCTGTATTAACTGCACCTGTTTGAACTCGTTACCTGTATAAAAGACACCTGTCCACACACTCAATCAAACAGACTCCAACCTCTCCACAATGGCCAAGACCAGAGAGCTGTGTAAGACATCAGGGATAAAATTGTAGACCTGCACAAGGCTGGGATGGGCTACAGGACAATAGGCAAGCAGCTTGGTGAGAAGGCAACAACTGTTGGCGCAATTATTAGAAAATGGAAGAAGTTCAAGATGACGGTCAATCACCCTCTGTCTGGGGCTCCATGCAAGATCTCACCTCATGGGGCATCAATGATCATGAGGAAGGTGAGGGATCAGCCCAGAACTACACGGCAGGACCTGGTCAATGACCTGAAGAGAGCTGGGACCACAGTCTCAAAGAAAACCATTAGTAACACACTACGCCGTCATGGATTAAAATCCTGCAGCGCACGCAAGGTCCCCCTGCTCAAGCCAGCGCATGTCCAGGCCCATCTGAAGTTTGCCAATGACCATCTGGATGATCCAGAGGAGGAATGGGAGAAGGTCATGTGGTCTGATGAGACAAAAATATAGCTTTTTGGTCTAAACTCCACTCGCCATGTTTGGAGGAAGAAGAAGGATGAGTACAACCGCAAGAACACCATCCCAACCGTGAAGCATGGAGGTGAAAACATCATTCTTTGGGGATGCTTTTCTGCAAAGGGGACAGGACGACTGCACCGTATTGAGGGGAGGATGGATGCGGCCATGTATCGCGAGATCTTGGCCGCATCCACAGATCACACAGCCAGGGCAACTAAGGAGTGGCTACGTAAGAAGCATCTCAAGGTCCTGGAGTGGCCTAGCCAGACTCCAGACCTGAACCCAATAGAAAATCTTTGGAGGGAGCTGAAAGTCCGTATTGCCCAGCGACAGCCCCGAAACCTGAAGGATCTGGAGAAGGTCTGTATGGAGGAGTGGGCCAAAATCCCTGCTGCAGTGTGTGCAAACCTGGTCAAGACCTACAGGAAACGTATGATCTCTGTAATTGCAAACAAAGGTTTCTGTACCAAATATTAAGTTCTGCTTTTCTGATGTATCAAATACTTATGTCATGCAATAAAATGCAAATTAATTACTTAAAAATCATACAATGTGATTTTCTGGATTTTTGTTTTAGATTCCGTCTCTCACAGTTGTGTACCTATGATAAAAATTACAGACCTCTACATGCTTTGTAAGTAGGAAAACCTGCAAAATCGGCAGTGTATCAAATACTTGTTCTCCCCACTGTATATGAGCCTCATTATCTAGGCTTCTCCTCTAGCAAGGAAACAAGCATGAATTAGACCCCATATTTGGTATTCACTTACTTGGATAGTTTAATGACTTTAGCATCTTCAAGCCCTCTCCCCCCTTTAGAGAGTTGAGCCCTCATGAATTAGTGAGCGAGTTTGCATAGCCAAGACGACGACAGGCTCTCCACATTTCAACTGAGCCGTCTTCATTCGCAGGGCCACTTAATTTGGCCTTTTTTCCCCTTCCTGTTTCTGTTTCTTTTTCCTGGGTAATAGAAACACTGACAAGACATTTCACTGAAATATTTAGCGAGGCGTGAAACTTAAATTACATTTCTGTAAGATGTAGTATGTGGATGGCATCTGTTTTCAGCGTTGGAATAAACTCATTTGGTGTAATATGGTCTTAGTTTGCAGCTTGACGGTTTTTGTTAGGGATATTAAAGGCTGTCCTGCTTCTCTTCCACAGAGCTTAGCCATGCAGCCGGTTTAAAATGCCCTGCAAACTGATGTGATGAAGGGTATAGTCTCTTGGCCGAGAATAGTGAGGCAGAGCGGGGCCTGAAATAGTCTCAGCTAAACTCTCCAAGGTGCCTTCGACCTTGATTTGAAATACCACTATGTGTGTGTGTGTAAGCAGCAACAGACAGTCGCTTCACACTAACAAACCATCTGCAGGTTATGTAGAGACAGGTTACTCACAGACACAGACAAGTGGAGGGTTTGGGCCAACATAATCAAAACCAGGAGGACAGCGGAGGGGAAGAGAAAATGAAAAAAAGGTTAGTGTCAAGGTGATGGTTAGGTGTCTGGGGGACTGGGGGACGACGATGACAGATACCGACAGAGAAAGAGGCCAGACATACCAAAAAATCCTGTAGATCTGTCTTCCATGTCCCACACCTCACTCCCACTCCCTCTCTCCATCTCTCCCACTCTTTCTCCATCTCTTTCCAACTCTCTCCCCCTCCGCCTCTCTCTTTCCTCCCTCCCTCCCTCCCTCCTACTGTATCTTCTCATCCATCCATCACTCATGGGGGGCTTATGGGATTGTGGGCATGCGTTGGACCGAGATGATTCCTCTCAATAGCAGCATTTCATGCTGTTTGTCAACAGTCAACAGTGCCCATGGGAACAGAGAGGTGTGTGCAGTGACTCAGAAATCAAGGAGGGTCAAGGCACTCTTCATTATATTAAAATGCCTTTATTGCAATGGCGTGTTGTTCAATAGAACAGATTCTAAAAAGCCGCTGATGCGTTTCGGAGTCATAGCCTTCGTCAGGGAGACAGTGATGAAGGATGATGCTCTAATTTTCTCCTCAGACATTTCATATTAATATTCCATAAATATATATTTTCCCACCTACTGTACCCTTTCCTCCCTACACACACACACATGCACGCGCACACACTTCTTAAACCTCTGCTCTCCCTCTCCGAGCGAGAGATAGAAATCTCTCTTCACGTCAAATACCCTCTTACTCTACTCTCTCCTCTCTCTCTCTCTCTCTCTCTCCCCTCTCTCCCTCTATCTCTCTCTCTTCTCTCCTCCCCTCTTTCTCTCTCCCCTCTCTCTCTCCTACTCTCTCTTCTCTCTCTCTCCCTCTTTCTCTTCCCTCTCTCTCATCTCCTCTCCTCTCTCCCTCTCTCTCACTCGTCTCTCTCGCTCCCTCTCTCTCTTCCTCTCTCTCCCTCTTTCTCTCCCTCTCTCTCACTCCGTCTCTCTCTCTCCCTCTGCAGGTCAGGACCGCAGTGAGACGGGGCTGATTAAGCGTTTCCGTGGTGATGGCGTGCGCTACAAGGCCAAGCTGATCGGGACTGATGAGGTGACAGCGGCACGCGGGGACAAGCTGGTGCCAAGACTCCATGATGAAACTCAAGGTGTGTGTGTGTGTGCGTGTGTGTCTGAGGAGAGGGCGGTGGTATTCAGGTGTAGAAGAAGAAGTGAATTCAGCCATCTCTATTGATGCGTCTTTGCAGGAGCCAGATGTAGTTACAAATCCATCTACAGAAGAGAGAATATGGATGGTTTTATTATGTCTCTTAAACCATAGTAGCATTACCGTACAGCCAGCAGGCAAAGCCATCTCCTGCTCTGATCCTCTCATATCAGATGTAGTTGCTCCTCATGTCCAATAACACAACAAGCAGGAGTTTTGTAGATCCATGCTGTGACCTGCCTACGACTCCCATATCCAGCAGTCACTGCCAGTTACAGTCAATGTTTTCAGGTTAATAAAGGCATGATATTATATAGACAGGCAAAAGAGGGGGATAGAGGGATGAAATGGAAGAGGGGAAGCGGTCTCTACTGAGCTCCCTCTCTAAGCTTGAGGACTTAATACACCAAATGGAGAAGCCGATTGCGGATTGACAATAGCCATAGACACCTCTCTCTCCTCTAGCTCTTTGTTTCCCACTTTGGAGAACAAACAGAGGGCGAGAGGGAGTTTGATGGTTGATGGTTTCCAAGTTTCTGTATTAATGGATGAGGCTCAGATCTTGAGGTTGAAAAGAGGGGAGAGGGGCGATATAGTGTACTGTTAGTGTACGAGGTCGCTCGCTCAACCCTCCTCAACGTGACCGGGGTTCCAGGGTTGTCAGACGTGTTCAGCATTCACGATGAGGTTCTGTCTTCTTTTCTCTTTTCACACAGCTTATTTACATGAAAGACATGTCAGGCTTGTGTTAATGAGGGAGGGTCGTGCCTCCATTTGAGTCTGAGAAACATGCAGGAAATGTTAATTGTTTTTGTAAAGAGAAAAAGGAGCTAAGATCCATGGGAAAATCTACTTGAAAGGCTCCATGGACGTGACAGAAGTGTTCCAGCGAGGTGAAGGCTAGGCTACGGTTGGTCAGCAGAATACGTTCAGTCAGAGAAACTTAAACTCGCTACATGGTAGTTTGGCGGCTTGTGTCACAAGGTGCAGGCAGCTGCAGCCTACTTAAGAAATCAGCCTCTTAAAAGCTGAACAATAAAAGACTCAGTGGTGAAAAAGAGAAACTCTGTTGAGAGAATGAAAGTTCAAAAATAGCAATATTAAAGAGCCTTCTGTCGTATTGCACCTTATATAACAGCTGTCACCCTCTTCCTTCCCTCTCCTCCCCTTATCCCCCTCTCCTCCTCCACCCTGTCATACTTACCTGAGCTGTGAGTCGATGGCATGCTGCTGTCTTTCACGCTGAGCGTATTTCCCTTCATCTCCCTGTGTCTCTTCCTCTCCTACAGGGAATGGCTTCGTCAGCGCGTTCCAAAGGAGAGCACAAGCAGAGAGTCTTCCTCACCATCTCCTTTGGAGGGATCAAGATTTACGACGAGAGATCAGGGGTGAGTGAGTAATGAGGCTCCACAGTGCAGCTGCGCAGCCAGGCCAACTGCGGTGAACCTTTTAGGACATCCAAAGGGCAGAGGCTAATACAAGTTAAATCACAGTCATGTAGAAGAAGGGCAGCCATCTTGTGTGCCTACCTGGCATATGGTGCAGTTGACATGACAGGGAATACAACAGAATACAACAGAAGTCTAGGCACTCTATTGGATAGATACTGTATAAGCATTATAGTAATAGTTTCACTAAGCCTTCTAATTTGCGAGGTGGCAATGTCACAATATTGCTTCCACCCATGCAATCCTTATTGGGAGTAGGGGCAAGGGGTTGATTTGGAATTTAGAATGAGTAAACTGCTTCGACTTAACATGGGCCTGGCCTAGTGTGCTGTATGATGGCTAATGTCTGATGATAAATACCTGTCTACTGTAATGACAGTGTGTATGTGAGGGATGTGATGTTATCCCCCTCCTCCCCTCCATGCTATGAGACAATCTGCCTCCCCTCTCCATTTCATTCCCCCCCACCCCTCCTCCCCTGAGGGCCCAGATGCCTGCTGTTCCATTGCAGGATGATAGAGGGGTTCCTCCTCCCCCCAGCCCTCCCAGCCCCCCCTACCCACCATCCTGAGGCTCTCTGCTCATCACCGCTATCCACTAGGCTAATTATCCCACAGTTCCAACCCTAATCATCATCACTGCTAACTGCTAGCCTAACTGCCCCATAGCTCCACCTCAACTGTCATTAAAGGGGGAAAAATATCATTAATTACTCAATATTGTTACTGTATAGACCCGCTCCTCATCGTTTGATATTTGATGACTTCCCTTTTTATTTGGTTGGATAGTGGCGCCACCTGCCAATTGCCGCCAGCCCTTTCATTTATCAACAACAGCTATATAATAACCCTCATAGCCCCATAGTGTGTGGGTGTGTGTGTGTGTGTGTGTGTGTGTGTATGCCCTACCCCCTGACGCTCATCACCGCTGGCGTCTTCTGTAATTTTGTTTGAGAATCATCGTTCCCCCAATGCTCTTTCATTTTATAAACGGATTACCCCAACAGCACTTCATTTCCCCAACAATCATTATGGTAAAATATGGGGCTTATTCAGCAGGACGCAGCGTTGCAGAACGTTCAGATAGAAATGTGTAATGTAGCAATGTACTGTCATCTAGACTATAGAACAGTGTCAGCTCTAGTACGATATAATTCTCTCTACTACGTTCTTATCATTACACCCCACTGAAGAAGCCCTGGGTAATTTCTTAGTAGCTCCTCCCCATTGCTCAAAGCTTATCAATGATATTAGTGGAGCAGCAGGTGGGAGTAGATGAGTGACAGCCCAACTACTGTGTGTGTGTGTGTGTGTGTGTGTGTGTGTGTGTGTGTGTGTGTGTGTGTGTGTATGTGTGTGTGTGTGTGTGTGTGTGTCTCCATGCACATGCGTGAATATATGTGTTAGTGTTAGTTGTACTTTTGCCCTTGGTGTTCAGCGCTGCCCTGTGGATGCACCATGCTCTGTTAACAATGCATATTTTGGCATATTGCACAATACACAAGAACAACATCCCCCCAGGTTAGAAAAATCTTCCAAATAAGTGAAAATGGGTTGTGTGTGTGGTGTCTGATCTGCACGCACACACACACACGCACACACACACACACACACACACATCCTGATCTGCTGTTATTCATGCAGTAAATGTGCTGCGTCTCCTATTCCAACTGTGAGAGCTGGAAATGAGGAAAGAAAGGGAACAATGGTAAAAGTGGCAGTTATCCCTGTCAACAGTAAGACAAAGAGAGAATAACCCATTTCCATCTGCCTTCCTTCGTTCCCTGCTGCGGTGTATCTGGAGCACCATATTGCCATAGTATTAGAATGAGTAAGTAGCTGTAGCCTACTTACGCTGAACTCCCAGTTCACTCCCTCATTTTGGAACAAAGCATTCTTTCATGAATTCATGAAATTCATAGAAATGCATTGAATAGAGCCGGGAGTTCAGGGTCTAACTAAATGATAAAATCAGGACCTTGGCCCTACAGTATCCAACATGAGTCTCCAAACCCAGTGGCGGCTCCTGAAAAAATTCTCAGGGGGGGCAATTTTTCTGATGATTTAGGTGACCTACACACATTTTTAAAAAGATATGTCCAGCAACAACATGAAGACAGGGGCAGCATATAAGTCAATACCAGAAGCATTTATTGACTGATCTCAAAAGTGTTGGCTTACAAAATCAAAATAAGTTATCAGAGTAAAAATAATCAAGGGTGTTCTTTCACATTCCTCAACACTGCATAAACAATATGCATTTCCATAAACAAATGAAATATCAGCTGAAAATACAGCATCTTGGTATTTGTTCAGATTGCAGGATCAACAAGAGCTTTTACCACATTTCTTGCCTCATGGTTGAATTGGAAATATGTGCACCTGAGCATAATTCACAACAAGCAATCAGGAGCTTTTGATAGAGGCTACTGAAAACATTGATGCAAGTTATTGGTAATAAGACATTTTTATAGACTTCCATATTCTGCCCTCTTGTATAGATTTGTGAAAATGAACAGTGATAGACATTTTGCCTGAAAACAGAATTTGAAAGTAATTTCTAGAAAAGGTAAACACAGCTATCTGTATGGCTTTGTAAAAATGAACAACCATATTCTGGCCAATTGTATAGATTTGTAAATATGAACAACCATATTCTGGCCAATTGTATAGATTTGTAAAAATGAACAGATTATTTTTTTAAAAACTTTTTTTTAAATGAAAAATAACTATTTTAAACAACATCAACTGTGAACTGATTTGGGCGTGTGTGTGTTAAAGAGACAGACAGGGAGGGACAAAGAGAGAGAGAGGCTACATTACTTGTACTGAAACTGTTCTCTTCTCTGTTTCAATACAGCAAAGCGTTCAATGACTTTCTCATTGAAATCAGGCATGCTGAGGACTAGTTCCCTCTCCATGGAAAGCATGGCCAGTGCATTCAGACGTTCCTGGCCCATTGAATTTCGCAGGAATGTCTTAACTCGTGTCAAAGTTGAGAAACATCTCTCAGCTTCAGCTGTTGTCATGGGAGTAGTTATGAGGATGTTCAACAGAGTCACAGTCTCAGAGAACGTCTCCTGGAGGTTGTAGCTCATGAGAACCTGGTACAGTGCCAGTGCACCACAGCATCCCTTGAATTCAGGATTCTCATAGATCAGAGATAGTTCTGTCTTGAGCTTTGCCTTGCTCAGCATGGGGTATGCATTCACAGTGGCATTCAGAGCCTCATCAGGAAATGAATGGCAGTACCTTTCAAACATGTCTGCTTGCAGTAAGGTAGCACTCACAAGGTGGCCAGAGAAAGAGAACCTTTCTTTGGTGTGATCCAGGATGGTGTTGCAGACCTCTTCAGACAGCCTCTGCTTCTCCTCTTCTCTCAAAGCTGTTCTGGGTCTTTTGGCTCCTGTTGCTTCTTGCAGCTGCTGTTGAGAGGAGTCCCTGAAGGCAAACAGACCAATGTGTTTGTTGGCTTTGTACAGTATTGTTGTCTATGTGATGCACAGGTATATGCAATGTATCCATGTATAGTACAAATACTTCAGTTCCACTTAAAATGGGCAGGGATGCATAAAGTCTTTAGTGTTTAAGTTAGCCTTTGTGTCTCACATAGCCTGGATGTTCAGCACAGTATACAGTGGTGCTCATAAGCTTATGATCCCATGCTAAAGTTGACTAAAAAGAGGAATAAAAAAGAAAATAAAATTGGTGTCCTTAAAGGTTGGATTTTCCAACTTTTTTAATTAAGTCATTAAGATCAATTTCCAAAAGATGATTTTTTTATTTTTGTATTCCTCTTTTTAGTCAACTTTAGAATGTGTTCATACACTTATGAGCACCACTGTACAGTACACATAGTATATAAAATAAACTAGATTACACCACTGGCCATATATAATGAGAATAATGTAATTTCAAACACAAATGCAGTCTCCTTTCATGCATACATTTTCAAATAAAGCTCTGCTTTGAGAAAGATCGAATGATATTGTTTAATCTTACCTTATGGCCTGCACACTGCTTGTGAAGCTGTCGAGGGCACGTTTGATAAAGACAGCATCGATGTCCTTCTTCTGTAGCTTCTGGTACAGAATGTCGACGTGGGGCATGATTTTGTGAAAAAGCCGCAGGAAAAAAATAAAATCTTCATCATGTAGCATCCTCACGTAGCCAGATGCCTCTCTCACGGTGGGCTGGTCAAATGAACCCAATGAACCCGTCCGAATGGCTTCAAAACATTCTATGAGGTCGTCTCGATTCTCGTAGACAGTGTTCACGACTCTGCTTAGTAGAAACCTGTTGAATTATTAAATTTGGTCTGGGAGGTCCTAATTGTTTCGTTGCCAATTTATCTTGATTTGTTCGCCGACAAAAAGGAACTTCTTTCAAAGAGACAATCGAGTTGCACTGAAGGCTAGCCATTTTGACAGTAGTAGTGAATTGATTGATGAGGCTACCCGCTCTTTTCTTAGTTACGTGCATGGTTATGTTACGTATGACGAAAGCGCGTAAGTGCAAGCCCTCAGAAACCCATAGAGATTGTATTGAAAGCTCTGATATTTGAAAAAAATTGATTTTACATTAGAGGCTATGAGAGACTTCTGGGCGATTTTCAACCTGACTGAAATCGCCCCAAAACGGGCGGGGACATTTGAAGCACGACTTTAGCCTGATTGGACATTTAGTGGCAGATCAGACGTCTAGATTAGAACACTGATAACTACTGTTGCCGTGATATAATTGATTAGAAAAAAAAAACCTTCCTTTTCCCGTTTGGCAGTGCGTCGCCCATATCGCCCTAATGAACACACCGCCCCTGTCCAAACCCCTCCATTTTGTATGGTTCATTTCCTGCTTCGGATCTGTCACTTCCTCCTGTTTCTCAGATCTCCTACATTACTTCCTACCCCTAACTTATGTCACCTCCTCCATGTGTGTTTTCAGGTTCTGCTGCATCACCACTCAGTGCATGAGATCTCCTATATCGCCAAGGATACCCGGGACCACCGGGCCTTCGGCTACGTCTGTGGGAAGGAGGGACACCACAGGTTCGTGGCCATCAAGTCTGGCCAGTCGGTGAGTACCGTACCTGAGATCATAACCTACCCTGGTTGTAGGGACTCAACTCAAGTACCAGGAATGAGGTGTATATTGGTATTAGTCAGGAATAACATTACAACCCAAGTCAACACATTTAGAATACAATATGAACAGGGACAGACTGACCATAGAGCAATTCTGGCAAATGCTAAAGCCAAAAAGAGTTGACCTGCCAGTCCATCTGCAAATCTGTGGGTCAAAACCACCAGAAATATGCAATAAATATGCAATAAAACTGAATGTTATCAGAAATGTTTAAAAACACTTAAAAATAATTAAATATGTACATATTTACAGGAGCTCTCTGCTTAGGCTGCTACTAGGTGCGCCATGTGACCAGTGTAGCAAATGTGATCTTTGCTCTCTCTTGCGTTGTGTAATAAAGGAAAAGCCAGCCAATGGTCCCAGTTGATAATATACAGTGGGGGAAAAAATTATTTAGTCAGCCACCAATTGTGCAAGTTCTCCCACTTAAAAAGATGAGAGAGGCCTGTAATTTTCATCATAGGTACACGTCAACTATGACAGACAAATTGAGAGAAAAAAAATCCAGAAAATCACATTGTAGGATTTTTTATGAATTTATTTGCAAATTATGGTGGAAAATAAGTATTTGGTCACCTACAAACAAGCAAGATTTCTGGCTCTCACAGACCTGTAACTTCTTCTTTAAGAGGCTCCTCTGTCCTCCACTCGTTACCTGTATTAATGGCACCTGTTTGAACTTGTTATCAGTATAAAAGACACCTGTCCACAACCTCAAACAGTCACACTCCAAACTCCACTATGGCCAAGACCAAAGAGCTGTCAAAGGACACCAGAAACAAAATTGTAGACCTGCACCAGGCTGGGAAGACTGAATATGCAATAGGTAAGCAGCTTGGTTTGAAGAAATCAACTGTGGGAGCAATTATTAGGAAATGGAAGACATACAAGACCACTGATAATCTCCCTCGATCTGGGGCTCCACGCAAGATCTCACCCCGTGGGGTCAAAATGATCACAAGAACGGTGAGCAAAAATCCCAGAACCACACGGGGGGACCTAGTGAATGACCTGCAGAGAGCTGGGACCAAAGTAACAAAGCCTACCATCAGTAACACACTACGCCGCCAGGGACTCAAATCCTGCAGTGCCAGACGTGTCCCCCTGCTTAAGCCAGTACATGTCCAGGCCCGTCTGAAGTTTGCTAGAGTGCATTTGGATGATCCAGAAGAGGATTGGGAGAATGTCATATGGTCAGATGAAACCAAAATATAACTTTTTGGTAAAAAACTCAACTCGTCGTGTTTGGAGGACAAAGAATGCTGAGTTGCATCCAAAGAACACCATACCTACTGTGAAGCATGGGGGTGGAAACATCATGCTTTGGGGCTGTTTTTCTGCAAAGGGACCAGGACGACTGATCCGTGTAAAGGAAAGAATGAATGGGGCCATGTATCGTGTGATTTTGAGTGAAAACCTCCTTCCATCAGCAAGGGCATTGAAGATGAAACGTGGCTGGGTCTTTCAGCATGACAATGATCCCAAACACACCGCCCGGGCAACGAAGGAGTGGCTTCGTAAGAAGCATTTCAAGGTCCTGGAGTGGCCTAGCCAGTCTTCAGATCTCAACCCCATAGAAAATCTTTGGAGGGAGTTGAAAGTCTGTGTTGCCCAGCGACAGCCCCAAAACATCACTGCTCTAGAGGAGATCTGCATGGAGGAATGGGCCAAAATACCAGCAACAGTGTGTGAAAACCTTGTGAAGACTTACAGAAAACGTTTGACCTGTGTCATTGCCAACAAAGGGTATATAACAAAGTATTGAGAGACTTTTGTTATTGAACAAATACTTATTTTCCACCATAATTTGCAAATAAATTCATTAAAAATCCTACAATGTGATTTTCTGGATTTTTTTTCTCATTTTGTCTGTCATAATTGACGTGTACCTATGATGAAAATTACAGGCCTCTCTCATCTTTTTAAGTGGGAGAACTTGCACAATTGGTGGCTGACTAAATACTTTTTTCCCCCACTGTATTTATAAATAGCACATTCAATTTGCAGGGCTCAATGCTCTTGATGGCTGTAGATAGCTGCAGATAACAACAACTCTGTATTAGCAGGGAGCTAATATGATCCGTGTGCGGTTCGTTCAATCAATATCCGAACTTAAACAACTAAGACGGATAATCATTTCGACTGCTTTAATTAATTTTTCTTATTTCACATGTCAGTTGGTAACCAGTTTATAATAGCAATAAGGCTTTGTGGTATATTCCGCTTCACGTAGTGCTTAAGAACAACCCTTAGCCATGGTATATTGGCCACACCCCGTCGGGCCTTATTGCTTAAGTGTACAACATGTGTGTCACCTTGTAAGATGATGACGGTGTGTCCTCCTCTTCACCCCCCTCACTCTCCCCCCCCCCCCCCCCCCCCCCCCCCTCTCTCTCTCTCTCTCTCTCTCTTTCTGTCTCTCTCCCTCCCTCTCTCCGTCCTTCCCTCCCAGGCGGAGCCACTGATCATTGACCTGCGTGACCTCTTCACGCTCATCTATGACATCAAGCAGCGAGAGGAGATGGAGAAGAAGTTCCAGAAGGACAAGCAGTGTGAGCAGGCCGTCTACCAGGTAAACAACAACAACACAACTGTTACCATGGCAGTTATGCATCACAATAACACGTTGGCCATTTGAGTGTACCCATGAGTGTAGTCTACCAGGGAAATTGCTGTGGACAATACTGTCCAGGCTTTGTCTGTTCTAGTGATTCTAATTCTATGACCAGAGAACACTTCCTGTTCTTTCACTGTTCAATAGAGCTCTTTTCAACCTTCAACCACTCCACTGTGAGATCACACTGCATATAATATAAATGAGGATTGTTCATTGAAACAATTGAATGTGAACGCTTTCAAGAGAGAGACTGCAATACAAATTATTTTAGTGTTTTGAAGGACTTTTGCTATACTATACAGATGTTTTATGCTGAAACATGACTCCATGCATCAGAAGAGTCCCATCAATGTAAAAGGCCTAATGTAATGTATAGCTGTGTCCACAAGGGAAGGAATGATTATGTGGGAAATGTTACTGGACTGTACAGTCATTTAGACAAACGTGTATATTCCCCCTTAGACCCAGCAATTCCTTTTTGTCCTCTCTAATGGACATTAGTTTTTGGTCTGTATTTCTAAGGGCATACATGCCACTGTGTGAGGTCCTGTTGTTCCTTTGAGAGGACATTCTTAGCGTTTCAATGACATCACATGTGTGTGTGTCACCTTGATATTTCTTTCTGGTTCTTCAAAATGAACAATTACACAATTAGTTTGATATTCAGATTGTTTCTAATAGGTAAATATCTCAGGAATAGTTTTCAAAGCAGTGTAATATATTTATTTTACATTAAATAAGAGCTAAATAAGAGCTTGTTAATAAATGTTCTCTGTAGTCGACATCAAGATGCTCTAACTATGTTTTTTACCTACTGTCCCAATTTACTGTAATGTTAAATGTATCATATTTACTATCAACCGAGTCCTAATGGACACTACACTGCACATACAATAATAAATGAATACAAATATTTTTTCACTTTTGTTTCTTTCTAACACGTTTTTTTTCCCCCCAAACAAAAAAAGAATAATTCCAAAACCTTTTTTTTGCTGGGTCTCAGGAGGATAAAAATAGATGAAGAGGCGCTCTCTTCTGAGTTCCTAATAAGATAGGCCTCTTTTCCCCCAAGCCAATGGCTAATTGCTCACACCTGATGTCCTAGCATGCTCTTGCTCTGTTCTTCTATCTGTTATTCTATCTCTTGTTTTATCTGTTATTCTGTCTGTTATTCTGTCTGTTATTCTGTCTGTTATTCTATCTGTTATTCTATTTGTCTCTCTATGTTCTTGCTCTGTTCTTCTCTCTGTCCGTCTTCTACTTGTTATGTAAAACGTTCCTTCTCTTCAACCATCACACAGACCATTCTGGAGGACGAGGTGGATGATCCAGTTTACCAGGTAAGTTGCCACAAAACATCAACACAGCCAATCCGAACTAGCGATGGAACCTCATGTGACCTTTACTCTCTAGCTTCTACTGACACCATTGTTTTCAGGTGATTCATTCTATAGAATAAAAAAACAATTAATCCTTAATGTAAATATCTGCCGCTGATCTGCTTGAATGAATGATTCATGATATCCAAACCATCCCAGTAATACGCAGTAGACCAACCATCATAGTAGAAGGTTTGTTCAACCATTTGACTCTTCCATTGCCAGTGCAGTGTTGTAAAACCATATATTTTCAGTTGATCTGTGTATATGTTCTGATTTTCTTCTAAAGACCTATCTGACCCTGACTGGTTGTTCTCCCCTCTTGCTTTTGGCTGAAACTGGAACCTGATACTCTACTCTGTTGCTCACACTGAATACAGACAACACTAACCCTTACTCTGAATACTTATGTTCAGTGGTTATGCCCCAACCCCTTCAAAACATTTCTAATGTTTGCCCCTTTAGCTTTTACTACAACTGTATGCCCCCAAAAAACATTTAATTTGCAATTCTGTGGTAGCATTGCCTGTTTTTGTTTGTTTTGTTTTGAATACAAGAGTCCAATGACTATTGGGCAGAATCCTAACTTGAGATCTGGGCGTGTAACAAATTCAGACTTTCGTGTAAATCAACTAAGTTACAAGCGTGGATCTCAAATCAGGATTAGGCCCTCTGTGTCTACGTGGTAGTGGAGATGGAGAGCAGTGTTCTGCTGAAGTTTGTGAAGGGAGAGCAGAACTCTTAGACCTCTACAGTACCTGTTACCACTGCCTGACCAATTACTGTACTCTCTCCTCTTCCTTCTTCACTCTATATTCTCTCTCTCTCTCTCTCTCTCTCTCTCTCCTCTCTCTCTCTCTCTCTTCTCTCACTCTCTCTCTCTCTCCCTCTCTCTCTCTCTCTTTCTTTCTTTCTTTCTTTCCCTGTTTCTCTCTCTCTCAATGTTTTTCTCTCTCTCTGTCCCTCAATCTTTCTCTCAATCTCTTTCTTTCATTCATTCTTTCTCTCTCTCTCTCTCTCTCTCTCTCTCTCTCTGTCTCTCTCTCTCTCTCGCTCTCTCGCTCTCTCTCTCCATCTATCCCGTCATCCTCCATCCCTATTGGCCCAACCTACTTCCTTTGTTGTAGTACATTGTGTTTGAGGCTGGACATGAGCCCCTCCATGGCCACCAATCAGAGGAGAGCGTTTACCAGGTACAATACCAAGCCCCACCTCTTCCTTACCTTTTGTAGAGTAGTCAACCCAGAGCATTGTGTTACAATAGAATATGTATGTTTGTTAGAGAGCAGAGCAGAGCAGTACACTCTAGATATTGATTTTTTAAAATACTATACTCACATCATTCCTAATGTAAATTATGAATAACATCTCAAATCTACAGTTCAGTGAAGTGCAGTCAAGGCCAGTTATTTTGACAGACCAATTCATCCAGGCTTCTCTAGAGTCTATGTGGGCTCCCTGCAGACATCCAGAGGTTTGACCTTCCCGTTCAGTTCAAGGGACCAAGAGCAGCCTCTAGGAACCTAGAATGTGATTTAATCGGCCCCCCCTCCCCCCTCAACCCCCTCCCTCTCCCCCAAGAAAACAACCCCCACCCTAGCGAACCACCCCTCACCCCCCCCCTCCCCTCACCCCCGCGCCCCACCTCCCTCTCCCAGCGAAGAACCCTCACCCCGACACTCAACCCGCAAAAACAACGAAGGAAGAAAACGACACGAAAAAAAAAACGAAAAAAAGAAAAGAAGACCCGCAAGAAAAGAACAAGAACTAGCAGGAAACGCATCGCCCCCCTCCACCATCCCCATCCTCTTCGGGCTTAAACTCCTGCCTCCCTCGTCTCCCTTTGCCCCCTCTCCTCCCCCTCCTTCTCCCCCTATCCTCATCCTCTCCCTCCCTCCTCCCTCCTCCCTCCTCCCTCCTCCCTCCTCCTCTCCCTCGCCTCTCTGAAGATGTAAGATGCATAGAGATTAATCACTTGCTATACCATTTGATCTCCAAATGAAACAAGATCAATAGACAAGAAGAAATTGCAGCCCAACGCCAAGTTAGACAGCCGAAAGAGAGAAAGGAAGGCCATATTGTTGAATACGGTTAATAGATGAATGTGAGGAAAATATACAAAAGAGAGGAGAGGAGAGGGCAGGACACAATCCTGTGTCGTCAGTTTCCATAGATTTAAACCTCTTGTTGAACATTGTACAAATGGAGAAAAACAATTGTGTGATCTTAATGTCCAAACAAAGAAGTAGCATGCACAATCTTACAGCATTGCTTACAATCAATATTGATTTAAGTAGAATTGATTCGAGAGCGGTACAACTGTCAAATTTTATTTGCATAACATTGCTTTTAAACCAGACCACAATATCACCATTTGTAGTCTAGAGACCCATTCTGAAATGATGACAGAGCAGTAGCTTTGAGACACTGCAGTAGAAAATATTCATTTTGTAATAAATAAGCTAAAATGGTGTTGCTCACTGTATTGTTTTATTTTGACCGGACCTCCAACGCAGGTCCCTACCGCTACCAGTCAGCAGAAGGGAGAAGGGATCTATGACGTCCCAAAACGCCATTTTATGACTGTAGGTGTTTTGTTTTTGTTTTTTGTTTTGTCCACTCCCCCCACTGGCAAACCTCTCTGTCTCTCTCAATGGAAAACCTCCCCTCTTCTTTAGTTTCCATTTATGAACCACTGTCTGTGTGACCACTGTTATACACAGTACACACCATCAAACTGGTTTAGACTGGTTATCATCACTGTGCGTCTAGGTCATGGTTGCCTGCCTGTGCACTAACTATCTGATATTGATTTTCCTGGCCAAGGAATTATATACAGAAATATAATCTATTGCTTTGGAATGATCAACCATGGGGTCTTAGACACTTCTAGAGTTATGATGATACAATGATATTCATGATTTATGCATAACCTGCCCCAACAGATTCATTATGTGTCCATCAAGCTTGGATGTTGCACCAGCTAGAGATGGAGTCTTTGCTTCAAATCCTCCACACAATTTAAAATATGACTAGGAGGACTATTTGACATTGAAGAAGCGTAATGTCTTAAAGACTAAATGTTTTTTGTCATTTCCAGTCTTAGTTGAATAGTGGGTTGTTCCATCTTCCTGGGAGGTGAATATGAGAGGTTTGCTGGTGGAGTTGCTGTTTGTTTGGTGGAGCTGCATGCAGACAGGCAGAGTGGTCTCCTAGGTTACCACCCCACTCATAAAAACACTGTACCTGTATGCAGAGCAAATATATATATATATTTTTTTACAGCAGATTAATTTCTGACCACAAAAAATAGACAGGTCATGGATTCACTTTTAGTTTTTTTTCCATCCTGTTAGTTGTTATGAGCTTTCACAGTGTCAGATGCAATAGTTAGTCGTTCTTCTCCAAACCATCATCCAAACATTTATTTAAAGCTGGAATCCTTAATGGGGAAACTTCCACGTCCGTTTGTGATTTTACAACAACAAAGGAGTTACTGTAAACAACAAACAGTTTTTTCCCCTCTGACATCATTGCACATCTGATAGAACAGCACAGTATGTACCAAAACATTGTTGTACCATGCTGCTCAAAGCTCCTCAGCTGGGCAACAAAAACAATAACAACGGTGGTGGAGCAGCCAGTGGTTTCCCTATACTGCAGGATTCCATCTTTAAGCCTATTGGTCAAGACATTTACATGGAAACAGAAAAACACTTACAAACCCTAGAAGAGAGTGTGCTTTCTTTTTCCCTTTGCTTTCTTTCTGTGCTGATAGTTCAGCAGCATATCAACTAGATATGGTAGCTACACTGTCACCCCGCTATCTCTCCCCAACACACATCATGCTAGCTGGTGTTGTATGAATAGCTGCCGACGCTGCCTCCATATCTCTAAGAGTTACTGCTTGTCTGTTCATTCAGTTGGAGCTTTACTGAGAGCCTAGATCCCCCGGCCCTAGCCTGACATGTTCAAGTTCAAGTTTGTTTGTCGTATGTGCACGATACACAAATGAACTTGACCTTGAACGTGTGTGTCACTCTGCCTGCCTGCCAGTCTGCCTGAGGGGAACTATAACCACACTACCTTACAGACACCTGCCTCAGCCCCCTTAAGGTTAAATAAGACTGTCAGACCAGTACATCATGTATAACAACAATATGGTACAATGTATGTACTGTATATGATTGGATTCCTCCACACAATTCAAAGAGGGCAAAGACAATGTTATGTTACCCCCCCCCCCCCCACACACACACACACTGATTGCTGTTTTCCCCTCATTTTCTCTCTTCTTTGGGTGTGTGTGTCTTTATTTCTTGCATGCAAATCCTGTGTGTGTTGCCGTGGTGATACATTGTCTGCTTGTGCATGGCGCCTGCAGTCTATGACATACTGTACATGTCATGTGACTTACCCATTTCATAGTCTGGTTGTAGAACCCATGTCCTTCCTCCCTACCTCCTCTGTATTGTGATTGTACTGTTAGAGCGCTGAATGTAAATGGCCAGGGGGGTGAGACGTAGTAGTCGGAACGGTCACGTCTGCAATATGGGTCAGGTGGTTATATTGTCTCGGTGGGGGAAAATGGTGGGCTCAAAAAACACATGTATAAAGCCTGAATCCTAATGATATAATATTATCTTGTGTTTGAGAGGAATCACAATGGTAATGCATTGTGGGACTTCAGGGGCTGATTTGATTGGCAGAGATGGACATAGGAATATCTAATCAGCGTTCGTTAGATTGGACTGAATAACCCTTTTACCCAGCCAATTACAGAGCACCATGAGAGATTAGTTTAAGATCCATTTTCTGATAATGAAATGAGAGGAAAGAAGAGCTAGATGTTTCTAACCAGCTACAGTACAATTCTCTTTGTGAATAGAACCCACGTCTCCCCCACCTACCCATCACACACACACACACACACACACAGGAGCACAGGAGCACAGGAACACACACACACACGCAGGAACCTAGGAACACATACACACACACAAACACACATAGCCACCCTACCCTGTTATAGATTAGTAGAATGTGTTATTATGACAAAGCAGATCTGGCTTTTGTTTTGTTGTGAAATGTCACTGTTCTCTTTCTCTGTCCCTGTTCCTTCATCCCTGCACAGAACATTAACCATTTTGATATTTTCGGAGACATGTCCACTCCACCCTCGGTGAGTAACTGACCTTCCCATTCAAAATAATGTTGCATTAAGAATGATTTGTTGTGATTAGACTAATACAAATGCTGTTCACTACAGGATGGCTCAAGTAAATAGATTGCAGGACCTCTATTCAAAGTAAATAGATTGCAGGACCTCTATTCAAAGTAAATAGATTGCAGGACCTCTATTCAAAGAAATAGTAATAATGATCCCAGTGAAATAATAGGTGCCTGGTTTAGACGTGTGTGTGGATGATTTGCCTTCAGATGCCCCCGTCCCCGGCCAACACTTTGGACCCCAGCAGGAGCCACCGCCAACCCCAGCACCAGCACCAGCAACCCCCAGAGGTGTTCACCGGTCCCTTCAGCCCCACCTCTGTCCCCTCAGGGTACATGACCATGGGGCCAGTCCAGGCAGCCCAGTGGGCCCAGCAGGGACCCTTCGCTGGCCAGACCCAGACCCTGGCCTTCGGGGTGCAGGGGCCCCTCCAGGTGACCCAGGTCCTCCCGGGGGGCCAGCCCGTCATCTGGAGCCAGGCCAACATCTTCCCCACCACCCAGCAGCAGTGGGCCGCCATGGCTGCCTACATGCCGGCTCAAGCTGTGGGCATGGGGGGTCACCACCTCCCCATGATGGTGCCCATCACCACTGTGTGCCCCGGCCCCCAGGGCCCACATTGCGACCTCTCCTCCACCCCCTCCTCGGCCATCACCAGCCCCCAGCACCAGGCGATGGACCCTGCCCTGCTCCAGCAGCTCCAGCAGCAGCACAGCCTCGGTGGGGACTCTGACGCAGGAGAAGGCCCCTCTTCGCTGGGCCTTGTCATGGTGGGCAGCAGGTGTGGAACACCCGGGCCGATGAGTCCCACTTCAATGGGTCTGGGTGCTGTGGGCAGGTGTGAGACGCCAGTTAGCCTTGTCATGATGGCGAGGTGTGAGACGCACGGCCCTGGTCCAGTGAATGTGCCTCCTGACACCCTGGTCTGTAGCCAGCTGTGCCTGGGGTCACCGCCGGCTGTGATGTCACCATCGGACTCGACCCAGGAAGAGGAAGGCAGCTATAGTGACCTTGACCTCTCTCGGATGACCTTGAGTCCAGGCACGTCAACCTCACCCTCCACTGACTCAGGTAAGCTCTCCCTACTGCCAGTCTCTGCTACATTCATACAAGACTAGATAGATAGTTACAGCACAAATAAGTTACCCAACACGAACCTTAACCTAACCCTACCCACATGGATAACTTTCAATGCTGTAAGTGAAAAAGGTACACCCAACAACCAACACTCCTATACCTCTCTCTCTCTCTCTCTCTCTCTGTAGCATCCACCCCAGCCCCCCAGCCTGGCTCGTCCTCAGACTCCGCCCCGTCCCAGACCAGTGACCCCCCCACAGACCACTCTCCCATTGAAAGAGAGGCCACACCCCGCAGCACCAGGGAGGATGACTCGGTGAGTCTCGGATAAGCTGTTCATGATGATGTAATGAGCTATCAAATAGTTGGTGGATAGTTGTTTTAATGGTTGAAGTTATTGGTTGAAGATACTGCATGAACTTGTATCTGTGGATTATACAACTCTGTGTGATATTAACCATGCTCTCTCTCTCTCTCTCTCTCTCTCTCTCTCTCTCTCTCTTCTCTCTCTCTCTCTCTCTCTCTCTCTCTCTCTCTCTCTCTCTCTCTTTTTGCTGTATCTGTCCATCCAGGGCTCATGCGCCAGGGCTCTGTCTCCCTGTCTAGCCGGTGATGCTCCAGCTGATTCTCCACAGGCCCAGATCTGTCCACAGGAAGACAGTTAGAGAAACTGGGCTCTGGGTGGGTCTCCTCTCCTCTCCGCTAAATCCTTCTAAAGTAAAAAGAGAGAGAACTCCTCTCCCTCCTCGGAAGAGAGAGAAATCTCATATCTCTCTCCTTCCTCTCGCTCCTCTCCTATACTATCTCTTCTCCTCTCCTCCTCTCCTCTCCTCTCCACCCCTCTCCCTCTCTCTCCACACCCTCTCCCTCTCTAGCCACCACCTCTCCTGTTCTATTGTCCAACCTTTTGTATCCCCTTAAGGCTGCTTAAAACATCTCTGTTTTATTGATTGGTCTAAAAACCCTTTACCACTCAGTTCTTGTTCTCTGTGTCAGTCTGGTGTCTTTCCAGAGGCACAGATCTCTTCTTTGTCTTTAAGTCTCTCTCTGTGTCTTTGCAGCTGAATGGTTTTCAGCCAATTATGGAACATACATGGTTTTGTTTAAGACTTAGTTTATTATGGCTCTGTAATACGTTGTAAAATGGAACATTGCTGCATTGATTCTGTACGAGGACGTAAGGAACAATACTGCCACCTGCTGTTCATAGGCTCATAACTGCACATACACTGCTCAAAAAAATAAAGGGAACACTAAACTAACACATCCTAGATCTGAATGAATGAAATAATCTTATTAAATACTTTTTTCTATACATAGTTGAATGTGCTGACAACAAAATCACACAAAAATTATCAATGGAAATCAAATTTATCAACCCATGGAGGTCTGGATTTGGAGTCACCCTCAAAATTAAAGTGGAAAACCACACTACAGGCTGATCCAACTTTGATGTAATGTCCTTAAAACAAGTCAAAATGAGGCTCAGTAGTGTGTGTGGCCTCCACGTGCCTGTATGACCTCCCTACAACGCCTGGGCATGCTCCTGATGAGGTGGCGGATGGTCTCCTGAGGGATCTCCTCCCAGACCTGGACTAAAGCATCCGCCAACTCCTGGACAGTCTGTGGTGCAACGTGGCGTTGGTGGATGGAGCGAGACATGATGTCCCAGATGTGCTCAATTGGATTCAGGTCTGGGGAACGGGCGGGCCAGTCCATAGCATCAATGCCTTCCCCTTGCAGGAACTGCTGACACACTCCAGCCACATGAGGTCTAGCATTGTCTTGCATTAGGAGGAACCCAGGGCCAACCGCACCAGCATATGGTCTCACAAGGGGTCTGAGGATCTCATCTCGGTACCTAATGGCAGTCAGGCTACCTCTGGCGAGCACATGGAGGGCTGTGCGGCCCCGCAAAGAAATGCCACCCCACACCATGACTGACCCACCGCCAAACCGGTCATGCTGGAGGATGTTGCAGGCAGCAGAACGTTCTCCACGGCGTCTCCAGACTCTGTCACGTCTGTCACATGTGCTCAGTGTGAACCTGCTTTCATCTGTGAAGAGCACAGGGCGCCAGTGGCGAATTTGCCAATCTTGGTGTTCTCTGGCAAATGCCAAACATCCTGCACGGTGTTGGGCTGTATGCACAACCCCCACCTGTGGACGTCGGGCCCTCATACCACCCTCATGGAGTCTGTTTCTGACCGTTTGAGCAGACACATGCACATTTGTGGCCTGCTGGAGGTCATTTTGCAGGGCTCTGGCAGTGCTCCTCCTGCTCCTCCTTGCACAAAGGCGGAGGTAGCAGTCCTGCTGCTGGGTTGTTGCCCTCCTACGGCCTCCTCCATGTCTCCTGATGTACTGGTCTGTCTCCTGGTAGCGCCTCCATGCTCTGGACACTACGCTGACAGACACAGCAAACCTTCTTGCCACAGCTCGCATTGATGTGCCATCCTGGATGAGCTGCACTACCTGAGCCACTTGTGTGGGTTGTAGACTCCGTCTCATGCTACCACTAGAGTGAAAGCACCGCCAGCATTCAAAAGTGACCAAAACATCAGCCAGGAAGCATAGGAACTGAGAAGTGGTCTGTGGTCACCACCTGCAAAACCAGTCCTTTATTGGGGGTGTCTTGCTAATTGCCTATAATTTCCACCTGTTGTCTATTCCATTTGCACAACAGCATGTGCAATTTATTGTCAATCAGTGTTGCTTCCTAAGTGGACAGTTTGATTTCACAGAAGTGTGATTGACTTGGAGTTACATTGTGTTGTTTAAGTGTACCCTTTATTTTTTTGAGAAGTGTATTTCACACAAGTATATCTGAAATTCAGTGTGTGTGTGTGTGCGTGTGAGTGTGTGTACCTTCCTTGTATGTGTTTTAATGCTGCTCCCTCCCTTTCCAGGAGAAGGAACCTCTCTAGGCCCAAAGATGTGACCGACCGGAGGATAGAAAAGGATGAGAGGAGAGGAGAGGAGGACAGCATACTGAGAGATGAAGGAGAGGAGACTCTGGACTCCTATGTCCCTCCTAATAACTTGATTACACTGATCACTGTTCTGTTCTGGGGAATACTGATATTGGCAGCCTAAAGCAGCAATACAATAGGATTGGCTTCTCTCCTGAGCCGGACAGCACAACACACTCATCACATGCTGTCTTTTTTTTCCCCTCAGCCAATCGGAAGCCCTTTCTCCCATGAAGTGACCTATGATCTTTGACCAAACTGTAGCAGCGGGTCGTTGCCATGACAACTTCCTGCCACAGGTCAGTGGGCGGAGACACCTTATCTATCATGTGACCTGGGAGGACCAATCGAACTGCATGGTCAGGATGAGGATTCTAATGGGTTCTAAGGATTCAAATAATTATTTTGTGATTTTGAGGAGGAATGGTGTCCTATGGGGTTATACCCTTCGTTTGGAGAACTGCCACCCGCCTGAGAGGACTCACTGTGCAAAACAGATGGATTTGCAAAAACTTTTTCAAACAGCTGACTTGTTCTATTTGCATGAACAGACTATGTATTGTGGCTCCAGCAAAACACAGCAGAGACTGCGAGACAACTGTTCTCCATAGCTTCATAGCTTCCTTTTCAATAATGCTAAAATATAAAAATAAAAACATTATTTTGTAAGCTGCGACTTCAGAGTTGACGCTTCTGAGCGTTTTAAGGATAACGAAAACATTCCTGTTTGCCAAATGTCTATTTTGTAAATAAGATTTCCTCAAGGCCCCTTACATCTGAACCTCTGTGCCAAAAGATAGGTCTGTCGTCTGCCTCTCTGATGCAACCTACAGTGGGGAAAAAAAGTATTTAGTCAGCCACCAATTGTGCAAGTTCTCCCACTTAAAAAGATGAGAGAGGCTTGTAATTTTCATCATAGGTACACGTCAACTATGACAGACAAAATGAGGGAAAAAATTTCAGAAAATCACATTGTAGGATTTTTAATGAATTTATTTGCAAATTATGGTGGAAAATAAGTATTTGGTCACCTACAAACAAGCAAGATTTCTGGCTCTCACAGACCTGTAACAAATTCTTTAAGAGGCTCCTCTGTCCTCCACTCGTTACCTGTATTAATGGCACCTGTTTGAACTTGTTATCAGTATAAAAGACACCTGTCCACAACCTCAAACAGTCACACTCCAAACTCCACTATGGCCAAGACAAAAGAGCTGTCAAAGGACACCAGAAACAAAATTGTAGACCTGCACCAGGCTGGGAAGACTGAATCTGCAATAGGTAAGCAGCTTGGTTTGAAGAAATCAACTGTGGGAGCAATTATTAGGAAATGGAAGATATACAAGACCACTGATAATCTCCCTCGATCTGGGGCTCCACGCAAGATCTCACCCCGTGGGGTCAAAATGATCACAAGAACGGTGAGCAAAAATCCCAGAACCACACGGGGGGACCTAGTGAATGACCTGCAGAGAGCTGGGACCAAAGTAACAAAGCCTACCATCAGTAACACACTACGCCGCCAGGGACTCAAATCCTGCAGTGCCAGACGTGTCCCCCTGCTTAAGCCAGTACATGTCCAGGCCCATCTGAAGTTTGCTAGAGTGCATTTGGATGATCCAGAAGAGGATTGGGAGAATGTCATATGGTCAGATGAAACCAAAATATAACTTTTTGGAAAAAAACTCAACTCGTCGTGTTTGGAGGACAAAGAATGCTGAGTTGCATCCAAAGAACACCATACCTACTGTGAAGCATGGGGGTGGAAACATCATGCTTTGGGGCTGTTTTTCTGCAAAGGGACCAGGACGACTGATCCGTGTAAAGGAAAGAATGAATGGGGCCATGTATCGTGAGATTTTGAGTGAAAACCTCCTTCCATCAGCAAGGGCATTGAAGATGAAACGTGGCTGGGTCTTTCAGCATGACAATGATCCCAAACACACCGCCCGGGCAACGAAGGAGTGGCTTCGTAAGAAGCATTTCAAGGTCCTGGTGTGGCCTAGCCAGTCTCCAGATCTCAACCCCATAGAAAATCTTTGGAGGGAGTTGAAAGTCTGTGTTGCCCAGCGACAGCCCCAAAACATCACTGCTCTAGAGGAGATCTGCATGGAGGAATGGGCCAAAATACAAGCAACAGTGTGTGAAAACCTTGTGAAGACATACAGAAAACGTTTGACCTGTGTCATTGCCAACAAAGGGTATATAACAAAGTATTGAGAAACTTTTGTTATTGACCAAATACTTATTTTCCACCATAATTTGCAAATAAATTCATAAAAAATCCTACAATGTGATTTTCTGGAGAAAAAAAATCTCATTTTGTCTGTCATAGTTGACGTGTACCTATGATGAAAATTACAGGCCTCTCTCATCTTTTTAGTTGGGAGAACTTGCACAATTGGTGGCTGACTAAATACTTTTTCTCCCCACTGTACCTGTGGCTCTCTCAACATTAAAGCAATGCCCTACCAGCACCTCTGTCTGTATCGTCTGGATGTTTGCTTGGCATTCTTGCCAATTTATTTGATTTTTTTACTTTCTGTTTCTCTGTTGGGTTTGGTCGGTCTGTGACATATGAACTGTGAATCTGTGTTACATAGCCATTGAATCAAAGCAACGATGATGATGCCTGCTACCTACGTATGACGTAACTCACTCTTTTGAAAATAAAATGGTGCTCCTCACACACAAAAGAAAAGATCCACAGGCCAATAAAGTCCCTGTCACTTTTACCTGGGGGGGGGGGGGGGGGGGGGGGGCATAACCTTGCTTTTAGCTGTTTTAGACTCCCAAACAGGTGTACTACCCATCCTTCAGTATTTGCTTCAAACTCTATGTTGACCTACTCTACTGCTACCAGACCTGGGTTCAAATACTATTTAAACCTTCCAAATAGTTTTGAGCATTTGCTTTAGCCTGCCTCGAGTGCCATGTTGGCGTGGTTTGCACTTTTGGGACTTTTCTATTGGTTCCATAGCAACAGGCAAGCGCAATCACCGCTAAAGTATTTGAAATGATTTGAAATAATATTTGAACCCAGGTCTGCTACACATATCTGGGTGGTTTCTAGGAACCAAACCAATGAGCTAGTTGTAATGGCCCAGCCAGCAGTAGACTCCAGAGTACCATTACTATGCCTTATTATTGTTGGTTGTATTGCGTTGTCCCGTCACTGTTATAGCGTCCTGTCATTGTATTACAGTAACACGGTTCATTCATGCAACTAAAGGTTTGGGGCATATTGTAGGTCTGTCTGCTCCACGGAGTTACAAATGGCAAAACGTGGTGACTTTATAAGATTATGAACGAATAGAGATATTATTGCTATTTACTTCTAGACTATGATGATAATAACTGTAACCCTGCTCGTATATGAAAATGCGAAATGAAATGGTCCAACGATATTTTGTAAATTTTATTTATGAATTCCAATGGTCGTGAAAAGAGAAAAGGACTTTTGTACGTATATTTATTCCCATTCACTGTACTACTAATCCCCACTGTCCAGTCACAAATAAAATATAATGTGATTCCCACTTTGGTCCTGAATCTTTGATTATGCTGCCAGTCAGACAGTTTTTAGGACTATAAACTGAATATCACTCAAGCCTTGCTTGTTTACACCTTGCACTAACATGTACATTTTGTGATCTGATCAATATGTATGCAGATTATTTGACAGATATTCTTTCAAATATACAGTATGAATGTATTTATTTGAAGACAACTACTGATGTCATAAGTCAATGACCTACCTGTCAATGATTTTAGAGGCCGGTATTATGATGATTTAAATGGTTTGACCATCCAGATCTGTTTACACTTGATTGATATCCAGACACAATGCGTGCCTAGTCCCATTTATAACTGGTGATAACATGTGCCCTTTGTCCTGATCTTGTACACATTCTGATTATGCCCACATTTTTTGACTGGTGTAGATGATTAAAAGACACATTGTGATCTGATTGTGATCAGATCTTCCTGACCACCTCCGGAGGTAGTCAGGGACCCATTGTATCTGGATATCAAATCAAGTGTAAACAGATCTGGAAGGTCAAACCATTCCGCTTCACAGGTTGGAATTTATGTACTAGAGGCAGCTCTTCAGAGTGGTCACTAGCTGGCACAGCCACAAAGTCATAAAATCTGATTTTAAACCTTAACCCTAACCTTAAACACACTGCTAACCCAAATGCCTAACCCTAACCTTAAATTTAGACCAAAAAGCTAATTTGTGTTTTCATTCATTTTGACGATAGCCAAATTTGACTTTGCAGCTGGCCAATCTAGCAGAAATCGATCAGTTCTGCCTCCAGGGCAAGATGAATGACAATAAACGTCATCTTGCTTCTCTTTCACTATTGTTTCACTATTAGATAATTATGCTGTGTTCATATCCAAGTGGGAAGGTGGTATTTACCACATACGACTGGGAGAAATCCACTTTAACGGCCCTCCAACTGATAATTACTAGTGGGAAACTCGTCTGTCATCCTGAGGTCCCACTTCTCCCACATGCTGACCTCTGACGTCACCTACTAAGGAAACATCGATAACAGCATTTTAGGCAGTTAAATGCAACAACAAAACATTATTTATAAAAAGCAATCTATGAATATGTTTTTTTCAAGCATGATAGCAGTATTTTCGGTTACCCACTTGATTACAAACGTAGCATTATTCAGTTTGGATTCCAGGCAGGACATTTGTATTTTGTTCCAACACAATGGATCCAACAGAGGGTGATGTGTACCTGTTATTACCAGTGTTGTGTTCATTAGGGAAAAACCAGGGATATGTTCAATGTGACAAACAAGGGTTGTGTTCATTACGGCAAAAGCATTAAGGAACATTTGGGATTGGAATTTCAGTTTACTCCCCGAATTGAATGAAATGGAATTGGCACCAACTCTGAAGGTCCTAAAAGACAACTAAACAGACAGTGTGTGTTGAATAACTGGTCCATGAATGGGCGCAGGGAAACTCTGTTACGGGAAGCTAGACATTGAGAAACACTAAGTACACAAGTCATGTTTGTTGGAGTGTTTGTTTGGTGATTTCCCGGACCACAAAACCAAACGACTGACCCAGGGTCAGAGCCTAACGTTGAGTCTGTGTCCCTGATAATATTAATCAGTGTGTTTACACACAGACAGACAGACCTACTGAACATTAACACGCACGCACGCACACACACACACACGCACGCACGCACGCACGCACGCACGCACACACACACACACACACACACACACACACACACACACACACACACACACACACACACACACACACACACACACACACACACACACACAGAGATCATCCGGTTGGTGTCAGTCCTGATCCACCACCACTACCTTCCTCTCTGGATCCATGTTGAAGCCTACAGTCAGCCCATGCTACTGCCTCCTCTGTGCTACACTGTGCTGGATCCTAATCTGGTAAAACCTTTATTAAGTCTCTGTGTGTGGAAGATAGAGATACAAGGGCAATGGCTGTCCTCTACAAGCATCAATACTCTATACAGTTGACAGACAATGTATGATTTAGTGTGAGGTTAATTTGCAGTACACTTACTCCCGATCGTCAATGTTTTAGACTGAAGCTTTCACTGGGTACAACGAGAGGGAACAATATTCTGGATTTAAACTGTGGGCTGTTGAAATCAATGAAACGGTCGATAGAGAATAAAAAATGGTGTGTGTGCGTGCGTGTGTGTGTGTGCGTATATTTATTAAAAGAAGTCCAACTTTTTTAAACCATAATGATTTTCTTTCACACCAACACACAGATGATTCCTCCCCTGTCTCGCCCTGCTTGACTAATATACTTTAAGGGGCTGATGCACTGTGGTTAGCTGTGAGTTACGTGACCTATGTTTCAGTGACGTTGCCATAGCGACAGCCACCGGCGGTGGCGAAGAGCCTATTGGCGTCCGTGAAGCTCGGTCTGTGGGGATTCAGGTCGCCATGCACCCAGTGGACTGTGTCCAATCAGAGTGGACCGCCTGGACACGCTGCGATGGCTGCAGGAAGAAGAGGGTGAATATTAGCAGGAGGAGATGGATGAAGATGATGATGGTAGTGATGATGATGATGATGATGATGACGATGATGATGACAATAATGATGAGGATGATGATGGTAGTGACGATGAAGGTAGTGATGATGATGGTGGTGGTGGTGGTGGTAATGATGATGATGAGGAGGAGGAGGAGGAGGAGGAGGAGGAGGAGGAGGATGTAGATAAAACCTGTTAGTGGAGAGTATAGGTATAGAGTCTAGGTGGAGAGTCTAGGTGGAGAGTCCAGGTGGAGAGTCTAGGTGGAGAGTCTAGGTGGAGAGTATAGGTGGAGAGTCTAGGTGGAGAGTCTAGGTGGAGAGTCTAGGTGGAGAGTCTAGGTGGAGAGTCCATGTGGTACAGGTTGCTGTTTGTAATCCACTTTGCATGGATAAAGACAACAGGAGTAGCTAATCTAATATCATAACGGACGTGTGATGTACTTCACATTCTGTGCATGGATTGGGTAATGCAGCCTTCTGTGAGAAAAAACCTTACAGTAAGTGGGACACTTGCATAAAGATTGGTTGTACTATAGCACTCAAATTGTTTTAAATTATATTTTTATCGAGAGAATAGGAGGAGAGGGGGGAAGTGCCCCACCCAAAATCCCTTATCCGGCCCTAGCTCGGAGCCCACATCCCCCGCCCCTCCTATCAATCCCTCCACTCTCCTACTGCCTCCCCCACCCAATCCCACCCCCCCACTCTCACCCCCCATCGCCAACTCCCTACCCCCCGCTCTCTAACCCCCTCCCACCTCCTCCCTCTCCCCCTCCCTACCCGCTTCCCTTCTGCACTCCCCCTCCAACCCCCCTATCACCTCATCCCCTCCCCATCATCCACCAAACCCTACCCTCTCCCCCTGCCTCTCTCACTCACTCACCCTCTCTCTCCTCTCCCCTCCCCCTCCTCTAGAGGACACAGTGAAATGCAGCATGGTGGAGGACTTTGTCTCTGTGGTTAGAGGGGGTGACAGTAAGTCCATCACCTCGCTGGCTGCCAAGAAGCTGCCCACGCCACAACTGATGAGACGGTGGGGAGAAACTGTGCATTACAACCCTGACTTCCTCCGCAGCACGGTGGGAATACTGTCTCTCTTTCTCTACTCTGTTCTCGCCATTTATCTCTGTCTCTTTTTTATATTTCCTCTCTCTCTTTCTACATCTCATTTTCTCTTCTCTCACTTATCTGCAGCACCCTGGGATCCTTGCTTTGTCCTTTCCATTTATATCTCTCTCTCTCACTCTATTGCTGTCTCTTTATTTTCTCTCGCTTTTCATGGCCCTCTTTTTCTCTCTCTGTCTGTCTCTCTCTCTCTTCATCTCCTTCTCTCTATCTGTCATTCAGATTTCCCCAAGGTCTCTCTAAAGGTGTCCTCTACCTGTCTGTCAGACTCCAGACCTGAGCTGGTTGTGCTGATGTTAAAGTATTGTTGTGGTTGTTGTTGTTGTCTGTGTGACAGATGCGACCACTATATGAGCTGGTGACCTCCAGAGACTTCTCCCGCGCTATCTCCCTGAAGAAGAACCTGAGGAGACAGCTCCTGCCGCTATGCCCCCTTCCGCAACAATGGACTTGCTGTTCTCAAAGGTAAACACCCTCCCTCCTGCCTGCTTCAAAAACAGATAGGCTTTTCTTAAAATACTCCCTCCCTCCTCAATCCAACTATACTTGGTAGATGTATAAACCTGTGAGAGATGATGGTGATGATGATGATATGATGATGATACTGAGGATGATGATCATCACAATGATAACAATGTCTTCATCTCTCCCATTAGGCATGGCCTGCAGAGGACTCCAGGTGGAATCTACTGACTGTTTCTGATATTGTTACAGACTCTTAATTGAAATAAAGATAATTGGAAGTGTTGTGCCTGTGAGACAGTATGTTTTCATTGTTGAGTCTTCTATAGCGAAAGTGAGTTAACTGAGAAAAACTGAGGAGGTAAAACATATTCGGCGCATGTGACAAAAATAAATAAATGTTTTGATAATAGAGAATATCTTTAACTGTTTTTATTTCTGAACACAAACATTTTGACCCTTATCTTTCTGGCCAGATAAAAAGAGAGTTGGTTTCATTCTTTACTTATTCAACATACATAATTGGTATTCACTCCAACTTCCTGGTGTAGTGTTGAAATCTGTGCCCCCTGCTGTGCTGTGACCTATCTGGCTGGTGACATCAACAGCGTTGGTTCTGGGAGGAGGAGCCAAGGCAAGCGGCACCCCCATCTGGCCGGGGGTTGTCACATGACCGTCTGCGCGTCTTACTTCCTGACTGACAGGAAGACCACGCACCCCAGCAACTCCAGGCCCCGTCCGTCGTGGAACCTATCAGACGACAGAATGCCAGGCTCTGTGTCACCCACTCATCGGAGTCTTAAAACGTACTAACCCAAGAGCATAGTTACTGTAGTAAGGTGTGGCACTTGCTGCCATCTGATTGCGGATATAAGTAACTGCATATAATAGCACTCTGTTACACCCACCTTTCCTGAGGGTGTCCTCGCAGGCTTCCCCCCTGAAGCCCTGCTTGCAGATGCAGTGGCAGGAGGTCTGGGAGAGGACAGGGATGCCGTCATGCCTGCAGGGGGCACAGCGACAGGAGTTGAACTGGAGCAGGTACTCCTCCCACGCCCTCCTCAGGTGGGCCGTCCGTGCCCCCACGTGGTCCCCCGCTGTGCTCAGACGCACCAGCTCAAATATGGGCAGGGTCTGGGGAGAAGGGTGGAGGAAGGGAAGGGGAGAGAGGGAGGAGAGGAGGGGTGAGGAGACCATGCTTGATGAGTTACTAATTATTGTGCATATTGAACGTACTATGTGCAGTATGTTTGAATGCACTGTATATAAAGTAAAGTAAACACATGCAAAAGTACCATGCTTCAAGTAGCATGCACAGATGTAATGTCCAGCACCATCTGTGTGCTGAATGCACAATTTATATATACACTAGATGACTGACAAGGGCCGCTGTTGTGAAGCCCCCGCGCCGCCATCTTGGCACTCCCCCACCATTGTAAAAAATATTCTGGAAGCTATAGAAATGCATTTATGAATGTCTACATTTGTTTTTGCCGCGTTTATTTTATTACAGACTTTTAAATTATGTTATGTGAGCTAAACATACATATACATTTAATTTATATACATATATACACATAAACATTTTCCTTAAAGTATAATCTTTAGAAAGTTCTAATGTTACTGTCATCACTACAGCAAAAAATACTTTTGTCCTTGAAACATTTAATTGAAATACTGTAGAATGCCATTAATTCCTTTGGAGGACTGCTTCTTCTGTGGAGTGTCAATATGGCCAACCGGTCACTTCAAAGCCTCTCATTGGCCAATACATAGCATCAGCAATCCATGGTTTATATACATCATTGGCTGTATACAGTGTGTTTAAGTATATCTGTAAGTAAATGCTATTATACCTCATACTCGATGAGCGTTGGGTTGTACTTGAGAGAAAGGCCCCACTTCCTGTATGTGTCAGGGTCCCTGATGGCCAGCAGACCCCCACTACTTCCTGTGGTGCCCCCCTTCACCAGCGTCACAATGTCCTCGATCAAACTGGAGCTGCTTCCCTTCTCTGGGTTACAGAGGGAAATCATCAATACCCACACGGGTCCATCTCAATTCAGTAAACTCAGGAAATAAACTGCAATTCCAGTATACTTACTGAATGAACTCATGTGAAATAGAATAGACCCTATCCCTGTTACCCACAATTGCTCCAACTGAATGTTACTACCAGAAAGTCCGAAAGTTGAACAACAATATACATTTGAAATGAGCTAGACATCTGGTGTTGTTAGAAAAAGTAGGAAATGTTAACCAAGTTGTCTTTTGCAAGATAAGGTCGGTTGGGACGATCACACACCTTTTTCATAAAATCCAATGCCTTCGCAACCTTGGACTTCAAGTTTGCCTCCAACTTCTACCTGCTTCGACTTGCCTAGAGGACTGCTTATGCCAATGGATCCGCCCAAACACCCTTTAAGTTGTCCCGCATTAATGTCTGTTAAAGTCAAGAGCAAAAACAAGTTTTGGAATAAGCATTCAATTACCACAGAAATTGACTCTTCAAATACACCATGGACTATAATAATTCACATGATAATATTTTACGGTTCCTTCCAAAATATAGAAAGGTCTAAAAATCCTTCACACTTTTTCCACCACTGACCCAATCTGAAACCTCGCTCACTCATTCAACGACAGCATCACACAAATAACAAAGGACACCATACTAGATTTTTCCATGGCGGTTTTGTTGACGACCGCCACATACTCCAGGGTCCCTCCCATGATGCCCTGGGTGACGTAGTGCGTTCCGTAGGTGTTGAGGAAGCGGGAGTACAGGCCAAAGTCATACTTCTCCTCAGGAAGCTCCATGAGGGACAGGTACATGTCTTCATAAAGCATCAGCCCCTCGCTCCTCATCTTAAACTGGGCTGTCTGAACCTTAGACTGCAACCTGATGAAGCCAAGTTCCTGAGGGACAAAAGAGAACACATAATCATAACTCTATTTGTATAGAGCTTTTCAGCTTCATACATGCTCAAATGAGAAATGTAGGACTCAGGGGTTTCATTTCCGGATGGATGTTCCTTCCCATCTGCCCTCGTTCACTACCCTTCATGGATCTGAGAAAACAAGGTTGTAGGCAATAGCTTCCTGGAATGAAACGCAGCCAGGGACTAACTACAGTTGTGTTCCTTGGGTATAAAGAGGCTGTTTCGGGGTATTATTTAAGACATTCTCTTACCTGATTGGTGTATTTTGTTAAATTGTTTAGAAACTCAGTCTCCACATTCCCTGCTATTCCAAACTCCACGTACTGAATCCCAACAGTAACACCCAGATTAAAAGAATCTTCCGTCTTTCTGGCTTTCAAGAATGTGGCCATATCTTCATAATACTCTGAGGAGCCTTCAGAAGTAGCCTGGGCCTAGAATAACGCAAAAATCAACATTGATAAGTTGAGCATTGAAAAAAGGGTACATTTTGCGACATGATGATGCACACAGGACAGTGCCGTACCATGAAGCGGTATGAATGGAAGTTGTAGGGTTTCCGGTAGTTTTTCTCATCCTCGTTATAATGTAAATTCTCACAGAAGGCATCATATGTGAGTTTTCTCCATTCTCCATTGTAGACATATTCACACTGTCCTCCATAGTATTGTGGGTCAAGAACGTGGTCCACAAATTCTCCTGTCAGTATGTTAAAGCTAGGAAAATAAAGAGAAATACTTCATTGTTGTTTCAAATGAGGTGTGTGTGTGCGTGTGTGTGCGCAGCACTAGCAACAACATGTATTTTGTGTGTCAGATGCATCCTGTTGTTCCCACTTACCATGACTGTTGATTACCCCTGTCCTCTGACCCCTGACCTCTGCTTACCCCTGAGTGCCGCGGCCAGCTCCAGGGATGGGTAGCAGTGTGGAACACTTGTCCTGTCTGTAGTCCACCTGCTCACAGTCCTTCTCATCAGACTCGTCATCACAGTCGACCTCATCGTTACAGCGAAGCGCCTGGCTCACACAACGACCTAAGGACGGATGGAGAGACACACACGTACACACACACGTACACACATGCACGCAATCACGCATGCACACACACATGCTCATTACAAGCACGTATGCACACACAAACACAAACACAAACCCACATGAAACATTTGGAGACAAAAGCAGACTCAAAACATTGTATGCATGGCTTAAGGTTGGTGGTAATGTATATTGTGCACTTACCTGTGGCATTGCAGGTGAACCTTTCTCCACAGATGTCTGGTACCCAACACACTGCCTGTGCTGTGGGGCATGCCAGCTCTTCCCACTGACTGTCCAAACATTGTCTTCCACCAAACTGGGATGCTTGCTCCATGTAACGGAAACGAAACTGGGCAATATACATAAAGAATACAAAATATGAGAATTGTTTTAGTGGAACAGCAGATCATTGTGTATCATAGAAACTATAGTATATCATTTAGTCCCAAGCTTTGAACATGAACCGTATAATGAGAACCAACCCTTTTACCTTCTTGTCTGTGCAGGAGTTACAAGGGGTCCATGACGACCACATTTTCATCTTACAGTTGATAGGAGCTGGTACGTTTACACTCCTGACCCTCCTAATAGCAGATTGCCCTGCTCTTCAGTCAAATACAATTACCATTATAGTTTCAAGCTTCACAGACATTTTAGATTGAAGTAGGGCGATTCCACTCCAGCTGGAGCAGAACATATTTTTGGTATCTCTGATTTTTCTGGCAATTCTCACAGAAATGTAATTGGCAGGAAGGATGTTTGACATGTTTTTTACATTTGAATCACAAACCATAAATTTTTGGCCCTTTTTAGACCTGTAAGTACATGATACAGACAACATCTTGATGTCATTATACTCCTTATAGTGTGCTCTAGCATATGGAGTATGTCTAGATTCTGAAATACACATTTTCACACTAATTTATTCTACATAAAAATTATAATAATATGAATATCTCAAAACTACCCTTTTGGATTTTGTTCATTTTAAATATGAGTACAAGTAGATCAAATTTCCAAAGTGGGCTCTGCTAATTCTGAAGTTCTGATCAATTTTATGAACACCAGCAACACAGTGAATGGTAAATGGATTCTAAGGGAACTCCCTCTGCTGGTGATTTGCTGAATATACAATCCTAAAGGAGGGCTGTGATTGGTTAATGACCTATAATGTCGATTTCTATGTAAAAATGGGTCATATCATTAAAAGTACCACAGAGCCCACTCTGGAAATTTGATGGGTTTGAAGAGACAATATGTCTAAAACTAAGCTACATCAAAAAGGGTCGTTTTGAAATATTAATTTTAATAGTTTTCATGTTTAATAAATTAATGTGAAAATGTGTATTTCAGAATCTAGACATTCTCCATATGTTAGAGCACACTATAAGGACTATAATGACACCGAGATGTTGTCTGTATCATGTAAGGTTCACATATCATAGGGTCTTACAGGTGACATCTAACCTAGCAGTTAAGATCGTTGTGCCAGTAACCGAAAGGTCGCTGGTTCGAAACGCCGACTTGATGAAAAATCTGTCGATGTGCCCATAAGCAAGGCCCTTTACCCTAGTTGCTCTGGATAAGCATGTCTGTAAAATGCATGCACTCTATGCTGCACACCGCATCAAGCCATCTCTGAAATGTACACAAAATAACTGCACTCTACTGCATTTAGAAATATTCATACTGATACTGCACATCGGCTGTATACCCATTCTCTTATAGCTCTATGCTCACTCTACCTAGTTGTATATAATGTATGTAAACTTTGTGTAATCTCCGCTGTCTGTATTCTGTCTCTAAATTATCATCATGATTTTCTCAAAAATGGTTTGTGATACAAATGTAAAAAGTATATCACTCATCCTTCCTCTCAATGAAGTGTCTATGTCAGAATTGCCAGAACAATCTGAGATACAAAAAATATTTTCCTCTCCTGCTGGCGTGGAATCGCCCAGTGGTAGTAAATAAAAGTAGTATTTCTAGTAAAAGCTATGGAAATCTACCTGGTTTCAGCCATATTCCATGAGTTCTCCGTTGCATCTACAGTGAGAGACTTGTTTAAAACCAGCAGCAGAATGTAGGAGCCCAATAATGCACATATCAATCTATCCATATTGGAAATAAAAGAGCTCCTTGATGAAAATGAGCTCACGTTAAGCTTTGTTTAGATGAGTGATACTTGTCATCCTAGGGAAAGTGAACTCATGTCATCAGACAGACTCTCCAGTCCACAGTGAATGATTGATCAAGGGTAAACACATGCTCTAACAGTTGGGAAATATATTTTCCGTAATATCACACACATAGGCCTACACAAGCACACCCCTTCCTGGCCCACTCACTTCTAAAATTCCCAGTACAAAAAACACACACACACACAAACAGTATATTTTGGGTAGTGTAAATTGGTCAAACAAAACTCATTTCACCTCATTTTAATGTTCTGTCATAAAGAGCACATGTTCAACTTCATACAAAAAACGTGTTTGGGGGAATGTAAGCGTGTTGTGTGCAACAAGGAGGAGAAATTGAATTGCTAAAACAGTTCTAGACTATCTACAGTGGGGAAAAAAAGTATTTAGTCAACCACCAATTGTGCAAGTCCTCCCACTTAAAAAGATGAGAGAGGCCTGTAATTTTCATCATAGGTACACGTCAACTATGACAGACAAATTGAGGAAAAAAAATCCAGAAAATGACATTGTAGGATTTTTTATGAATTTATTTGCAAATTATGGTGGAAAATAAGTATTTGGTCACCTACAAACAAGCAAGATTTCTGGCTCTCACAGACCTGTAACTTCTTCTTTAAGAGGCTCCTCTGTCCTCCACTCGTTACCTGTATTAATGGCACCTGTTTGAACTTGTTATCAGTATAAAAGACACCTGTCCACAACCTCAAACAGTCACACTCCAAACTCCACTATGGCCAAGACCAAAGAGCTGTCAAAGGACACCAGAAACAAAATTGTAGACCTGCAGCAGGCTGAGAAGACTGGATCTGCAATAGGTAAGCAGCTTGGTTTGAAGAAATCAACTGTGGGAGCAATTATTAGGAAATGGAAGACATACAAGACCACTGATAATCTCTCTCGATCTGGGGCTCCACGCAAGATCTCACCCCGTGGGGTCAAAATGATCACAAGAACGGTGAGCAAAAATCCCAGAACAACACGGGGGGACCTAGTGAATGACCTGCAAAGAGCTGGGACCAAAGTAACAAAGCCTACCATCAGTAACACACTACGCCGCCAGGGACTCAAATCCTGCAGTGCTAGACGTGTCCCCCTGCTTAAGCCAGTACATGTCCAGGCCCGTCTGAAGTTTGCTAGACTGCATTTGGATGATCCAGAAGAGGATTGGGAGAATGTCATATGGTCAGATGAAACCAAAATATAACTTTTTGGTAAAAACTCAACTCGTCGTGTTTGGAGGACAAAGAATGCTGAGTTGCATCCAAAGAACACCATACCTACTGTGAAGCATGGGGGTGGAAACATCATGCTTTCGGGCTGTTTTTCTGCAAAGGGACCAGGACGACTGATCCGTGTAAAGGAAAGAATGAATGGGGCCATGTATCGTGAGATTTTGAGTGAAAACCTCCTTCCATCAGCAAGGGCATTGAAGATGAAACGTGGCTGGGTCTTTCAGCATGACAATGATCACAAACACACCACCCGGGCAACGAAGGAGTGGCTTCGTAAGAAGCATTTCATGGTCCTGGAGTGGCCTAGCCAGTCTCCAGATCTCAACCCCATAGAAAATCTTTGGAGGGAGTTGAAAGTCTGTGTTGCCCAGCGACAGCCCCAAAACATCACTGCTCTAGAGGAGATCTGCATGGAGGAATGGGCCAAAATACCAGCAACAGTGTGTGAAAACCTTGTGAAGACTTACAGAAAACGTTTGACCTGTGTCATTGCCAACAAAGGGTATATAACAAAGTATTGAGAAACTTTTGTTATTGACCAAATACTTATTTTCCACCATAATTTGCAAATAAATTCATTAAAAATCCTACAATGTGATTATCTGGATTTTCTTTTCTCATTTTGTCTGTCATAGTTGACGTGTACCTATGATGAAAATTACAGGCCTCTCTCATCTTTTTAAGTGGGAGAACTTGCACAATTGGTGGCTGACTAAATACTTTTTTTCCCCACTGTATATATGGGTAACAGGGTTGATGTGATATTATGCTTGACACTCACAGTTTTCCACCACAAAACACCAGAAAATTGCCAAAAAGAGTAGAACCAGCTCATCTGCATTTACACTATGATTTTACTATTATATCTTCAATGTTTCTTAAAAACAAAACAAAATTTAAAGAATAGTTTCACCATATTAAAACAAGAGTTCAGTTCAGGTAATAGGGTTGACCTTAAAATGAGGGAAGGAAAGTAAATGAATCACTAATCACATTAAATAAATAATGATCTTCAGAAATGACTTTGCAAAGCAAGAACATAACTAGGGCTTTACAATGATTGTGAAAACTTGGATACATTTTGTGGTTAAGTGGGTTAAAATCTTCCTAGAATTGGCTAAAATGGTCCCACCTGATCTCGCCTCTCCTGCCTGCCTTCAATCTTTGAGGACTTGTATTTCCATTGTTAGAGCGGTCACTCGACTATCTTGTCAATAAATAGGCAATGTTTGAGTCATGGATAACTGCATACATGAAGCGTGTCTGAAAGTGGGCGTGCCAACAGAAGTGGGAGGCTCAACAGTGGGTGTATAGAACGCAAATCAGCTAATTGGGCAGATTTGTTGTCACTCAAGACTGTTTTGTGTGGCTGATTGGGCTGCACAACATGTCGATTGTTGACAACTGTAGCATTTTAGCTATGCCTAACCCTTTTCCTAACCTTAACCTCATTCTCCTAACATGCCACGTTAATTATCCTAAACTGCTACATTAATTATCTTAACCTGCTACGTTTGTTCTCTTAACCTGCTATGTAGGCTAAACATTAAACTGACCCGCGGTGCACCTTGCTATGGCCGGTCTAACCAATAACGGAGCGCTTCTGTTACACTCATCGCTGTTGATCCACCCACAGATGTTACACGGATTAGTGAAGCGCGGGTCAGCTGTTTGTTCAACCGCACCCGCCAGCAATTGCTAATAATCCATCCGCAACCGCCTGCCTATAGGCCTATGTCATAAAGTGAAAATCACAAGACCCTATTCCGCTAATATAGAAAATGGCTGTAGGCTACAGTCAGAGACGGCGGGAATATTTTTTGACATGGGGTGTAGGATTTTTTGTGCCTGATTTTAATGTTTCTGCTTATAATTTCCCACATGATGGTAGGCTAGTTGTTACTCAACTTGTCTATAATTAGATACATGCAGCTTCTCTTCGGTCATTATATGTTGCCCTAAAATACTAAATAAAATACTAAATAAATACTAAATAATGTCATAAACGATATAAATGAATGCTTCGATCTAGTTGACATTAATAAAGTGTTCGCTGTCATATCTGCTTCTTTCGCGGAGCAAAGACCTTTAGGGGCCGAGGAGAAAATGCAATAACATAACAAAAACAAACGGGAAAGATGACATCAGTTTTACCGGTTGTAAGGAAATAGAAACCTGTGAAAACGACCCAACATCATGTTTCTGATAACATCTCAGTTCGGCTTGGATGCATGCATATTTTATATGGTTGAAATGGGCTACTATCAGCTTTTATTATGCTGATAAGGGCTCCTATTCGCTTTTATTATGCTGATAAAGATAGCACCTCTACAGACAGATGGTATCTAACTGTGCATTCGCAATCTCTCAAGATGCTGAAAGAAAGAAATCATATTTCTCCACTCCTGTTCCAAAGTAAAAATGTAGCCTACATTTGGTGTATCATTTTAGCCTGCTGCAAGAAATGCTTAATTCTGCAGGAGTTAATATTAAGGCTATGTGAGAGGTTATAGACCTACAGTCAGTGTCCAGATTTCACTTGACGTGGCATAGACCTATTTGAAGTCCCGTTTTGTGACTGTGAAATATGTATAGCGCCTCACAATCATCAAGTAGGCTATAATATAGCAGGCACTGCTATCGTCCTTTTACCACTTCACCAAATCTTTCCCAAACATTACTTTTCTGGCCCTCCCTTCTCTTTATTTTAAACTCTCCATTTCGCAGCTTTTCTCTTATTCAATTAAACTCCAACATTTTACTTTTTGCCTACATAAATGAAGTTAACTTGTTCTGCCTGTTCCCAAAAGCATTTTTGGCCCTAATGCCAGATAGACTAAAATAATGAAATAAAAACCTAATGTACAATACCAGTCAAACATTTGGACACACCTACTCATTCATGGGCTTTTCTTTCTTTTTTACTATTTTCTACATTGTAGAATAAAAGTGAAGACATCAAAACTATGAAATAACACATATGGAATCATGTAGTAACCACAAAAGTGTTAAACAAATCAAAATATATTTTATATTTGAGATTCTTCCAAGTATTCACCCTTTGCTTGATGACAGATTTGCACACGCTTGGCATTCTCTCAACCAGCTTCATGAGGTAGTCACCTGGAATACATTTCAATGAACAGGTGTGCCATGTGGAATTTCTTTCCTTCTTAATGCGTTTGAGCAAATCAGTTGTGTTGTGACAATGTAGGGGGGTATACAGAAGATAGCCCTATTTGGTAAAAGACCAAGTCCATACTATGGCAAGAACAGCTCAAATAAGCAAAGAGAAACGGCAGTCCATCATTACTTTAAGACATGAAGGTCAGTCAATCCGGAAAATTTTAAGAACTTTGAAAGTTTCTTCAATTGCAGTCGCAAAAACCATCAAGCGCTATGATGAAACTGGCTCTCATGAGGACCGCCACAGGATAGGAAGACCCAGAGTTACCTCTGCTGCAGAGGATAAGTTAATGTGGGGGTGCTTTACTGGTGACACTGTCTGTGATTTATTTAGAATTCAAGGCACACTGAACTAGCATGGCTACCACAGCATTCTGCAGCGATACGCCATCCCATCTGGTTTGCGCTTAGTGGGACTATCATTTGTTTTTCAATAGGACAATGACCCAACACACCTCCAGGCTGTGTAATGGCTATTTGACCAAGAAGGAGAGTGATGGAGTGCTGCATCAGATGATCTGGCCTCCACAATCACCCGACCTCAATCCAATTGAGATGGTTTGGGATGAGTTGGACCGCAGAGTGAAGGAAAAGCAGCCAACAAGTGCTCAGCATATGTGGGAACTCCTTCAAGACTGTTGGAAAAAGCATTCCAGGTGAAGCTGGTTGAGAGAATGCCAAGAGTGTGCAAAGCTGTCATCAAGGCAAATGGTGGCTACTTTGAAGAATCTCAAATAGAGAATATATTTTGATTTGTTTAACACTTTTTTGGTTACTACATGATTTCATATGTGTTATTTAATTGTTTTGATGTCTTCACTATTATTCTACAATGTAGAACATTCAAAAAATAAAGAAATACCCTTGAATGATAAGGTGTGTCCAAACTTTTGACTGGTACTGTAGATATAAATATAGATATGAATTGCACAAGAATGATACAGGTATTGTTTTCTCTTTATTCAACCCGCCCTTTATCCACACAATATTTCATAACCCTAAACTCACCCGCCCCGCTGGGACTGCGGGTGACGAGTCCACCCTCTATTGATCCACCCACTTCTTTTGCAACGCCCACTTTCTGACACACTCCAAGTATTCAGTTACCCATACTTCCAATCATTGGCTATAAAGGCCCAGACTTCTGCAGAGGCAGGTAGGTCCTATGGCACTGGTTATGGCACTAAACCTTGTATTTAGCCTATAATATAAACTATAATAGGCAGTTATCCTACAATCAATACACTAGATATCATTGCGACTAATTAAAACACAGGTCCCTATAGAACACAAAAATATGATAAAATCTACGTTTCAAGAAAATAACACGTTCTTCGTGTGCACACGTGACATCATTCAATAAGGTCATGGGCACATCCGCGCAGGTTTATCGCGGTATCTCTCTATTTGTTTGCAACTTCAGAGAAAGTTTAGAAATCAGTTTATCAAAGAATGCGTTCTATTTTGGCGGCTGCGTCGACATAATGAGACAGTGAACTGAAACGTGTCCAGTTGCATAAAATAACGACATTTGATTGTCAGTTGATGAAAGAAACAATGGAACAGGTAATGAAATTCGAGATGATCTATTGCTGCCCCTATTGATCTGTTTGCATATCTGTTGGATGTTATATTTTTTCTCTGCAAAGTCAACTCGCGATTTATCAGAAACTGATTGCAGTTGGTTTTCTGTCTGCACAGTATTTTAGTAGACTATGAAGCAACTGAGTTGTAATGTTATCTGCTATACCATCCATGAACAACAGGTGCCTTATAATAATTATCCTTGTGTTATCCATATAATTAGTTGAATGCACACAATGTTATATGCTGAGGTTGAAACAATTATTACTTTCAAACAATTGTAGCCCGTTTAAGCATTGTTCACTAATCACTATAGTGATCTCATTGATCCTAGGAGGGACCAATCAATGTCAAAGCTCTGCGGGCCAAGTTTCAGGAGGAAGCCAGAGTCCTGGCTCTAGCTCAGGCTCAAGCCAGCGAGCAACACCGACCTGCTATTGCTGAGAAGCCCAGACGGCTCCCACCCACCGTCCCTGGGGGGCGATGCAGCACCTTGATGAGCTCCATCCACTCGGCTGTGGAGAACAAGCCTGTCGTCCCCAGGGTCATCTTCAGGGATGGGACCAGGGTGTCCGGGGGCAAACGGCCCGTCTCCTTCCCTGCACTTGTACTGCAGGCCATTCCACCAAAACCACCAACACCACCACCACACCAGAACAGTCACCAGAATGGTCACCACAATGGTGGAGCGGACTGCACAGCGACAGCCAAGCAGTCATTGAAAGACCGCCACATGCCTCTCGTACTGCCTGGCCTGCCTTTGAAGGAACAAAGAGCAGAAGCTCATAAAGAGGTCCCACCTCTAACAAAATGCAAAAAAAAGGGTTTGCTGCTCCACCACCCCTTCAAGTCAACCAAAGTCTCCAAGGTTGGTGGTGAACCTGCAGAAGAGCCTGCGTATGCTGGTGTGACCACCAACAGACATTCAGGAGCTCCAGTAGAAGGGCTTGTGATGGACAGGCATAAGGCTGAAGATGGGCTGTCTCTCCAGGTGGAACATTCCAGCACGGAGTGCCCAACCTCCAGGCCAGACATCACCATCACCACTCCGTCAGAAGGCCCAGGTGAAGAATCGTCCTCTATGGTTAGTGCGACCCAGTTCTTCAGCACGTTGGAGAAAGGCAAGAAGCGGTTCTCACCTAAGCACCTGTTGGTGTATGCCAGACCCAAGAGCCTGCGTTCCAATGGAGTCCATCATCACCCAGACCATAGCTCTACTACGGACAAGGGAGTTCATCATCACCCAGACCATAGCTCTACTACGGACAAGGGAGTTCATCATCACCCAGACCATAGCTCTACTACGGACAAGGGAGTTCATCATCACCCAGACCATAGCTCTACTACGGACAAGGGAGTTCATCTGCCCTCTACAGATTATGAGAGTCATGCCCCAGAACATGACCTTCCAGCTCCTTTGCCCGTCTGTCTCCCACACCTCGCTTGTGTTTCAGCTCAGCCATTCTTCAAGATGAATGGCTCTTCCTGCAGTAAGCCATCTTAGATTCATAACAATTTCGCGATGTGGTCATTCTCATGTTCTGTTCTGCTACAATATTGTTAGAGTTAATGAGGTATGATTGCATAGTTGAGATACAATTGCTCTCTTCTTTTTCTTAGGACTAGAGACTGCTTCAGAGAAACCGTTTGGCCGGGATAGGGCAGGTCTTCTGCTTGTAAGACCTGATGGACTTCCTCGTCCACTCAGGAAACCTCTACCTGACCGGGGGTCTCTGGGACCCTTGCCGATGAAACCTCCAAGACCTCCATGGGTAGATCTCAGATGTTACCACCCAACCACAGAACATCACAGAGGTACTTTCAGTTCTGTTTCGACCATTTAGTTGTGGTAAATTCTACAGTAAGTGACACAGACTCAGATTTTTCACTTTAAAATATGTCTAAACAAAAAACAATGATTGCAAAGTTAAACAAAGCATACAACTCTATGCACAAGGACTTCTTAACAATTTCCAAACAACATTTTACAAAAACACATTTACTTGAAGAACCGTACAGATGTAAAGATGGTAACCGTATGACGGCACAGTACAAGTACAGTAAAAACGGTCATTCTGTTACCAAACTTTGCATAATGTCCATGGCAAATAAAGTGAGGTGTCAACTTAAAGAATGTATATTGATGTAATGCAATTTACTTAGAAGATAATTTGATTTACATTTACATTTTAGTCATTTAGCAGACGCTCTTATCCAGAGCGACTTAGTTAGTGAGTGCATACATTATTTTTTTCATACTGGCCCCCCATGGGAATCGAACCCACAACCCTGGCGTTGCAAACGCCTTGCTCTACCAACTGAGCTACATCCGGCCATTCCCACCCCTACCCTGGACGACGCTGGGCCAATTGTGCGCCGCCCCATGGGTCTCCCGGTCACGGCCGGCTACGACAGAGCCTGGATTTTTATTTTATTTTTTATTTCACCTTTATTTAACCAGGTAAACCAGTTGAGAACAAGTTCTCATTTACAACTGCGACCTTGCCAAGATAAAGCAAAGCAGTGCGATAAAAACAACAACACAGAGTTACATATGGGGTAAAACAAAACAAAGTCAAAAATACAACAGAAATAAATATATATACAGTGTGTGCAAATGTAGCAAGTTATGGAGGTAAGGCAATAAATAGGCTATAGTGCAAAATAATTACAATTAGTATTAACACTGGAATGATAGATGTGCAAGAGATGATGTGCAAATAGAGATACTGGGGTACAAATGAGCAAAATAAATAACAATATAGGGATGAGGTAGTTGGGCGGGCTAATTTCAGATGGGCTGTGTACAGGTGCAGTGATCGGTAAGGTGCTCTGACAACTGATGCTTAAAGTTAGTGAGGGAGATAAGTGTCTCCAGCTTCAGAGATTTTTGCAAATCTATGCTGTTCATTGAGCTCAAGTCAAATGTATGTTTTGTTGTTTTGCTTGCAGAGTTGACTCCAGCGGTTGAACCTGAGCCATGTGAGGATCCACACTCTGAGCCTCCATCCATTGCCAATCCTGAACTGGTTGCTCCAGAGTTTCCAGACTTTGAGTTGAATTCAGAACTGGAAACTGCAGAAGGCAATGCATTTGACATCGCAGCTCTAGAACTAGAGGCTACAGAATTTGGAACCCCTGAACCTCCAGTAGATCTAGACTTAGGGGTTCCAGATTTTCTATCCCCTGAATGTGAGTTACCATCGTGTGAGCCTCCAGAAATTCCCAGCTTTGACCATCGAGCCCTGACCCTCAGCAGTCTTCATGATCTAGTTCTTTCAGAGTTCTTGGATCAAATACGGGAGTTTCCAGCTTCAGTTCTAAAACCTCAAGCTGTTGCTGAGCTATCTGCTGAAATGGTGCCTGTTGAACCCTCATTCACAGAGGACACTGACCATGACTCTGCTTCAGTCCTGAATGAGGAAATTCGACCGAAGTCAAGGTAAACTGCTTGAAAACTATAATCTTATTTTTGCTAAATACTGTAGTCTGCTGAATTGCCTCACCAGGGATTGTGTGGGGACAGAAACTACTGAGTATTTGGTATAGTGAACCTATTTGCGAAAAGTTTAGCTCTGGGAAGTCTGTTATTCCTCTTTACATCTAACCTTTGAAATTTCCTCTCTTCTAGTGTCTGTCAACAGGAGAACTATTATGAAACCTGTGACAATGTGTATGAAGTTGTTGAAAACACCAACAAGTTCACTGTCAGTCAAAACTCACGCAAACGCAAAGGCCCACCAAAGAGTAAGACACTAATGTTTCACTTATTTCATTGAGAGCCCATATTATTATACCAGTATCTATAACGTTCAGCCATTTTTGGATGAGCTATTTAGCTTTGTCAAAGCCTACTCTAATTCAAAGAGGGTGTGTTTATGATTTGTCCCAAACGTTATGTTTTTAAAATTCTCTACTAGATCCATATGGGGACCCCCATCCAGCGGTAAGTGACACAATTTTACTGCAGAGTTTATTTTGGTAACTGAATGGTTGGCGCTGTTGTGTATAAAAATGATTATTCTCTGTTTGTATCTGAAGAAGGAGGAGCCTCGAATGCACATATGGCCCCGGAATTCATGGTATGTCGGCTCTAAAAGATGGCCCAATTATTCACACATGGTCTATGGTGCCATTGTAGTTGTTGCACAGGCAAATTAACCACAAGTAAGGCCAAAAAGAGATTGTATTTGAAAATAACATTATCATTTCATATCTTGGTTACAATGATACACAATGACGCATCTCTTTTTATTTGTGGGTATACTTGGGAACAAATTTCCTTAACAATAATTTTAGCTGAATTCCTGGTGATTTTTATATTCTCCTTTTTTTTTGTTTACTTAACTTTGGGGGACCAAATCACTAGTGAGTCGATTTGGCCAAATCACTAGAGGGCCTGTTGCCAAGCCCTGATATACAATCCCCTCCATATGTATTTGGACAGTGAAGCAACATATTATTATTTTTTGGGCTCTATACTCCAGCATTTTAGATTAAAGCTGAGAATGTTTGAGGGTATTTTCATACATATGTTTTACTGTTAAGAAATGAAAGCGTTTTATGTATCTAGTCCCCCCCATTTGGAGAAGTCATCAGTATTTGGAGAAATTCAATTATAGTGTATAAAAGTAGTCAAAATGTATAGTTTGGTCCCACATTCCTAGCACACAATGTCAAGCTTGTGACTACAAACTTCTTGGATGCATTTGCAGTTTGTTTTGGTTGTGTTTTGGATTATGATTTACCCAATAGGAACTGAATGGTGAATAATTTATAGTGCCATGTTGTAGTCACTTTTAGTATAAGTAAGAATAGAAAATGTTTCGGAATACTTCTACATTCATATGGATGCTACCATGATTATGGATAATCATGAATGAGTTGTGAATAATTTTGAGTGAGAAAGTTATGGAGGCACAAAGATCATAATCCCCAGAAAATACTAACCGCCCCTATTATTGGTAATGGTTAGCATGATTTGTTGTAGCCTCTGTAACCTTCTCACGCATCAGACATTATTCATGATTCATTGATGATTTTTCTTAATTTAGAAGTGTTCAGAAACATCTTATCTACTCAATTGTAAAGAAAATTATTCCAATCATCACCATTCAGTTACTATTGGGCAAAACATAACCCAAAACAAACTGAAAATGCATCAGCGAGTTTGTAGAGTCACAAGCTTGATGTAGTCATTGCGTGGAAGGAATATTGGACCAAATACTAAACCTTTGACTACTTTAATACCATTATAAGTGAATTTGTACAAATACTTATGACACCTTCAAATGGGGGGGGGGTACATAAAGTGGTTTAATTTCTAAACGGTAAAACAGATATGTATGAAAACACCCTCAAATAAAAGGTGACATTCTGTACTGTCGCCTCATAACATTTTATCTAAAAAAAAAAGTATAGAGACACATTAAAAATGTTGGCTTCACTGTCCAAATACATATGGAGGGGAGTGTACATCATCATGTTCACAGGTATGTTTGTCATCTCATCTCTCACTGTTGCTTCAATGAAAGGGAATCATCAAATTCATCAATACCTCTAATATTTGGTTCCACTTCATAGCATGTTGTCAGTTAGATTCATGTTTATACAGTTGAAGTCGGAAGTTTACATACACCTTAGCCAAATACATTTCAACTCAGGTTTTCACAATTCCTGACATTTAATCCTAGTAAAGATTCCCTGTCTTAGGTCATTTAGGATCACCACTTTATTTTAAGAATGTGAAATGTCAGAATAATAGTAGAGAGTGATTTATTTCAGCTTGTATTTCTTTCATCACATTCCCAGTGGGTCAGAAGTTTACATACACTCAATTAGTATTTGGTAGCATTGCCTTTCAATTGTTTAACTTGGGTCAAACGTTTCGGGTAGCCTTCCACAAGCTTCCCACAATAAGTTGGGTGAATTTTGGCCCATTCCTCCTGACAGAGCTGGTGTAACTGAGTCAGGTTTGTAGGTCTCCTTGCTCACACACGCTTTTTCAGTTCTGCCCAAATTTTCTATAGGATTGAGGTCAGGGCTTTGTGATGGCCACTCCAATACCTTGACTTTGTTGTCCTTAAGCCATTTTGCCACAACTTTGGAAGTATGCTTGGGGTCATTGTCCATTTGGAAGACCCATTTGCGACCAAGCTTTAACTTCCTGACTGATGTCTTGAGATGTTGCTTCAATATACAGTGGGGGAAAAAAGTATTTAGTCAGCCACCAATTGTGCAAGTTCTCCCACTTAAAAAGATGAGAGAGGCCTGTAATTTTCATCATAGGTACACGTCAACTATGACAGACAAAATGAGAAAAAATAATCCAGAAAATCACATTGTAGGATTTTTAATGAATTTATTTGCAAATTATGGTGGAAAATAAGTATTTGGTCACCTACAAACAAGCAAGATATCTGGCTCTCACAGACCTGTAACTTCTTCTTTAAGAGGCTCATCTGTCCTCCACTCGTTACCTGTATTAATGGCACCTTTTGAACTTGTTATCAGTATAAAAGACACCTTTCCACAACCTCAAACAGTCACACTCCAAACTCCACTATGGCCAAGACCAAAGAGCTGTCAAAGGACACCAGAAACAAAATTGTAGACCTGCACCAGGCTGGGAAGACTGAATCTGCAATAGGTAAGCAGCTTGGTTTGAAGAAATCAACTGTGGGAGCAATTATTAGGAAATGGAAGACATACAAGACCACTGATAATCTCCCTCGATCTGGGGCTCCATGCAAGATCTCACCCCGTGGGGTCAAAATGATCACAAGAACGGTGAGCAAAAATCCCAGAACCACACGGGGGGACCTAGTGAATGACCTGCAGAGAGCTGGGACCAAAGTAACATAGCCTACCATCAGTAACACACTACGCCGCCAGGGACTCAAATCCTGCAGTGCCAGACGTGTCCCCCTGCTTAAGCCAGTACATGTCCAGGCCCGTCTGAAGTTTGCTAGAGTGCATTTGGATGATCCAGAAGAGGATTGGGAGAATGTCAGATGAAACCAAAATAGAACTTTTTGGTAAAAACTCAACTCGTCGTGTTTGGAGGACAAAGAATGCTGAGTTGCATCCAAAGAACACCATACCTACTGTGAAGCATGGGGGAGGAAACATCATGCTTTGGGGCTGTTTTTCTGCAAAGGGACCAGGACGACTGATCTGTGTAAAGGAAAGAATGAATGGGGCCATGTATCGTGAGATTTTGAGTGAAAACCTCCTTCCATCAGCAAGGGCATTGAAGATGAAACGTGGCTGGGTCTTTCAGCATGACAATGATCCCAAACACACCGCCCGGGCAACGAAGGAGTGGCTTCGTAAGAAGCATTTCAAGGTCCTGGAGTGGCCTAGCCAGTCTCCAGATCTCAACCCCATAGAAAATCTTTGGAGGGAGTTGAAAGTCTGTGTTGCCCAGCGACAGCCCCAAAACATCACTGCTCTAGAGGAGATCTGCATGGAGGAATGGGCCAAAATACCAGCAACAGTGTGTGAAAACCTTGTGAAGACTTACAGAAAACGTTTGACCTGTGTCATTGCCAACAAAGGGTATATAACAAAGTATTGATAAACTTTTGTTATTGACCAAATACTTATTTTCCACCATAATTTGCAAATAAATTCATAAAAAATCCTACAATGTGATTTTCTGGAGAAAAAAAATTCTCATTTTGTCTGTCATAGTTGACGTGTATCTATGATGAAAATTACAGGCCTCATCTTTTTAAGTGGGAGAACTTGCACAATTGGTGGCTGACTAAATACTTTTTTCCCCCACTGTATCCACATAATTTTCCTTCCTCATGATGCCATCTATTTTGTGAAGTGCACCAGTCCCTCCTGCAGCAAAGCACCCCCACAGCATGATGCTGCCACCCCCGTGCTTCAGGGTTGGGATGGTGTTCTTCGGCTTGCAAAGCTCCACCCTTTTCCTCCAAACATAACGATGGTCATTATGGCCAAACAGTTCAATTTTTGTTTAATCAGACCAGAGGACATCTCTCCAAAAAGTACTATCTTTGTCCCCATGTGCAGTTGCAAACCGTAGTCTGTTTTTTTTATGGCAGTTTTGGAGCAGTGGCTTCTTCCTTGCTGAGCTGCCTTTCAGGTTATGTCGATATAGGACTCGTTTTACTGTGGATATAGATACTTTTGTACCTGTTTGCTCCAGCATCTTCACAAGGTCCTTTGCTGTTGTTCTGGGATTGATTTGCACTTTTTGCACCAAAGTACGTTCATCTCTAGGAACGCATCTCCTTCCTGAGCGGAATGACGGCTGCGTGGTCCCATGGTATTTATAGTTGCGTACTATTGTTTGTACAGATGAACGTGGTACCTTCAGGCGTTTGGAAATTGCTCCCAAGGATGAACCAGACTTGTGGAGGTCTACCATTTTTTTCTGAGGTCTTGGCTGATTTCTTTTGATTTTCCCATGATGTCAAGCAAAGAGGCACTGAATTTGAAAGTAGGCCTTGAAATACATCCACAGGTACACCTCCAATTGACTAAGGCTAATTGACATCATTTATCAGAAGCTTGACCATGACATCATTTTCTGGAATTTTCCAAGCTGTTTAAAGGCACAGTCAACTGATTGTATGTAAACTTCTGACCCACTGGAATTGTGATACAGTGAAATAATCTGTCTGTAAACAATTGTTGGAAAAATTACTTGTCATGCACAAAGTAGATGTCCTAAACGACTTGCCAAAACTATAGTTTAACAAGAAATGTGTGGATTGGTTGAAAAACGAGTTTTAATGAGTGTAAGTGTATGTAAACTTCCGACTTCAACTGTATAATAATTATGATAGTTATAATAATGATATCTTGTTCTCAGTAAGGAAAAACCGAGCCCTGAGAACCATGAGGACAAGGACCAGAAGAAGAGAGAGAAGCACCGCCTCGAGAAGGAGAAGAAAGAGCAAAAGGAGAAAGAGAAGAAGGAGAATGAAATGAAGAAAAAATTCAAAGTCAGTCGGAGCTTGTGACATGTAGCCTTAATGAGAGATTATCTTACTAGCTAGCAGTTTAAAAGTTGCTGTGTCATGTGTATCAGGCTCATAGGTCAGTCTTGTTTTGGTATTCTGGGGGTCCAGCTTTATTTGCCCATAGGTCAACATTCCAAAACACTCCACGTCAAACAAAGTTTGCCAAACTATGGCTGTGGTTACTGTGTAATGTCTGTGTTCAGGTGACGGGCCAGGAGGAAGCGATGTACCATGCCAGGGTGACAGTGGCCAGTAAGGTGCGTAAGAACGACCTGCCAGTGAAGAGTGGTGACACGGTTGGCATCATCCGAACCACCAACTGCCCCAAAGGAAAATGGCTGGCCCGCGACGGCAACCACAAATGTGAGACGGTCAATGTTGTATTATTGTTGCAAAATTGTTGGTTAGGGATCTGGATTCAGAAAGAGTCTCCGAGGTAGGAGTGCTGATAAAAAAATATATTATATAAATTAAAAAGGAGTGCTAATATAACATTAGGATCAGTTTTGCCCTTAAGATCATCAGAGTAGACACTTTTTGAATACGGCCCAGGTCAGGAAAAACTCTTGCTAAACTGTGGCCCAAATTATTCTTAGAGCAGTGAATAACTGAAGCCTATCTGTTGCTGTTGTGGCTGTGTTTTTCCCTGTGTGATTGTTCACTTTTCCAGATGGCTATATCTCTGTGATGAATGTGGAGCTGAATATCAAAGAGATGCTGGAGCTAGGGAAGAAGGCTCAGGCTGCTGGCCGAGGAGGCACCGAGGTAGATACCATCAGCGTTGGGAGCAGGTACGCAACAGTCTATTGTTCAGCACTCTACGTCAATTCCAAACCCATTTTGTTGTACAGAGAAATAGTCACCTTTCTTAGAAGAAAAAAATGGAATGCAAAATGAAAGAATTTAAGCATGTTGCCATAATCAGGGTATTTTTATATTTTATTTTACCAAAAATTATTTTATTTACTCACTCCCTTTGGTTCCGTGCCCTTCCTAATCTCTCTACATTATATTTTACAGATCATCTAATCATCATCCCATGCTACACAGCAGCTGTAAGTCCTCAACATGCTTACAGACAGTTCTGTGTAAAAACTGCATGATTGCTAATCAACGAACACATTGATAAAGTACTCCGTCTGACTGAGGCACATTGAAAAATCAGCCTACACTTACAGAGGATTGGAGTTATGCAGAAGCACAACTGATAGATATAATCCAGAGTTATTTTATCAGTTGGCTTTATGATCGTCAATGTTGTTTTATGATAGTAAAGGAATTCCATGCGTTTTAGGCAGCAGGCCTGCAGTGTGTTGTGCCAAAGACCTTCCCATTGGCTATGGTGGTTTTGCAGCTTATCATACTCTCTCTCTCAGTCACAGATGACGATGAGGAGTGGACATTAGACGAGGAGACCCTGTCCCCCTACATGGAGAACCGGTGAGACCTTCTACACTGTCTGGGAAGCAGTCAAGCGGTCCCAATTTTATTTGTAAAGCCCTTTTTTAGTTGTCAAGTGCTTAACAGCAGTGGTTCTTAATTGGTTTTGCCTCGGGACCCAAATTTAACCAAGTTGTCTTTGTCGCGATCCAATATTCGCCATGCGATTTTTATTTTTTATAAAAATTGTATTTAGTCAAAATGCAATCTGGAAAACAATTGAATGCCATATTTATAGTCAATGTAGCAATTAAATGGCCAGGGAACAACATTTCCACCTTTTTCATTGTCAATAATTCCATTTTGGCTGTATTCTTGATAACGAATGTTAGTAAGCTCACTTGTTTAAGACTACAAAATCAACCAAATCCACTAAATAGTGCTGCTAATAGCTTTTATATTGGCAATACTGTGATTTGAAGAAATAGTTCTCAGAGATTAAATTATTTAATCACTTTCTATCTGGTTTTAGTCATTTAAATTCAGACTAGTATTTTTTTAATCCCAAAAAAATTCACACACTAAAAAAAACTCCAGCGACCCCTTCAAAACTTTGGGTCGTCACCCACCAGTTGAGAATAGCTGCTTTACAGTTCACGTTTGATTCAGCTCAACCATATTTCCACAGAATTTCTGTATAGATAATGGATGAAAAACTTTTGAAGATTGCAATGTACTGTATAAAAATATAAATTAAAGAATTTAAGTTTGTTTTTCTAGGAAAAGCTGAGCGAAGGACTGATATATTTAATTTAATGTGTTTTTATGTCTTCTTTAGCGTTCACAATCGGACTGTCTCAATGCCTGATATGCGTGAGTATTATTTGTATGGTATATTTCCATATCTTTGAAGTTATAGATTAGATTTTTGTTTTAGATGTCTGGATTAGAGATAGTGTACCTGCTGTCTCAGGTCTTCATTCTACTGCCCATATACTTATGGCAGACCATTTCAATCACACCTTCGAAGACCACCTTAAAATGACCCTCTCCACCCTCTTTTACTACCCCTTCACTCTCTTTCTTCTCTTTCATCCTCCCTCTCTCCTGTCCCATCTCACTGGCAGTCTGCAGCCATGCTAGTGCCCACCACACCCTTAGTGATGGCAGCACAGAGGACCCCCACACACAGTAAGGCTCTACTTTGTCTTTACTGTGATGCCAAATTCAAATGTTATTTATACAGCCTTTTCTACCACAAAATGTATCACAAAGTGCCCTAACTTAGTAGTTAATGGTTTCTGTCTCTTTTCTTCAGAACCAGACATGAGGCTCTTCAGAAGTTAGCCATCTTCTTTCAGAACAAAAAAGCTGGCATCAGTGACACGACAGAAGATCGAGTGGCGACCCCTACAAAGTACAGTACAGTATATACAAATTGCATTACAAATCCTCAATGCAATCTTTCCAGTCCGTTATTCTAATTTTAAAACTTTCTTTCGCTTTGTCTTCTGAAGTGCTGAAGCTCCAAGTAAGTAGTTGGATACTGACTTCTCTATGGCTGGGTCTGCTATCACCACGCATGTCACTGTCACTGATTGTGGTGGGGTTGAAAAGTGAACTCACTCCAGCCAATGTTTGTGGGACTTCATGTCAACTCTAATGGAAACAACTTCATAGGGAACTCGGAACTGAGACATGTAGCACATCACTGTACTGTCTACATCCTGATCTGTTACTGCAGATAGTGAGGACAACAGTTGTGTAACTTTCATGTCCGTTTTATGTTTATGTCCATCTACAGGCTTCCTATGTGTTGTGGAGCCTCCATACTCGTAAGTGAAGATAGTGTGTATATTTCATTCATTATCCTCATTGGTCTTGATAGCCCTTGAGGTAGTAGTCTAGCTTGGACCGTAATGCATGATGTTATTAACTGGACTTAAATGTATGTACCTGTTTTCTATGGCAGAGACCAGGAAGTGGTTTTTGCAGATTTGGAACTACTTCCCCCTCCAGTTCTATATGCAGATTTCCTGTGACAGGTCAGTACAGACTAACACTAATGGCCCAGGGGTTTTCCGTGGTCAGATCATTATGGCCAGGAAAACTACACTAGTCCTAACTTCTCAGAGCATTAAACAATTATTTCTCTGACCTCTAGCTTCATTGTCCGAGAGAATTAAAGTAGAGCACACACAGCTTCTTCTCCCATGATTGGCTGTGTAACCTGATCGGTACTGATGCAGGCCAGGCAGCCAGCTGACCAACAAACCAACCCCGCACATCTCACTCTGCCTCAGGCCTGGAGAACATACACCATGAGCTCCAGATGAACCTCTGTCATTATAGATATATGGACTCTAGATCTACCACTAGATCCAGATGAACCACAGTCATTATAGATATATAAAACTCATATTTACCACTAGCTAGATAAACCATGGTCATTTGATAATAATCTACCGTTCAAAAGTTTGGGGTCACTTAGACACTTTTTTTGTCCATTTTAAAATAACATCAAATTGATCAGAAATACAGTGTAGACATTGTTAATGTTGTAAATAGCTATTGTAGCTAGAAACTGCTGATTTTTAATGTAATATCTACATAGGCGTACAGAGGCCCATTATCAGCAACCATCAGTCCTGTGTTCCAATGGCACGTTGTGTTTGCTAATCCAAGTTTATCATTTTTTTAAAGGCTAATTGATAATTAGAAAACCCTTTTGCAATTATGTTAGCACAGCTGAAAACTGTTGTGCTGATTTAAAGAAGCAATAAAACTGGTCTTCTTGAGACTAGTTGAGTATCTGGAGCATCAGCAATTGTGGGTTCGATTACAGGCTCAAAATGACCAGAAACAAATAACTTTCTTCTGAAACTCGTCAGTCTATCTCAGACTGCCCATCTTAATCTTTTCTTTTTATTGGCCAGTCTGAGATATGGCTTTTTCTTTGCAACTCTGCCTAGAAGGTCAGCATCCCGGAGTCGCCTCTTCACTGTTGACGTTGAGACTGGTGTTTTGCGGGTACTATTTAATGAAGCTGCCAGTTGAGGACCTGTGAGGTGCCTGTTTCTCAAACTAGACACTAATGTATTTGTCCTCTTGCTCAGTTGTGCACCGGGGCCTCCCACTCCTCTTTCTATTCTGGTTAGAGCCAGTTTGCACTGTTCTGTTAAGGGAGTAGTACACAGCGTTGTACGAGATCTTCAGTTTCTTGGCAATCTCTCGCATGGAATAGCCTTCATTTCTCAGAACAAGAAAAGACTGACGAGTTTCAGAAGAAAGTTATTTGTTTCTGGCCATTTTGAGCCTGTAATCGAACCCACAATTGCTGATGCTCCAGATACTCAACTAGTCTCAAGAAGGCCAGTTTTATTGCTTCTTTAATCAGCACAACAGTTTTCAGCTGTGCTAACATAATTGCAAAAGGGTTTTCTAATGATCAATTAGCCTTTAAAATGATAAACTTGGATTAGCAAACACAACGTGCCATTGGAACACAGGACTGATGGTTGCTGATAATGGGCCTCTGTACGCCTATGTAGATATTACATTAAAAATCAGCCGTTTCCAGCTACAATAGCCATTTACAACATTAACAATGTCTACACTGTATTTCTGATCAATTTGATGTTATTTTAATGGACAAAAAAAATGCTTTTCTTTCGAAAACAAGGACATTTGACCCCAAACTTTTGAACAGTAGTATATAGATCAGATCTGCCACTAGATCTGGGCCCAGTTTTTCAAAAGTTCTCATCGGGTACGATTATAAGCATAGAAATATAATGAATAGAACTGCCCGTATTATTTACTTGAATGGGGATGCCTTTAATCCTATTCAATTGCTGAAATCCGATCAGATAACTTTTGAAAACTGAGCCCTGAAGATCAAGCAGCCTCCAGGGTTTTTCCAGTATGTTCCACCATGTTGCTTTTGATGGGCTTCCTTTCTCATGTTGGGGGGATGTTTGTGTCCTTTTTGTGCAGTTATTGTTATTGAAGTATGTTTGACCTGATGCCTTTATTTCTCTCGATCACATTTGTTTTGATAGTTGTTGTTGTATGGTTGCTTAATGCTTTATCCATGGCATGTGTACTGTTATACAAGGCTGCTTAGATCAATTGTTTTTGTTTTTCTTGTTGCTTTTGACTATGAACACAGTAAATGATGCACTGTTTCTGTTCATTGATCATTTTGACTCTACTGAATGGGAAACGATGAGGTAGGTACTCAAGTCTGCACTTTCTGTAACACAATGGTGAAACGGTACATTGTTTTGTGTACAATGCCTTGGTCAAGAGTGTGTATAATAATTTTTTGGCTCTTCACACTTGTTTTGGTCTGGTTGCAGTTTGTTGAAAATATCGGTTTTCTGTTTTTGATATCCAATGTATCACGTTTCTGTAAAGCATCAAATAAATTGTAATATTTCTAGTCTATAACAGTGCAATAGCATACTTTTTTCAGTAGAGGGCACCGCTGTTCAAATGGAAACATGATTGTTACCCTGTTGCAAAAACTGACAGATGAAACCAACAGTGACTTCACTTCTCACAATGTATCCAATCCATGTAATAGTAACAATGGCTGTACTGAATTTTAAAGATGATTTAAGGCAGCTGCTGTCAGCCAGTTGAAGATATAAAGGAAAAAAAACCTGGTTGGTTAGACAGTGGCCAGTGTTGTTTCTGACAGGGCTGGGGTAGTGTCCGGCTATAGTGGGTAGGGGGAGGGTCTTGTAGGAGGCGGTCACGGGGAGTGGGAGCGCAACTAAACCTTCCGTGGTCCTCAAGGATTATTAGAAGCTGGCTCAACAGGGCTAGCAGAATAAACGAGAACGAAATAAGCCCTAGCAGTTAACTTGAAGGTCAACATTTTTATCAGAAAAACCGGCACATCTCCTTTTTAATTTATCAGCACAATATATGGAAAACTATTCAATCATCTCTCAGCTGATGGTAACTCAAGAACTAACTCCGCTCGGCTTTATATTTGAAGTTACGAGTTCGCCACGCTTTCTTTTTATTTATTTGGAAAGCCATTCAAGGGGCCTATAAATGCAACGCTGTTTAATTTATGAGAAGACAATGGCACCAGAGACAAGGAATGGAGGAAGTTCTTCCCTGAATAACAACAACTGTAAAGACAACAGCAGGAGAAAGTTGCTGGTCGGTGTAGATCTCTTCTGCTTGTTTTTAGGTGAGATTTTCTGCCTTTCATTTCTATAGATATTTAATGATTTTCGTATGTGCAGTAGGTCAACATGTTTTAATTTGCATAAAATCTGGCTATGCGAATTAGCATATTTTGTATTGTTTGTATTATTGAGGTTATTCATAATTTTTACATCATTATTTAACCTTTATTTAACTAGGCAAGTCAGTTAAGAACCATTTCTTATTTACAATGACGGCCTAATAAGCAGCATAATGTTCTGGGACAATGTTAGTTTGTCATCATAGTCGACCTAGAGTGTTTATCCCATAATTATGTCAAGCCCATAAACTGTCAGTCTAAAAATATGCATTAATCCAATCTCAGAGCAATGTCAGTCTTTATCCAAAATACAGATTAAAAAAAATATATAAGACAGCAAAAATAGTTAACGTTTTTCCCCCTTAGAAAGACAATGATTTCTCATGACAATATTTGGCCAGAGTTATTTGAACGCCATCGCCCACAATGCAACGATTTATTCTGCTGGCAAATGGGAAAAGGTAATTGATAAATTGCTCCAAGAGGATTTCTTTGGTGTCCGCCCATACTTGTTGCACTCATTTGGCCTGTTTTAATATTTTCCAGAATGTCTCACATTCCACAAGCCAGGAATGCTCTTGAAGTGACATCTGGTGTATGTGTGATTAAAGGAAAGTGGTGAAACGGTCAGCCATATGTTCAGCTAATGTTCTGGGTGCCATATATTTCCCCCGCTCTCTCTCTCTCTTTGACTGAGCTTGGCGTGAATTATTCCTTACCAGGCTCAAAAACACTAGGGTGGTGAAGTGCCAAACAGCTCAAAGGTGAATGAATCAGTCATTCCAAGAAAGACTTCAAACTCAGACCCTAATAAGTCTTCTGATCCAAGGTCTTTGATCTGCTGGGGGACTTGACACAACACCTACTGTACAAAGTGTTATCATATGCATTTCAGAGACCAGTCATTTTTACCCCTTTACAGTTTGAAATTATTATTCCTTTCACGGGTTGAAATGTATAATACATGGAGGTGGAATAGAGGTTGAATATATTAGTCTGTGGTGAAGACGTAGTATTCAAGTTCTACTGGGTCACTGACTGAGTTGACTGGGTCCCATGGGACATCTATGGCCACTTCTTACCCCACAACTGTTTAGAATAAATAATCTCTAAGGTTATCGCAGGTCAGTAGAGGTTCTTCTGTCAACAAACTTCTGTCTCTCTATTGCCCTGCAAATGCAGAAATACAGTGCCTTCGGAAAGTATTCAGACCTCTTCCCTTTTTCCACATTTTGTTACGTTACAGCCTTATTCTAAAACGATTAAATAAAGAAAAATGTCCTCAGCAATCTACACACAATACCCCATAATGACTAAGCGAAAACTGGTTTTTAGAAATGTTAGCAAAAACAGAAATACCTCAATTACATAAGTATTCAGACCCTTTGCTATGAGACTCAAATTCAGCTCAGGTGCATCCTGTTTCCATTGATCATCCTTGAAATGTTTCTACAACTTGATTGGAGTCCACCTGTGGTAAATTAAATTGATTTGACTTGATTTGGAAAGGCACACACCTGTCTATATAAGGTCCCACAGTTGACAGTGCATATCAGAGCAAAAACCAAGCCATGAGGTCGAAGGAATTGTCCGTAGAGCGCCGAGACAGAGCTCTAGAGTTCCTCTGTGGACATGGGAGAACCTTCCAGAAGGACAACCATCTCTGCAGCACTCCACCAATCAGGCCTTTATGGTAGAGTGGGCAGACGGAAGCCACTCCTCAGTAAAAGGCACATGACAGCCTGCTTGGAGTTTGCCAAAAGGCACCTAAAGACTCTCAGACCATGAGAAACAAGATTCTCTGGTCCGATGAAACCAAGATTGAACTGCGTCACGCTTGAATGCCAAGCGTCACGTTTGGAGGAAACCTGGCACCATCCCTACGGTGAACCATGGTGGTGGCAGCATCATGCTGTGGGGATGTTTTTCAGCGGCAGGGACTGGGAAACTAGTCAGGATCGAGGCAAATATGAACAGAGCAAAGTACAGAGAGATCCTTGATGAAAACCTGCACCAGAGCGCTCAGGACCTCAGACTGGGGTGAAGGTTCACCTTCCAACAGGACAACGATCCTAAGCACACAGCCAAGACAATGCAGGAGTGGCTTCGGGACAAGTCTCAATATCCTTGAGTGGCCCAGCCAGAGCCCGGACTTGAACCCGATCGAACATCTCTGGAGAGACCTGAAAATAGCTGTGCAGCAACGCTCCCCATCCAACCTGACAGAGCTTGAGTGGATCTGCAGAGAATAATGGGAGAAACTCTCCAAATACAGGTGTGCCAAGCTTGTAGCGTCATACCCAAGAAGACTCGAGGCTGTAATCGCTGCCAAAGGTGTTTTAACAAAGGACTGAGTAAAGGGTCTGAATACTTATGTAAATGTCATTTTTATTTTATTTTTATACATTTGCAAGCATTTCTAAAAACCTGTTTTTGCTTTGTCATTATGGGGTATTGTGTGTAGATTGATTAAATAGTTTTTTTCCCCTCATCAATCTTAGAATAAGGCTGTAACATAACAAAATGTGGAACAAGTCAAGGGGTCTGAACACTTTCTGAATGCACTGTATATATTTTTTCTTATTGGATGCAGGTAAGTTGGGCCCACTCTGTGTATATACCTGCCCACAGAAAACACCTGTCAAGAATCCAGCAGTGTTTAGCTGGCTAAAGATGTGGATTGAGGGGAGTGACTGCAAGGAGGAAATGATGGAAGCGCACTGGTAATTACTAGCCTGCCTCCATTCTCACTGTGACTGGAGTTCCAGCATCTCCAGGACGGAAGGACTTTCCTCTCAGTTTACAATCAGGGGCCATATTCATAAAGCGTCTGAGTAGGAGTGCTGATCTAGGCTCAGTTTTGCCTTTTCGATAATAATAATAATAACTAAGCTTATATGGACAGGAGTGACCTGATCCGAGACCGAAATGCTTTATGAATACGGGCCCAGATCTCAGTAGCCTGGTCCAGAGCTTTATATTTAGATGTCAATATCTCAATAAGGCTGTGGTCTGGTTCCATACTGTATGCATGTGCTGTAGCCAACTCTTTTATCACTATGACAATAATAAGACAATACTGTTGGCTACAGCACATAGAGTATGAGACCTGGCTAGCTTTTAGTTCTGTGATACCCCAAGACCATCATGGACAAAATAGCATTTGTTTAAACAGGCAAAACTTTAAGGTAACATTTCAGTCCCGTGCAATGCCAGGGTTGTGGGTTCAATTCCCACGGGGGGCCAGTATAAATTGTGTTAAAAAAAAAAAGTATGCACTCACTAACTGTAAGTCGCTCTGGATAAGATCGTCTGCTAAATGACTAAAAAGTAAATGGAAGAATAATTTCTAAAAGATTTTTACATTTTTCTAATGGATTATTCATGAAAAGTTATTATAAATTGTAACCAAACTCAAGCTTTATTCCCTGTAGATTGAACTGAATCAACAGTGTTTTCGCTAAAACCTACCTTAATCGTATGGTTGAATAGGGTTAGTTGAACAGTCGTTGCAGGTGGGTTTTACGTTTTCTAATTGTCTTATAATGTCCCCATTAGCTGATGCCTGGCTGTAGCTCATCAGAAAGTTCTAGGGGGCTAAATCAGCTATAGCATGACTGTTTTTAATGTTTTATTTAGTCAGTAACATGTTGAGACTATGTGGCACGCAGATCCTTTTAAAGGGCCAATCTGCAGTTGCTACATACATTTTTGGACTTGTAAATACAGTTATGATATGTATGCAGTGATTCTTGAAGAATATAACTCATAAATGCCTAGATGAGCTTAGTTCAACTGTCACACCCCATCAGAACCCAAAATAGAAGCTTGTTTTACTCCAATGTTTGTAAACAAAGTCAATTTAAATAAACACTAGCCTCAAAACATGCTTAAAACTATCATTTTGATATCATGGATAGTCAGTCCTTGCATCCATAGTTCTGGCTATGAATTTGAGAGTGGTTACATCCCTCAGCTTTTTTACCGAAACAGTGGCTGGGGAGTTCTTTGTTATTATTTCAACTGCTGATTGCCACCTTAAGTATTCATCAGTAATAGTTTTGGCAACCACAATTCAACACAAATGTGATCTTTCCCCTCCGTTCCTTTCTCCCAGCAGTCTGTGGAAGGACTAGAGCATAGGGACGGGGTTTGCCCACCGCACCACGACCAGACACACAGACAGGGAGTCGTTTCTGTGGGGGCTACTGCCTGCCATGCACACAAGGGTACAAGTAAAAACAAGGGCATCTGTATATACTCTCTTATACATGTAGTATACATTTCTATGCCAGGGGGTGAGCAATGGCAGCAAGTGGAAAATGTGTCTGTTTATTTTAGCTTCAGCAACTGGTGTTATGATATATGCCCCAAAAATATGATGAAATTTAATTCATTCAATGCAAGCCTCTATTTGCCTGTTCCAAACATTGATTGTAGTTTCCATAGTGGAATTGAAGCCCCAAACTGAAATTCTAAAAAGTCCTATGGGCATGCTTAAGAATTCTTATAACCCAATAAGCTCAAGGTAAATGTTTCTCGCTTCCAATTTTCCATGAGAGAAAGCAAAGCATTCAGGTGTTTGAGTACTAACTCATCACTTCGAGGAAGTTGTTTGGTTATACCTTACTGGGGCTTTAAAGGGATTCGCTACGATGGTAGAAAAGCCTAATAATAAATAAACCACCATTGTGATATTGGTAAAAATAAAATTCTACGAGCTCACTCATGCCATTTTTTATTAGGGAGTGTTTACTGTTTTCTGTTTTTTGGGGGTCAGTGTAGCTAATGCATTAGACATACGCCTCGGCTGGTGTTGTTGTTGGCAACTAGCGGGGCACTAGTTTTCCCTCGCTTGTGCGAAGGGCCAGGAAAACGGGAAATTCCTAGATGCCTTGCAGAATGCTGATGCTGCACTGTCTGGTGGCATGGGGCGTCGGGGTTGGGGGCCTCGGGGCAAGACAACACAGCTGAATCATGGGAAAACCCGGCTTAGTAACGTCTCAATTTCCTTTTAACTTCCTCTCCTTTTTACTCGCCAGCCTACACTGTGAGTCTTGGATCTGGTTATGTGTTTAAAGGTGGTCAGTGAGATCAAGACACCACGATTAACACCTTGCACGTTCGTAGCAGTGCAGAGCCCAGGGCTCTTTTTTCTTTCCACTGTCCTACATCCAGTGGTGTTAAGTACTTAAGTAAAAATACTTTAAAGTATTACTTAAGTCGTTTTTTTTGGGTACTCGTACTTTACTATTAATTTTTTTTGATTACTTTTACTTTTACTTCACTACATTCCTAAAGAATATAATGTACTTTTTACTCCATACATTTTCCCTGACACCCAAAAGTACTCGTTACATTTTGAATGCTTAGCAGGACAGAAAATTGTCCAATTCACACACTTATCAAGAGAACAACCCTGGTCATCCCTACTGCCTCTGATCTGGCGGACTCACTAAACACAAATGCTTCATTTGTAAATGATGTCTCAGTGTTGGAGTGTGCCCCTGGAAATCCGTAAATAAAAAAATTAATAAAAACAATTGTGTTGTCTGGTTTGCTTAATATAAGGAATTTTAAATGATTCATACATTTACTTTTACTTTTGATACTTAAGTATATTTTAGCAATTACATTTACTTTGATAAGTATATTTAAAACCAAATACTTTTAGACTTTTACTCAAGTAGTATTTTACTGGGTGACTTTCACTTTTACTTTAGTCATTTTCTATGAAGGAATCTTTACTTTTACTCAAGTATGACAATTGGGTACTTTTTCCACCACTGCCTACATCATCAGCAAGCAGCGGTCCTAAGCTGCCAAACCAAGCACTGTGCTGTGAGAGGAATGCCTGCTGATTCCCTCCCATCACAAGGGCCATGAAAAGGCCTGACGGATCAGACAGTCAAGATCGGACACTACTTAAAGTATGTTTTCTCTCTGCTAGAGCTCTAACGCCACTGAAAACACCTAGCTTCAAATGGTCTCCTGGTTTATTATTGCTCCTGTCACGGTATTTGTTTGAATAGTAATAGTAAAAACAGTAACAGTAATAATGTGAATCATGTTGAATCTTGGATGTGAGGGAGGACAGCCAGCGGAGTGGTTAGGGTCTGGTCTGGGATTCCCATCAGGCAGAGAGACTGGCCTGTAACATGAGCCGCTCCCAGCTGGGCCTTCAAAGCCCAGGCTGCTTGGAGCAGAGCGAGGGGTGCCAAGCATACTGAGGCGTGTGTTGACATTTGGGTTTGAAGACATCAAGCCCCCTACCTCAGCTCTGCAGTACCCAGGCCAGCACCCCCAGTTTGACCTCTCCCCCCCGGCCTCAACCTGTACCTAGAGAGAAGGGGCAGGGGGGATGAGAGAGAGCAGATGTTTGTTTTTCTTTGTATTCATACATTACAGAATTATTCAAGAGGTTCACTTCAAAGCATCAAACATCAGTTAAAGTTCCACTTTGATGTATGTTTTCCAAATTTTGTCAGGGAGAGAGTCCTCTCCTGTGTACTACTTTTCCCCTTTATCTGTAAAAGTTCCTTTCAAGTTGGGGGAAATGACCGGTCCTCTTGGCCTACGTTTTATTTTCTCATCCAATATGTTTGTTATTTGTTTGTTGTAAAAAAAAAAATGTAAAGTGGTTATCCCACTGGCTATAGGGTGAATGCACCAATTTGTAAGTCGCTCTGGATAAGAGCGTCTGCTAAATGACGTAAATGTAAATGTAAATGTAAAAAAAAATTTGATAAGCTATTTTACCTCTAAAAGTGGCCAAAGACACTAATTAGATTTGACAAAAACACCCTTCAGGCACCTTTAAGTCTCAGCCTTGAAAGGCTGTTTTCTGGTAGAGGAAGGAAGAGGTTGAAGTCTGATAGCACCGCCATGTTTTTTCCACATTAGTTATCAGTGATGGATACCATCCAACCCTTTTAGTACTAGCTGCCTCCGTTTGATGTTGGTTATTCATACTATGATGGGCGCTACAGATTCTAACAATGACAGATCTTCCCCTTTCTTGGCTGCCATGTCAGTGAATTTCGTTTAGTTTATTTAATTTGCTGTCATTAAGTTAATATTGTCAATGGCTGGGTCATTCCAGTACACAGAGATATGGATAACAACAGCAGGATGTTCATGTGTTATCTGGTGGTAGAGCGAGAGGCTCTATCGCTTCAATGGTTATTCGGTAGATTATTTGCTGTAGCCTGCATGTCCCCTTGATATCTTCCTCAAATTGAACATCGTACAGGTCCAATTTTGATCTCTGTATCATTTTATATTACACAAATGTACAACGTTATCAGCAGAGGTTTGTTTGAAGAAAACGTTGATCAATGTTATGATGAGAACTGCATAACAACAGTTCCCTTCCAGAGCCCATGCAAGTGTATTTGTCCGCCCCAGGTAAGTGTGTGGGGGTGTCTTTCTGTGTTTGCTGTGTGAGCGTTGGGGTTAACTGCAGAAATACAGATTTTGTGTGTTTGTATGTCAGTCAGAATACATGGGCTGCTCTCTCTCACCCCAGCTCTCGTGTGTCTGTCTGTGTGCAGTGATGCTCTTTGCTGTCTTTCTGCACAAGTTTCACATCGTGCCCCACCGGAGGGGGTTGTTCTGCAATGACAGCAGCATCACCCTGTCCTATAAGAACAGCACGGTGCCCACCACTGCCCTGGTAGCTGTGGGGTTCATTGTGCCCATCACCTCCGTAAGTCTTTAATATGGCGCAGCAGCAGGAGGGACAGAGAATGCATACAGAGGACTCACTCCAACTCCACCCAGGCACTAACTGGCTATCTAAATGTGTCCGTACACACTTATAGCTTCCTAACATTTAGTAGTTGGGGATCACCTTTCTAGTCATATCAGTTGGCTATAGCAGAAACAGACCAAGGCCAGTAGGGGAATTCATTGGTCCAAAATACATTTAGAGTGAGAAGTGAGACCCCCATATTCCCTGTCCGTCCATCGCTGTGCCATCTACCTGTGGACACTCCTCTAGGAGCCCCTTATTGACCCTCTCTCTCTCTCTCTCGCTCTCTCCGTCTCTCTCTTCCACTCCTTCTCTTCTCTCTCTCTCTGCCTCACCGCTGCTGTGTACATAGCCGGCCTGCCTTTCCTGATCATAGAGACTAGTGCTGTACAGCCCTACCGCCGAGGCTTTTACTGCACCGATGAGTCCATCAAGTACCCGGCCAAACACGGAGACACCATAAGCGACGCTGTGCTTTCTGCTGCTGGCATTCTTATCACCATCCTTTCTGTAAGTCACTATAACTCACTAATTAGCCTGAGTCCCAGATCAGTTTGTGCTGTCTTGCCAACTACTATGTATAATAGTTCGCACAAACAGATCTGGGACTCAGGCTACTCACTAATGTATGTTCACCTCACTTTTCACTTCACTGTCTCAGCACTGTGCACCATCACCTACTCATTGTACTGTGTGTCTACTGTGCCACCCACTGTGTCCTAGTCCCAGTCACTGTACTATGGGTCAACTAAATGTCACCACGGATCGAGTCACCTTTGAACTATCATGTCTAGTGAACGTTATCAAAGATCAAGTTTGTTTGTTTTTTGACCACCATTTTTGACCACCTTGCCAATACACATCATTCAACGTATAACTTTCTCTGAGTGCCTACATGCTCACAGACAGATTGTGGAATTAGTATCTTAATGCGCATTTCCATACAGGATTCACCTCAGTGTTTTACTCAAAAGGCTCAGACCTTTCTGTTTCCATCTATGTGGGCCGGCACCTGTGTCTCACTGGGTCATGGCCACTGGTACTTTTCAGCCTGCATTTACATAACAAGGGCTAACTGTGAACTTTAACATCTTCTCACAAAGCAACTGTTTTGATTATGCAGAGGTTGTTGATTCTGCTGTTCACAAGTCCTCACTGCCAGCCCTAGCTATGGAAACAATTTCCCCAGTATAACATAAGGGTGTTACAGTCGAAAAGCAGCATTATTGACTATGGTCTTCAAGACCTGTCATATCAGGACTTTTAGTGTTCTGAGTAGTGCTAGATAACAGCCAATCACAATCAACATTCCCTGTTGGTTCTGCTGTTAGTGTTATCTTGATTGGTGTGATTAAGATGGTTCCAGTAATGAATGTGTTATAAAAGAGTTAAGAGCGTTGAAGTGTTAAATGGATCAGGCTGTTGCTGTTTACTGTAAGATGACTGAAGATCTGTTGCTGGTATAGGGCTCCCTCTCACTTAAGAGAAGTCTAACCTCAGGGTTGCAACGTTAAATAACTTTCAGATAGTAATAGATTATGTAGAACAGACATGCTTCTCTGTCCTATAAAATAGGGTCAGATGATCATGTCAACTGCTCTATTCAAGACATTTCTATCCTCAGTCTTCTGTAAGGTTGCACCCCACTGAACAGACCCAGTCAAGGGTTGAGGGGATTGGATTGGTTTGCATGGTGAGAAGGATCTCCCTGGGCCTGTGTAATTATGGTTGACGCAATGGTTGTTCGGTCAAACACTGTAATTCATGGGCCTGGAAATGTGGTGGATGGCACAGGAGATTTTTCTTCTTCTGAACGTGACGTTAAATTCCATGTTCCCCAGAGGCCCAGAGCCTTTTGGCTGGCCTTAGTCGTTCTTGAACTCTTGGAAAACTCTTAGCATTAGGTCATTTAATGCTTCGTTGCCCCTCGGATAAAGTGGAGAGAGAATCTGCCTGTCTTAAAGGCATAGAGGCTGTGTCCCTTGAAATTGGCACTGCGTAAAAAACCTCTTATCATTTGTGAGACGACTAGACGTTTATGAGACAAGCCACGAGACAACCTCTTCCCCCCTTTGAATATCTCTGAGTTTACAACTGTAACAGTTACACAAAGTTACTACAAAGCTGTTTCATTCAAATAGTTGATCTTCTCTCAGTTGTCACACAATGAGAACCAGATGTGTTCTTTTCTCTCCCATGAAGCAGCTGGGTTGGATCAGCCAGGCACTAAAGGGCTCCATGGTGGAAAAACAAAACAAAAAAAATACATGTTATCAGCTTGTAAAATCTCCCTATAGGACTTTCCCCCAAAGGAATGTTTTTTTTTTTTTTTTTTTTTTTTTTTTATGAGACGTTTTTTCGCCCAGACAAGAATTTTGCGATGAAACCGAGATACTAACAAGAAAACACCCACACATCCCCTAGTGAAATCAGAGCCCCAGCGAAAACAAGTCAGCTGGTGAGATGGAAAACTAACTAGCCCCTGATGTGAGCCTGCTCTGGCCGAATCTGGACAACATGTCGCCTAGCTCAGCGTTTATCCTGATTAAAACCAGAAGTTCTTCTCCCACCCTCCCTCTCTCTCTCTCCCTCCTGCCCTTTCTCATTCCCTTCTCAATTCCTCTCCCTTTTCCCTCCTTTTCTCCCTCCCTCTCTCCCCCTCTTTTCTTCTCTCCCCACTCACTCCTTCTCGCCACCCTCCCTCTTTCTCTCCCTCGCTCTCTTCCTCCCTATCTCCCCTGCTCTTCTTCTCTCACTGCTCACTCCCTCTCTCCCTTCCTCTCTCCCTCTCTTCTTCTCTCCCCCTCTGTCCCTACCTCCTGTCACACTCTCTCTCCCTCCCTCTCTTCCCTCTCCCTCACTTCTCTCCCCACTCACTGCCATTTGTCAGTGGCCAGGTGGTGGACTAGAGTAGGGTGGGGAAGGGAAAGGGATTTGTACTTGAACAGCTGTAGTGAATTATTGGTGTCCAGTCCACGTCCCCTAGTCCAGTCTACGTTTAGGTTTACTGAAAACCTCTGCATGTGTCGTCCACAACTCACATACTCACTCACCCTCACATACTGTAGCTATGCTGAAATTTATGCATTTTGATTTTGATGTTAATTTTACAGACCGAGGGTTTGATCTGTAGTGTTTTTATCAACTTTGTCCTCCAAAACAAACAGAAACATTTGAAAGTCTTAGATGTAAGGCTTTTTTCCTCACTCAATGAAAGTTCACAGTATTGATGTCACTGTTCATATCACATTCTGATTAATCCTAATATTGTCCCTCTCTACTTTCTGATCTGTCTCACCTGTTTTACTGCTGTGATTTACTGAATTCCAAGTGTGTATTGGATGTCTGATACTCTATCATATGGTATATTTAAGAAATGAATAAGCTGTTCAGTTTTGTTGACATAAGAAGTGTCTACATAACCACTATGGAACAGAGAACATACAGTAACTAGTAACAATGAATTATTGTTATTTACCTTGGCAGTAATTTAGTGCTGTATGCTGTACTAGCAGTCATTTGATTGCCCCAGGTCTACAGCGGCCATCTTTGTAGATGACGTGACTGCTAAGCCATATATACATGCAGAGATATGTGTATTTCTGTATCCTCTCCTTGATCCCTCCTGTCAGATCATCATTGGTGAGAGATAAAGTCATGTAATCTACAAAGATGGCCGCGTAGACTCCGGGTCCATTAATTACCATTTGACTGCCACAGCGGCCATTTTGTACTGTCGATTACATGACTGTATCCTCTCCTTGTTCCTTCCCCATCAGATCATCATTGGGGAGAGCTATAGGATCCACTACCTGAACGAGGGCTCCAAGTCCTTCGTAGGGAACCCCTACATCTCCGCCCTCTACAAGCAGGTGGGTGTGTTCATCTTCGGCTGTGCAGTCAGCCAATCGTTCACGGACATCGCCAAGGTGTCGGTGGGCCGCATGCGACCCCACTTCCTGGACGTGTGCAAGCCCGATTGGTCCACCATCAACTGTTCCCTGGGCTACATCACAGATTACCAGTGTCATGGGCCCGAGAGCAAAGTCCAGGAGGCCAGGTACATTACTCTGACATGACTCCATTGTGATTGTGAAGCATCTATGTAGTGCTTATGAAGACTTTATGAATGCTCTATAAAGAAACGTATAAGTTAAGCTTCGTTTAAAGTGATACTGGTTATATTTCATGCAAAGTGAATGCTTAGTTCAATACCCACGAGAAAGGCATGAAGTTGCTCTTACCTGTATAGCAACAACAACACTGTATTAACATGTTTTTGCTCTCCTTTTCAGGAAGTCGTTCTTCTCTGGCCATGCATCCTTTTCCATGTACACCATGCTGTATCTGGTGGTGAGTTACTGTTATGTGTCTTAGCCACATGCACAGGCACACACACGCACGCGTATAACAGACGTCACGCTGCTTGCTTAGCGAGTACCACTTCCTCGTGATTCGACTCACACTGAGGCTGGAACCCAGGACCTCTGCTCTGCTAGCACACAACGCTACACAAAAAGCTAGCTAGGCTGAGGAATACATTTCACACACCCCCATGTGCTACACACGCACACGCACACACACACTCTTCCTCCCTCCCTCCCCTCCCTCCCTCCCTCCCTCCCTCCCTCCCTCCCTCCCTCCCTCCCTCCCTCCCTCCCTCCTTCCCTCCCATACACACACACACACACACACACTCCCTCCCCCCCACACACATGCACACACACATCCGCACACGCACACGCACACACACACACACACTCTTCTTCCCTCCCTCCCTCCCTCCCACACACACACACCTACTTGTCACCCTGTGTTGATACTATTTCCCCTCTATGTCCTGTCCTCCCAGTTCTACCTGCAGTCCAGGTTCACCTGGCGTGGAGCCCGTCTCCTGCGCCCCCTGACCCAGTTCACCCTCATCATGATGTCTTTCTACACCGGCCTGTCCCGCGTGTCTGACCACAAGCATCACCCCACAGACGTCCTGTCTGGCTTCGCACAGGGAGCCTTGGTGGCCTACTGCATAGTAAGTACTATAACTATGACTTACTACATAGGATGATATGGTACTGCATATACAAATTACTACATACATTATGCAGTTATGCAGTCTGTATCAATAAAATGTATGACCTGTTTTTACTATATAATATATTATGTTTTTTTCTATCCCCCAGGTGTTTTTTGTATCTGACCTGTTCAAGCCCAGAGGCAGGAGTTCAGCTCTACCAGCGACCCCAGTAAAGAACCCCACCAACCCCATGACAGACATCAGAGAGCGGAGCAACCACCTCACCATGGCATAGTAGAGACCACTAGAGTCCAGCTACCTACCGCTCTAGGTTTTAAAGATCAGTTACTTAATCTACTGGTCTATACTGGATACGTTCAACAACCAGCTAAAGCATCAAGACTGAAAACGGACATGTCTGTAAGGCACAGAGAAATAATAAACTGGAAAACATTGGAGAAAAGAGGAGGGTTGTACACACACACACACACACACACACACGTTGTGCCTTTTGAACAGCCAGCAACACCCATGTTGCTCACCATCTCATGTGCCATGTGAATGTGGAAGAACGTGGGGAGCACCGCTCTCAATTTTTATCCGGAGAACTCCGTTTTTCTATTGTGTTTTAATTAGTGAAGGTCTCCATCCAACCTGCTGCTCTGCAGATTGACTTAGTCTGGTAACTTCAGGCAACACGGATTCAGGCTCATAATTCTGCCTATGACAGAAACGCATGAACAGAAACAAATTCCTTGATTACAGGAAGGATGTTTTTATTTTATTTTATGAATAACCTTTGTTATATAGTCGAGCTATAGCACTATATCCAAACTCGATATTTGATTGTCACCACTTGAATGAACTGAAAACGTGAAGCTTTTTTGTAAAGCTTTGTATTAAAACCAGCTTTTAGGTTTGTATAGAAATTTAGATATAGGTAATGGAGTTGTGGTAGTGTATACAGTAGATAGAGAGGTGGGCCTCTTTCTGCTGGTTGGGACGAGCCCCCACTGAGCCCTGTAATGAAATAACTCTGTGTGTGTCAGACGGCTGCTCACAAGTGTTAGGTCAGAGTGACTGTGTGTGTGTGTGTGCGTGTGTGTGTGTGTGTGTGTGTGTGTGTGTGTGTGTGTGTGTGTGTGTGTGTGTTTGCGCGTGTCTCGTGTGTCAGTATCTGAATGTCATGTCTATATTTGAGTGTGTTTGTGTGTTTTGTCATAAACGCTTCAGGTTGAAGACCGGGAACATGAGGCTGCTTCAACAGACGTTAATATTAAAAACAGGAAAACTGTGGAATTATACTTTCTTATAGCTTTGTGATACATTTTGTAATGTTTCACATATACTGTGCCAACTGCACAACAAAAAAATAACCCAATCTCTGTGACAATATAGTATATCCTGCCCTTTCATGTCCTTTCAACCACACAGCAATATCGGTTTTATTTTTTTAGATAATTTATGTATCAGAGAATTATGTACAATATCATTTATCTACCTTTTCATGAAATATCCACTATGAATTTTGACGGGTCGATGCCTGTGTAATTGTGTAAGTGCTGCTTAAACAAGCAATGATTGCCAGACTTTTGTGAGTATTCAAACTTTTGTTTAATAGCTTTTTTTAAAGACAGCTTCAGTACATGTACACTACTGGTCAAAAGCTTTAGAACGCCTACTTATTCAAGGGTTTTCCATATTTGTACTATTTTCTACAATGTAGAATAACAGTGAAGACATCAAAACTATGAAATAACACAAATGGAATCATGTAGTAACCACAAAAGTGTTAAACAAATCAAAATATATTTTATATTTGAGATTCTTCAAATAGCCACCCTTTGCCTTGATGACAGCTTTGCACACTCTTGGCATTCTCTCAACCAGCTTCATGAGGTAATCACCTGGAATGCATTTCAATTAACAGGTGTGCCTTCTTAAAAGTTAATTTGTGGAATTTCTTTCATTCTTAATGCGTCAATCAGTTGAGCCAATCAGTTGTGTTGTGACAAGGTAGGGGGGGGGGGGGGGGTATACAGAAGATAGCCCTATTTTGGTAAAAGACCAAGTCCATATTATGGCAAGAACAGCTCAAATAAGCAAAGAGAAACCACAGTCCATCATTACTTTAAGACATGAAGGTCAGTCAATACGGAAAATGTCAAGAACTTTGAAAGTTTCTTAAAGTGCAGTCGCAAAAACCATCAAGCGCTATGATGAAACTGGCTCTCATGAGGACTGCCACAGGAATGGAAGACCCAGAGTTACCTCTGTTGCAGAGGATAAGTTCATTAGAGTTACCAGCCTCAGAAATTGCAGCCCAAATAAATGCTTCACAGAGTTTAAGTAACAGACACATCTCAACATCAACTGTTCAGAGGAGACTGTGTGAATCAGGCCTTCATGGTCGAATTGCTGCAAAGAAACCACTACTAAAGGACACCAATAATAAGAAGAGACTTGCTTGGGCCAAGAAACACGAGCAATGAACATTAGTGTGGGTGAACGGATGATCTCCGCACGTGTATTTCCCACCGTAAAGCATGGAGGAGGAGGTGTTATGGTGTGGGTGTGCTTTGCTGGTGACACTGTCTGTGATTGATTTAGAATTCAAGGCACACTTAACCAGCATGTCTACCACAGCATTCTGCAGCGATACACCATCCCGTCTGGTTTGGGCTTAGTGGGACTATCATTTGTTTTTCAACAGTACAATGACCCAACACACCTCCAGGCTGTGTAAGGGCTATTTTACCAAGAAGGAGAGTGATGGAGTGCTGCATCAGATGACCTGGCCTCCACAATCCCCCGACCTCAACCAAATTGAGATGGTTTGGGATGAGTCGGACCACAGAGTGAAGGAAAAGCAGCCAACAAGTGCTCAGCATATGTGGGAACTCCTTCAAGACTGTTGGAAAAGCATTCCAGGTGAAACTGGTAGAGAGAATGCCAAGAATGTGCAAAGCTGTCATCAAGGCAAATAGTGGCTATTTGAAGAATCTGAAATATAAAATATATTTTGATTTGTTTAACACTTTTTTGGTTACTCCATGATTCCATATGTGTTATTTCACAGTTTTGATGTCTTCACTATTATTCTACAATGTAGAAAACAGTAAAAATAAAGAAAAACTCTTGAATGAGTAGGTGTTCTAAAACTTTTGACCGATGTGTATATTAAAATAACCTTTTAATAATTTTGTATTGTCCTTTTTTGTATTTTTTTCAATAAAAATACAAGCCATATGTATGTATCAAATATGTGCTTTGTAATAAAAAAAACATTATGTTAAGAGTTTTTGTGCTTCTTTTTCATGTCTTTCCTCACTTTGACTGGGACAAAGCCATAGAAAAGACTTCCAGGAGAGTTGATAGTGAAGCGGAGCAGCTCTATCCGACCGTGTGCGAGGGTGAGATCTGGGCGTAGGTTCTAGTCTATGGTAGAGTTCCGTTCCGTGCTTCACTTCCTGAAGGGGAAATAGTGTGCATTCCAGGTTTTAACCCATGTCCCCAATGGCACACTGTAATAATATAGACCATGCTGGTGAGTATGCCACAGTGGCAAGTTAGTACATTCCATAAGAGAATGTAATTCTTGGAAGACTAGCCCTTTGGTGAGCTGAAAGAGATCCTAATAATGTACAACAATAGTATGTTTCAGGACTCAATTGTTACAACTACAATCCCTATTGAAAAATGCATCCTCTGTAGGTTGTTCCATAGGCTACTATTCAATCCCTGAAGAATCCATACTCAAATGAATGAGCAACATAACTATACTGTAGATCTGGCAGTGTCAGCAAGGAGCTTATATGTAATTATGGCTATAAGCTGGAAAGCGTGCTTAGTCTAGTTATGACTCAGTCACAACCATTTCCTGATGTCTCCATTGTCTTAACAAGGCAGAGAAGAACCCGAAAGAAGTGTGTTGTACATAGTTTTGGCTATCTATGCTCTTACCAGTTATGGTACTTACCCACCCATCGTCTTCCTGAGTAGATACTTGGCACAACTGAGGAATGAGAGGCCTGAGCAGTAACAGTGTCTTAAAACCTCAAAGTCAGTTTTGTCTCCCTCTGTTTCTATAAACAACGCTGGTGAAAGTTTCACAAACCAAACATGGAGCTTTTTTTCTGAGAGGTGAAACACTATTGACACACAACTTTTTATTGCTACCAAACATGGCTGTCTCTTTTATCTATATTTTTGAACCACTTCCATAGAAGTCATAATAGTTAGAGGAAGATTAAGAAAGCATGTACAGTGTCTGAACTCTATTTCTCCATGAAATAAATGTCCTTGTCTGATGAAGACAGTGGCCAAGAGTCTAATAGATATTCAGAAATGTGATGTGAAGCCTTCTTGAACCCCTTGGTTATGCTCAGATGGTAAAGGTTTATCACTAGTCCGACTTTTAGCAAACTACAGGTTCAATGAAGCGTTCATAAACCCTTTATAAGGCCTTCAGAAATCACTCTGTGTGCCAGTTTGATCAACATGTGTTGCAATGATTTGGAGTGAAATGTTTGACTTAAAGGTTTTCTCTTTGTTTTGACCAAATGTTTTTTATTGTTTCAGCTAGGGTCACTAAAAGGCTTTTTTGGTGGTTTTCTTATAAACATTTATGTGTTGCAATTATTGGGAATGAAATGTTTGGCTTGAGGTTGTATACACAGTACTTTTTAAACCGACATATGGCCACGACAGACATACCATTTCTGGGAATTCTCATCATGTTTTTTTTTTCATTGAGAGAAAGAACGATTTCTTCATCAACAGTCCTAAGCACACTAATAATGGAATCTCTTAGATGTGGTCTTTAAACAAAGAGGTTAATTTGTTGTTCTTGTTTTCCCAGTCATTTAACGCCTATTATGTGTGCGGTTGCATTTTTGTGTTGAGTGTTGCCCTGACTGCATTCTTCACATGCAGTTAGCTCTGTGGAACTGTTGTGGTCACCTCTGAAGTCACATTTGAAGATATTATTTTTCTTGTTTGTTTATTCAAAAGGGACCCCTTCTGCTCTTGAAATGCGAACATTGATCCAAAGCACAAATGTTATCAATTAAAACGACTGAAGCGGTTTGTTTCTATCACACAAACAAATTAGGAGATTTGCTGAGGGGCTCTACTACATTCTCTGAGCTGTATTTTACAATGTGTGAGCTGTTATTTTGGCAGTCTTTTTGATGTGAGGTCTTATAAATGTGGAATGTAGAAAAACATATGGCAACCATTAGAAGTAACATGTCATATTAATCTCCAATGATAGCGAGCATAACAAACGAGGCAAAGGGATAAGAGAGGAACAACAACAGCAGCCAGTGTAGATCGTTTGAAGAGAGCAGCCCAAAGTGAGGAAGATCAGTTTCTCCATTTGAGATCTCTCATATGGTCTGTCAGTTGTTTATGTTGCTGAGGTCCTCCCTCCCTCCCTCCCTCCCTCCCTCCCTCCCTCCCTCCCTCCCTCCCTCCCTCCCTCCTCTCCCTGACAGATTGGGGGTTGATAGGAAATGAGGCACACTCACAATGCTCCCATTGCCTCGGCTAATAACTGGCCCCACCCACCCACCCGCACACACACACGCACACACACATGCACACACGCACACACACACACATACACACGTATGCACACAGCTGATAGGTGACCTCATTACAACGTGGGTCTCTACTCAACATGTTCTGCCCGAATCACAGGCCTTCACCCATGAGACACCAACCATCACCAGACTACGAGAGGATAGTCAGTGTGCGTCATCTCACACATACACACACACCCACGAGCACACACACACACACACACACACACACACACACACACACACACACACACACACACACACACACACACACACACCACACACACACACACACACACACACACACACACACACACACACACACACACTTTATACCTCTTTCCATCTCCCTACATAACCTTCTTGTTTAACTAGAGTATTTGTTGCCCGTTAATGTTTTATGTGAAAGGTCTGGAATAAACGCTGGGCACTTGGGTGAGGAGAGAGAGTCAAGTATCAAAGACTTATGTAAGAATCTTTACTGTTCCTCACAGGTCCACACACACACACACACACACACACACACACACACACACACACACACACACACACACACACACACACACAAACATACACACACACACAGCATGCTTATCCATTTGAGCTGTCCTAAATCTCTAAATCAAGGAGGACGTGTGGATTTAGGTCCACAGATGTAAGTCATTATCTCCGTCTCTCCTCAGTCACTGGAAAATGTAAACACGTGAGGGTGAAATTCTCTCCCATCCATTCCAACCTATCCTCCAGTTTAACACTGTCACTCTGCTTGATACCCATGCAACCGAGACATGAGGGACACAAACAGGGACATAGGCAAATTACAGTTGGCCCAGAACAGAGCTGCACGGCTGGCCCTTAAATGTACACGGAGAGCTAACATCAATAACATGCATGTCAATCTCTCCTGGCTCAAAGTAGAGGAGAGATTGACTGCACCACTACCTGTCTTTGAGAGAGGTATTGACATGTTGAAAGCACTGAACTGTCTGTTCAAACGACTAGCACACAGCTCAGACACCCATGCATACCCCCACAAGTCATGAGGTCTCTTCACAGTCCCCGAGGCCAGAAAAGACTATGGGAAACACACAGTACTACATAGAGCCATGACCACATAGAACTCTATTCCATATCAAGTAACTCATGCAAGCAGTAACATCAGATTTTTTTAAAACCAGATAAAACTACACCTTACTGAACAACACAGACTGTGAAGAGACATACACAGGCACACACACACGCATACAAACACACACGCTAACACACACACACACACACACTCTACACACACGGAAATTGTAATGTTGTAATATTGTTGCATTGGGATATTATACATTTTGTATTACAGAGTAGTGGTGTAATAATGTTTTGTATGATTTATTGTTACATTGAAATTTTTTTGTGATGTAATCGTCTTAATCTTGTTTGGACCCCAGGAGGAGTAGCTGCTCCCTTGGCAGGAACTAATGGGGATCTATAAAAAATACTAATATAAATATATGTGCAGTGAAATATTCTGAATGTTGCAGATAGAAATGTAATAAATAGAGTTGACACAATTCCCTATTATACATGACAGACAATCATATCAGTTCTACACTATACATTTCTATCTGAACCCACCAGGCCCATGGTTTACCCAGGCCAGTAGTCAAAATCTAAACTGCCACTGGAACAATGAGAGTGAAGAAGTATGATCAGAATAGTCTGATTGTAATGGTAAACTTTGTTTACCAGGATGGAGGATATTCAGAGGGGAGCTGTCCATAGGTGTAATATAACTGTATCTCTCAACCATCTACCCCATATGGTATGTCTGTCAGTATCACCACTGTGACTAAAACCAACTGACCCACATGTCACAGCTTGGCTACAGATGTATCCTGGTGCGTTTGTCTCCATCCTGACCAGATTCCGTCCACCATTAGTTTCTATATGTTCTGTATGTCTATATACAGTGAGGAAAAAAAGTATTTGATCCCCTGCTGATTTTGTACGTTTGCCCACTGACAAAGAAATGATCAGTCTATAATTTTAATGGTAGGTTTATTTGAACAGTGAAAGACAGAATAACAACAACAAAATCCAGAAAAAAGCATGTCAAAAAATGTTATAAATTGATTTGCATTTTAATGAGGGAAATAAGTATTTGACCCCCTCTCGATCAGAAAGATTTCTGGCTCCCAGGTGTCTTTTATACAGGTAATGAGCTGAGATTAGGAGCACACTCTTAAAGAGAGTGCTCCTAATCTCAGCTTGTTAACTGTATAAAAGACACCTGTCCACAGAAGCAATCAATCAATCAGATTCCAAACTCTCCACCATGGCCAAGAACAAAGAGCTCTCCAAGGATGTCAGGGACAAGATTGTAGACCTACACAAGGCTGGAATGGGCTACAAGACCATCGCCAAGCAGCTTGGTGAGAACGTGACAACAGTTGGTGCGATTATTCTCAAATGGAAGAAACACAAAATAACTGTCAATCTCCCTCGGCCTGGGGCTCCATGCAAGATCTCACCTCGTGGAGTTGCAATGATCATGAGAACGGTGAGGAATCAGCCCAGAACTACACGGGAGGATCTTGTCAATGATCTCAAGGCAGCTGGGACCATAGACACCAAGAAAACAATTGGTAACACACTACGCCGTGAAGGACTGAAATCCTGCAGCGCCCGCAAGGTCCCCCTGCTCAAGAAAACACATATACATGCCCGTCTGAAGTTTGCCAATGAACATCTGAATGATTCAGAGGAGAACTGGGTGAAAGTGTTGTGGTCAGATGAGACCAAAATCGAGCTCTTTGGCATCAACTCAACTCGCCGTGTCTGGAGGAGGAGGAATGCTGCCTATGACCCCAAGAACACCATCCCCACCGTCAAACATGGAGGTGGAAACATTATGCTTTGGGGGTGTTTTTCTGCTAAGGGGACAGGACAACTTCACCACATCAAAGGGACGATGGACGGGGTCATGTACCGTCAAATCTTGGGTGAGAACCTCCTTCCCTCACCCAGGGCATTGAAAATGGGTCGTGGATGGGTATTCCAGCATGACAATGACCCAAAACACACGGCCAAGGCAACAAAGGAGTGGCTCAAGAAGAAGAACATTAAGGTCCTGGAGTGGCCTAGCCAGTCTCCAGACCTTAATCCCATAGAAAATCTGTGGAGGGAGCTGAAGGTTCGAGTTGCCAAACGTCAGCCTCGAAACCTTAATGACTTGGAGAAGATCTGCAAAGAGGAGTGGAACAAAATCCCTCCTGAGATGTGTGCAAACCTGGTGGCCAACTACAAGAAACGCCTGACCTCTGTGATTGCCAACAAGGGTTTTGCCACCAAGTACTAAGTCATGTTTTGCAGAGGGGTCAAATACTTATTTCCCTCATTAAAATGGAAATCAATTTATAACATTTTTGACATGCGTTTTTCTGGATTTTGTTGTTGTTATTCTGTCTCTCACTGTTCAAATAAACCTACCATTAAAATTATAGACTGATCATTTCTTTGTCAGTGGGCAAACGTACAAAATCAGCAGGGGATCAAATACTTCTTTCCCTCACTGTATGTCTTCATGACTGTATTTGACACTGTTTCACACAGTACCCCCCCCCCCCCCCCCCCCCCCCCTTCCAGAGACACAAATCCACTCCCAACCCCTCTAGTCGACTTCCAACCTCGAATCCCAAGGACTTTTTCCCCCCTCCTTTCTTTTTCTTGCCAAAGAATTTGAACAAATTACCTCCATATGTGTGTGAAGGAGCCCCATGGGAAGGAGCCAAGAAGAATATATTGCTGACTGAACACAAACATTGACTTCATTAAACAGCAAACTCTGACACTCTCCATATGGTCACCTGGCCCGCCATTCACTGCCACTGACAGCAGGGACTGCTACATATGTCTGTCGTTTCACTGGTGGGTTTATCTAACCATCCCAGTAACCCATCCCACATGTGTAGCCTACATACAGCATCTGACATGGAAAGACTGGTGTGTGTTGTCAGTGACTCCGGTTACACAACTCACGGTATGTCTGTGTGGGTTTCTTTGGAATGTTACGGGGGAACGTCTTTAACGAAGGAGAAAACTAAAGGAGAGTAAAACAACAACAGATGTAGAATTCCGTACACAACAAGGTTTGAATGTTACAAAAGTCTGTGCCATAGGTTGAGAAACTTCGAAACAACATCCTCGACTGTGTAATGATGACTGGTAGACGCTAAACATTTGGGGACCATGACCCTTGGTTTGTCCCCTCGGGTTTTGAACCTGAAACCAGAGCAGTGAGAGGGGTGAAGCAGGAGACAAAGACAGACAAATTGGAAAGGAAAAGGAAAAAATTGCAGAGAGAAAAAGTCCCCAGTGTTTGGTTTACTTTTAGTTTCAGGTACCACTCTCATTCTTAACTGAAACATTTATTGGCGAACGCCCAAAGGTATTTGACCTCATTCACTTCTCTCTGCAGCATCATTCAGCGAGCGGTAACACCCTCAGCGAGCTGTAACACCCTGCAATTCCCTAGGCGATGAACTTCTGGAGTATTATCAATTATTGAAAAACTCAAACACACCAACTTCAGAAGGCCAAGGGGAAAGACCAATCATCTATGGCCATATTTCATCTGATCATCATTGCGCTCCTCTTTGAAACACAAATGGTCCCATGGCACTGACCTGCGCCACCAAGAATGTGTGATTCACAGGAAGATGGGTGGATTTGGCTGCTGAAAGAAGAGAGACGTACTCCTATCTAGAGTGGACCAAGCAGGAGAACCAAGCAGGAGAACCAAGCAGGAGAACCAAGCTGGAGAACCAAGCTGGAGAACCAAGCTGAAGAACCAAGCTGAAGAACCAAGCTGGAGAACCAATCTGTACTAGCAGATCTAGAATAATTCTGCCAACGCTCTCCTCTGCATGTCAAACGGAACATGGCAGAGTTTTCAGAACTTTTGGCAATAACAACATTTCTCCATCAGAAAATGGAGAAACAATTTGCAGGGGTTTGCTAATGATATTGTCTAACGTTCCAGAGAAAATAGGGATATTCTTACCCTCTGTGTCCTGCTATTTCATGGTGATTAGCTAACAATGTTTATCCAGGGACACAAAGTCCAAAATGCAAGAGAGAGAGAACCATCTGGCTGGTCCTGGCTGTGGCATGCAGCGCTGAGATACCTGGGGCCTGTTCAGGAGAGTGCAATGTTACAGAACGTTCAGATGTGTTGTGTAGAACATACAGTGCATTCGTAAAGTATTCAGATCCACATTTTATTACGTTAAATACCCCATAATGACAAAGCAAAAACAGGTTTTTAGAAATGTTTGCAAATGTATAAAAAAATATATATATAATCACATTTACATAAGTATTCAGACCCTTTACTCAGTACTTTGTTGAAGCACCTTTGGCAGCGATTACAGCATCGAGTCTTCTTGGGTATGACGCTACAAGCTTGGCACACCTGTATTTGGGGAGTTTCTCCCATTCTTCTCTGCAGATCCTCTCAAGCTCTGTCAGGTTGGATGGGGAGCGTCGCTGCACAGCTATTTTCAGGTCTCTCCAGAGATGTTAGATCGGGTTCAAGTCCGGGCTGTGGCTGGACCACTCAAGGACATTCAGAGACTTATCCCGAAGCCACTCCTGCATTGTCTTGGCTGTGTGCTTAGGGTTGTTGTCCCGTTGGAAGATTAACCTTCGCCCCAGTCTGAGGTCCCGAGCGCTTTGGAGCAGTTTTTCATCAAGGATCTCTCTGTACTTTGCTCCGTTCATCTTTCCCTCGATCCTGACTAATCTCCCAGTCCCTGCCGCTGACAAACATCCCCACAGCATGATGCTGCCACCACCATACTTCACCGTAAGGATGGTGCCAGGTTTCCTCCAGACGTGACGCTTGGCATTCAGGCCAAAGAGTTCAATCTTGGTTTCATCATGGTCTGAGTCCTTTAGGTGCCTTTTGGCAAACTCCAAGCGGGCTGTCATGTGCCTTTTACTGAGGAGTGGCTTCCGTCTGGCCACTCTACCATAAAGGCCTGATTGGTGGAGTGCTGCAGAGATGGTTGTCCTTCTGGAAGGTTCTCCCATCTCCACAGAGGATGTCTGGAGCTCTGTCAGAGGGACCCCTCCCTGACCTTGGCCCTTCTCCCCTGATTGCTCAGTTTGGCCAGCTCTAGGAAGAGTCTTGGTGGTTCCGAACTTCTTCCATTTACGATTGATTGAGGCCACTGTGTTCTTGGGGACCTTCAATGCTGCAGAAATGTGTTGGTGCCCTTCCCCAGATCAGTGCCTCGACACAATCCTGTCTCGGAGCTCTACAGACAATTAATTTGATCTCAAGGCTTGGTTTTTGCTCTGAAATGCATGTCCAATCAATTGAATGTACCACAGGTGGACTCCAATCAAGTTGTAGAAACATCTCAAGGATGATCAATGGAAACAGGATGCACCTGAGCTCAATTTCGAGTCTCATAACAAAGGGTCTGAATACTTATGTAAATAAGGTATTTCTGTTTTTTATTTTTAATACATTTGCCAAAATGTTTAAAAACCTGTTTTCGCTTTGTCATTATGGGGTATTGTGTGTAGATTGATGAGGGAGGAAAATAATGTAATCAATTTTAGAATAAGGCTGTAACGTAACAAAATGTGGAAAAAGGGAAGGGGTCTGACTACTTTCCGAATGCACTTTATATGGTTGTCTGTAAAGAACAATAGGACATCATGAGTTGACTCTATTTGTTACATTTCTATCTGCAATGTTGTGAACATTTTGTCTCACTGAATTCACCCCTGGTCCTAGCTCCTAATCTGGGGCTGTGGACTGGACTGGAGGTGTCCCATCCTACTCATCCTTCTCTTCTGGGCACTCCTGTTGAATGTCTCCAGAGTAACATTCCCTGGGGTTATTTATTCAGGAATGTTAATGTGCTTAGAATCTGCATGTATAGCCCTTAATGTGTCCCCTATCAGGCAGCCAATCAAACGTACCGTCTCTCTGGTTGGGGTCCTTCTAGTTAACCAACAACACTGATGCAAAAGGAATCCGTTGACGGTGTCATCTATCTGAATGATGGGTGCTTTAGAGGAGCATGGTCATTATAGATGTGTCTTTGTCCATAAGATCTCATCAGAAGCTCTAGAATGGATGAAAGGCTAACATTAAAGTTGTTGCAAATAGCTAATGGTATGACCATTTTGGGGTAGTATTTTGGCTTAGTGTTTTGCCTACTGCACTTGCTCTCATGTCTTGTTAGAGATTCAGGAGGACTTGGGTATTTCCTGGGCATGCTCCACTGTAAATATTTACATGTGCATGTCTTCTTCTTCTTCTTCTTCTTCTTCTTCTTCTTCTTCTTCTTCTTCTTCTTCTTCTTCTTCTTCTTCTTCTTCTTCTTCTTCTTCTTCTTCTTCTTCAGTCTCCTTTCTCCTCTCCATTATCTTGTTTGTTGAGTGTCTATCAACTGGCTCCACTGCTCTTTATGGTATTATAAAGCATAAACACCCAAAATGCAACACAATTACAAATCTGAGAGAGGTTTTCTCTACACATGCGATCCATTTAGTTTTACTATCACTTAATCTCTCTGTAGGCTCCTAACTGAAACCAGCTGTATGGTCCTGGCCTGGGCCATCTAAATAAATATGCATGAGGCAGAGCTATCTATTAACAATGATTTTCATTTTGCTGATTTCCCACTCTTTTCACATTCTCCGTCAGTGAAAGTCGTGTACCAAACTTCCCCCGAGGAGAATTTGAGCAATAGTGTATTTTCTGACATGGATATGTTGAGACCTCAATACTTGAGCGTTTATATTTTCATCAAGAAAAGTAAACTGCCTGTTGAGTTCGTTGAGTGTTTTCTTGCGTAATTGTGCAATAAAAGTCCATAAAGCTCCCCCACCCAACCCAACTGGCTTTTGTTTGCTAGTCGAGGCCCTTCCACAAATCATGTGACCCAGGAGGATTTCCTTCCTGGCCCAGTGGCCTTGTTTGTAACACAGTGTTTTTCTGACCCCCGACTCGCCACATGCAAGAACATACGGCACGCTTTGACATCATCATCATGGACTCAACAGGACATGGACTGAAATATTTGTTCTTCTATCTATTTAAACAAACATATATTTGTGTGTTTGTGTGTGTGTGTGTCCAGTCCTTGTCTGGTCCAGTCAGGTCCTCTCCCTACTGGTGTGGGTCTCTCTGGTTGTGGTTTTATATCCACTTCTCAGAGCCCTTCAATACTTCATGCCTCAACTGGTTTGGCAGAAAACCAGGGTTACTCCCCAAATAACCCACACACCCATTTTATGATCCATAAATAATAAATCTCAGCTAATTTCACTGACAGCTGTAGTAAAACCTAATCTGCTTATAATGGTGGCCTTTCAATGACATCCACATCTAGACCACATTTCTGCTGTTTGTTTAATTTAATGATTTCCCTGAAACTGGAAGGCAGAAGCCGGAGTTGTAAAACATCAACATAACACTTTCAAAGCCACATTTTTATGGACACCCTACCTCATGTCATGCTGACCCTCAGGTCATCACACACCACCCTGAAAACATTCACCTGGAGAGACTAATATTTTACTATCCCCTGTGACATTAGTAACCTCATTTTTATATCCACTAACTCCACTCCTGACTAACCTCTCAATCTTTGAGGAAATGTTGTGTCAACGCGTTGCTGTGCAACTGCAAGTAGTGATCTTCCTTCGTTTTTTAAGGTATGTTTTCCTCATATCAAATCAGAGAGACTGCTATAAGCCAACATTGACAGTGAAGGGCAAAACATGTTTAATCTTTCAGGCTTGACATGGAATACAAATGTACAAACACTTCTATCTCTGATTGGACTGAGATTTCCTTGGTTTCCCTAGCAGGGAAGGTCATGAAGTAATACTGCCCTCTACAGACCTTTTTCATACATAACAAGTAAATTTGAATCAGGTTACAGGATCTTTTATTTTATTTTCTCAAAATTGTGTGTGTGTTGTTGTTGTGTTCAAGATTGAGCTGGTGCTTGGGTCTATTCTCAACCTGAGGAGTGTGGCACTGCAACAGCCGAAACCTCATCCGGCGGCCGATAATAGGGCATCCTATGTGGGGGAATGTTGATGGGTTTCAGCCTCTCCCTGGAAGATCAAATGGATTGGGATTTAACATGTGTCAGCATAGGTCTACTGGTCACAGATGATGTCGACTGTGATAGGATTTGTGAAGAGCTTACCAAAAGTCAACAAATAGGTATAAAAAGTTATCATACATTTATTTTTTATGAGAGAGATCCATAACTGTGTTACATAACATTGCCTATTTTGGTGTGTATAACTCCAATAACAGATGACTGTTCACAAATCCATGTACAGTGCCTTCAGATACTGTTCATACCCCCTTATTCCACATTTTGTTGTGTTACAGCCTAAATTCAAAATGGATTCAATTGATTTTTCTCTCTCACCAATCTACACACAATACCCCACAATGACAAAGTGAAAACATGTTTTTAGATTGTTTTGCCAATTTATTGAAAATGAAATACAGAAATATCTCATTTACATAAGTATTCACATCCAATACATGTTAGAATCACCTTTGGCAGTGATTACAGCTGTGAGTCTTTCTGTGTGTCTCTAAGAGCTTTGCACATCTGGATTGTACAATATTTGCACATTATATATGTTTTTATTCTTCAAGCTCTGTCAATTTGGTTGTTGGTCATTGCTAGACAGCAATTTTCAAGTCCTGCCATTGATTTTCAAGCCGATTTAAGTCAAAACTGTAACTAGACCATTCAGGAACATTCAATGCCGTCTTGGTAAACAACTCCAGTGTATATTTGGACTTGTTTTTTAGGTTATTGTCCTACTGAAAGGTAAATATGTCTCCCAATGTCTGTTGGAAAGCAGACTGAAACAGGTTTCCCTCTAGGATTTTGCATACCCATAACATGATGCAGCAACCACCATGCTTGAAAATATGAAGAATGGTACTCAGTGATGTGTTTTTTCAGGACATGAAGTTAATTTATTTGCCACATTTGCAAAAAGGATGCATGTTTTGGAATATTTTTTATTCTGTACAGGCTTCCTTATTTTCACTCTGTCATTTAGGTTAGTATTGTGGAGTAACTACAATGTTGTTGATCCATCCTCAGTTTTCTCGTATCACAGCCATTAAACTCTGTAACTGTTTTAAAGTCACCATTGGCCTCATGGTAAAATCCCTGAGTGGTTTCCTTCCTCTCTGGCAACTGAGTTAGAAAGGAACGCCTGTATCTTTGTAGTGACTGGGTGTATTGATACACCATCCAAAATGTAATAAAAAACTTCACCATGCTCAAAGGGATATTCAATGTTTTTTACCCATCTACCAATAGGTGCCCTTCTTTGCAAGGCTTTGGAAAACCTACCTGGTCTTTGTGGTTGAATCTGTGTATGAAATTCACTGCTCGGTTGAGGAACCATACAAATAATTGTATGTGTGGGGTACTGAGATGAGGTAGTCATTCAAAAATCATGTTAAACACTATTCTTGCACACAGAGTGAGTCCATGCAACTTATGTGACTTGTTAAGCAATGTTTTACTCTTGAACTTAAGCTTGCCATAAAAAAGGGTTTGAATACGTATTGACTCAAGACATTTCACCTTTTCATTCCACTTTGACATTATAGGGTATTGTGTGTAGGCCAGTGACACAACATCTTAATTTAAAATGTGGAAAAAGTAAAGAGGTGTGAATACTTTCTGAAGGCACTGTATTACTGTATCTTTCCCATCACATTATTACTAAACTGATGTGAACTTAAGCTTTAAATGATCTTGTGAATGTATCTGAGTTTCGTAAATAATACAGATCAGTATTAACTAACCTCTTACCAGCCACAACGTAAAACTAAGCCGTCAGAGGAAAGGTTGATCTTACTGGTTGAAGTTGTCCTGGTGCAGGTCATGTAAATATCTGGGGATGCGGGACATGAAGACGTAGCGATAGCCAGCGTTATCGTTCTTCTTCTGAGTGTTCCTCGTTTGCTTCTTAGCCAGGTTGTAACGTCACACACCCACTGTGGTCTGGTTGAGGTGAAGAGAAGTTGGGTGTCAAGATAAGATTTAAGGTCTTTCCTCAACTTAAAAATAGGCCTATTTGGTCCGTATAAGAAAAAGCAAGATGAAGATTGATGATGTCAACATCACTCACATAGTTCCCCTGCATCAGCCTCTCGGCCCTCTTGGTGATACGGGGAGAGGAGGAGAGGATGGGAGGAGGGTTGCGGTTCTCCACTTTGGGCGGACTAACATCTTCATAGAATCCACGACCAGAGTGTCTCTGCTGTTATTGTTTGATGTGAGTTTGAGGTATAAGACTGGAGGCGAGCCAGCTAACTACATCTGATTACTACATCTATGCTGCTAAAACAGCATGAACATATTCTGAATATTACACTAATTGCATGGATATGATCACTTGTTAGCTACTTTATATTTTAACTACGTTGGTCTACATTACGCTATATCAATGTGTTTACATTGTGGACTGAGTAGACCATGACAGGGGTGTACTGACCGCTGGCCATGGGTACTGGGGCAGGGAACCCAGGTAGATGCATTCAGTAGGGAGGGAAGGGTACTGGTCTAGGGTGCCAAACTTGCCTTGGTGTCCTTTCTCTGGTCGCAGAATGTCCTCACACAAGACCTTCGCTGGCTTGGCGAACGTACCCAGATTCAGATTGGCTTTTTTCTAGGGCAGGAAGGAGGCGAAATAACCCAATTATTCAGAAATAGCATGTGAAGGGATGTCCTCAAGGCAAGGAAGATGCAAGCAGGGTTTTAGGTTGAAATACACATCAAACATGCATAGCTAATTGCGTATCTTCCATTTTCCTTTTCAACTGCTTATCACAAAGGAAAGAAAATGATTGAACATAATGTAGTACAAAAAATGATAATTTAATGAGTTCATGATGGAATGGATCAATTATCAATCTTCACAGTGGGTCATGGTAACACACTATGAAATATCAATTATCCAATTCGTCTGGCAATTCCTCTAGATGCACTTTAACAGCTCTCTTAACAACCCTCAATGGCACTCCCTTCACCCTTTTGAATATGTACAGTGAGGGAAAAAAGTATTTGATCCCCTGCTGATTTTGTACGTTTGCACACTGACAAAGAAATGATCAGTCTATAATTTTAATGGTAGGTTTATTTGAACAGTGAAAGACAGAATAACAACAACAAAATCCAGAAAAAAGCATGTAAAAAATGTTATAAATTGATTTGCATTTTAATGAGGGAAATAAGTATTTGACCCCCTCTCAATCAGAAAGATTTCTGGCTCCCAGGTGTCTTTTATACAGGTAACGAGCTGAGATTAGGAGCACACTCTTAAAGGGAGTGCTCCTAATCTCAGCTTGTTAACTGTATAAAAGACACCTGTCCACAGAAGCAATCAATCAATCAGATTCCAAACTCTCCACCATGGCCAAGAACAAAGAGCTCTCCAAGGATGTCAGGGACAAGATTGTAGACCTACACAAGGCTGGAATGGGCTACAAGACCATCGCCAAGCAGCTTGGTGAGAAGGTGACAACAGTTGGTGCGATTATTCTCCAATGGAAGAAACACAAAAGAACTGTCAATCTCCCTCGGCCTGGGGCTCCATGCAAGATCTCACCTCGTGGAGTTGCAATGATCATGAGAACGGTGAGAAATCAGCCCAGAACTACACGGGAGGATCTGGTCAATGATCTCAAGGCAGCTGGGACCATAGTCACCAAGAAAACAATTGGTAACACACTACGCCGTGAAGGACTGAAATCCTGCAGCGCCCGCAAGGTCCCCCTGCTCAAGAAAGCACATATACATGCCCGTCTGAAGTTTGCCAATTAACATCTGAATGATTCAGAGGAGAATTGGGTGAAAGTGTTGTGGTCAGATGAGACCAAAATCGAGCTCTTTGGCATCAACTCAACTCGCCGTGTTTGGAGGAGGAGGAATGCTGCCTATGACCCCAAGAACACCATCCCCACCGTCAAACATGGAGGTGGAAACATTATGCTTTGGGGATGTTTTTCTGCTAAGGGGACAGAACAACTTCACCGCATCAAAGGGAAGATGGACGGGGCCATGTCCCGTCAAATCTTGGGTGAGAACCTCCTTCCCTCAGCCAGGGCATTGAAAATGGGTCGTGGATGGGTATTCCAGCATGACAATGAACCAAAACACACGGCCAAGGCAACAAAGGAGTGGCTCAAGAAGAAGAACATTAAGGTCCTGGAGTGGCCTAGCCAGTCTCCAGACCTTAATCCCATAGAAAATCTGTGGAGGGAGCTGAAGGTTTGAGTTGCCAAACGTCTGCCTCTAAACCTTAATGACTTGGAGAAGATCTGCAAAGAGGAGTGGGACAAAATCCCTCCTGAGATGTGTGCAAACCTGGTGGCCAACTACAAGAAACGTCTGACCTCTGTGATTGCCAACAAGGGTTTTGTCACCAAGTACTAAGTCATGTTTTGCAGAGGGGTCAAATACTTATTTCCCTCAATAAAATGCAAATCAATTTATAACATTTTTGACATGCATTTTTCTGGATTTTTGTTGTTGTTATTCTGTCTCTCACTGTTCAACTAAACCTACCATTAAAATTATAGACTGATCATTTCTTTGTCAGTAGGCAAACGTACAAAATCAGCAGGGGATCAAATACTTTTTTCCCTCACTGTAGTACTTATAATTGTTCATAAATATATTTTTTCATTTAAACTTTTATACAGGTTATTGTAATAGAGATAAAATCTAATTTAAGGGCCTAGTTACCGGGGCAGCAAAATATCCACAGGTGATTGGCTTGTCTCGTTGGCCAGTGAAGAGGTCGTAGGGTCCTCGTTTGCTGATGTGGCGACTGAGGAGCACGTCAGTGAAGGTCGGTAGGTGGTAGGTACCAGGACACAGACCAGAGTCCTGAACACAGAGAGAAGCAAACATCCATAAGCATGTGTCTGTGTTGTCCCTGTCTGTGTTGCTGCTGGTGAAAAACTCAATTTCCCCCTTATTCCCCCAATAAACCTTGTTCATTCATTCATTCATATATTCAGTTTCCCCTATATGTAGCTAATCACTAAGGATTAGTTTACACAGGCACCCTTATTCTGATGTATTGGCATATCTGATACATCTAATATTTTCCCCATTATATAAACAGCAAAAAAATCACATTCACATTTAAGGACTACTAAACTCACCACTATGAGCTCTGGGAAGCGTTCCACTCCAGCACTGAAGTCCATCATTGGACGGGAGCCAATCGGCTTCCTCCTCCTCTCATCCAGCAGCCCAGATGGGATGCCCCCCTTCCCATAAGCCCCTGGGCCTGGAGTAGTTTGCTTCTGTCAAATGACAAGGAGGAATTACAATAATACCATTAATCAATTATCTTCTACCCAGTGGAGCAAAAGGAAACCAGTTCCTCTAAAGTTTTCTTCCTTCTAGGGATTTTTTCCATGCCACTGTGCTGCTGCTTGCTCCTTAGGAGTCTAGGCTGGGTTACTGTAAAGCACTTGACCAATGTTCTACATTTTTACATTTTAGTCATTTAGCAGACGCTCTTATCCAGAGCGACTTACAGTTAGTGAGTGCATACATTTTTCATACTGGCCCCCTGTGGGAATCGAACCCACAACCCTGGCGTTGCAAGCGCCATGCTCTACCAACTGAGCTACACAGGGCCCAAATGACTTGTAACACAATGACTTGTATGTGAGTATTTGTCTCCCTCTAGTAACTGCAGTACATTTGTGAAGTCTTTAAACCTCTCATCCCTGCTGTCACACACTCCTCTCACACTGTATGGCTTCTTCCAGAGCTCAGTGAAGTCCTGGATGTCATACCTCCCTGGGCCTACCCTGGTTCTCTAGGTTGTGGAACAGTTTAGCATTAGTTACACTGGAACCCTCCACCAATATAATTATTGTGTTTCATCAGTTTAGATTACATTTTATAACACACTCCATTGATTGTTTGGTGGAAGTATTCATTTTACACGGCTACATTTGTGTACAGAATCAAAATCTAATTGGCCTTCATACTGGCTTGGACTGGAGCTGAAAAGTCCCTAAACTGTTGCCCTCATTACAGAAGCATCAATGCGTCTATATAGGACAACATGACAGACCAAACAAAAATAAACAGGGTCTATTTCAGTGTCGGTTCTGTGATGTCGTGAAGTGATACAGTGGCTTGCGATAGTATTCACCCCCCTTGGCATTTTTCCTATTTTGTTGCCTTACAACCTGGAATTAAAATGGATTTTTTTGGGGGGTTGTATCATTTAATTTACACAACATGCCTACCACTTTGAAGATGCAAAATATTTGTTTGTGTGAAACAAACAAGAAATAAGACAAAAAAACAGAAAACTTGAGCGTGCACAACTTTTCACCCTCCAAAGTCAATACTTTATAGAGCCACCTTTTGCAGCAATTACAGCTGCAAGTCTCTTCGGGTATGTCTCTATAAGCTTGGCACATCTAGCCACTGGGATTTTTTCCCATTCTTCAAGGCAAAACTGTTCCAGCTCCTTCAAGTTGGATGGGTTCCGCTGGTGTACAGCAATCTTTAAGTCAAACCACAGATTCTCAATTGGATTTAGATCTGGGCTTTGACTACGCCATTCCAAGACATTTCAATGTTTCCCCTTAAACTACTCAAGTGTTGCTTTAGCAGTATGCTTAGGGTCATTGTCCTGCTGGAAGGTGAACCTCCGTCCCAGTCTCAAATCTCTGGAAGACTGAAACAGGTTTCCCTCAAGAATTTCCCTGTATTTAGCGCCATCCATCATTCCTTCAATTCTGACCAGTTTCCCAGTCCCTGCCGATGAAAAACATCCCCACAGCATGATGCTGCCACCACCATGTCACGCTCTGACTCTAGGGACTGGTATTTGTTGAGTCAGGGTGTGTATTTTCTGTGTTGGGTTTGTCTATGTTAGTTTCTAGATCGTTTAGATCTATGTTGGCCAGGGTGGTTCCCAATCAGAGGCAGCTGTAGCTCGTTGTCTCTGATTGGGGACCATACTTAGGTAGCCTGTTGGCACTAGTGGGGTGTGGGATCTTGTTCCGTGTAAGGTATGTTGTGTGTATGCTACCTTGGACTTCACGTTTCGTTTGTTGTTTTGTCGTGTGTTCAGTACGTAAATAAATATGAATGCATATCACGCTGCGCCTTGGTCCTTCTCGTCCGTAAACGATTGTGACAGAAGATCCCACCAAGCCTGGATCAAGCAGCGTGACGAGGAGAGAGGATGGACTTGGGAGGAGATGAGCGAGAGTCTGGCAAGAGGGATGGAGGCCATGATCACGGGGGAGAGACAAGCCCAAACATTTTTTAGGGGGGGCTCACGCCGTGGACGACGAGGCACCAGGAGGCCGCGATAGAGCAGTTCAGCCGTTTAGCAGAGGAGGCCGCCAGATTAAGGGGGTCATTGGTTCAGAGGGAACAGAAGGAAAGTGTAGAGGCACGGTGAGAGGAGCTGGTTAGGCAGCAGAAGGAGCGGGGGTTAATGAAGGAACCCAGTCCCGCTCCTCGCACCAATCAAGTGGTGCGTGTCGCCAGTCCAGTCCGGTCCGGCCCGTTCCTGATTCCCGCACTAAGCCAGTGGGGGGTGTTCCCAGTATGGTTCGGCCCATTCCTGCCCCGTGCACCAAGCCAGTGGTGCGCGTCGCCAGCCCGGTCCGACCGGTTCCTGTCCCTCGCACCAAGCCAGTGGTGCGCGTCGCCAGCCCGGCCCGGCCTGTTCCTGCACCCCGCACCAGGCCAGTGGTGCGCGTCGCCAGTCCGGTACGGCCCGTTCCTGCTCCCCGCACCAAGCCAGTGGTGCGCGTCGTCAGCCCAGTCCGGCCCGTTCCTGCTCCCCGCACCAAGCCAGTGGTGTGTGTGTCCAGTCCGGCACGGCCCGTGCCTGTTCCACAGGTGCCTGGTCTGGCACCGGTCAGCTGCTCCACTCCGGAGCCAGAGCAATCCGCTCCACCGGGGTCCAATCCAGCTCCGGTCAGCGGCTCCACTCCGGAGCCAGAGCAGTCCGCTCCACCGGTGCCTGATCCAGTTCCGGTCAGCGGCTCCACCCCGGAGCCAGAGCAGTTCGATCCACCGTCGTCGGGTCCAGCTCCAGTCAGCGGTTCCAGTCCAGACCCAGACGTCAGCCCCTCTCCAGGTTCGGGGTCTCCCACACCAGGGTCCAGACAGGGCGTGGTACTGCGTGGGAGGAAGGAGAGAGGAAGCAGCGCGCCAAGGTCCAGACCAGACCAGGGGCGCAACGGGAAGGTGGAGAGTAAGTGGTGGTCACACCCGGAGCCGGATCCGCCTCCGAGGCGGAATGCCCACCCGGCCCCTACCCTGTTAGGTTTATGTGGTGCGGTCGGAGTCCGCACCTTTCAGGGGGGGGGGGGGGGGGGGGTACTGTCACGCCCTGACTCTAGGGACTGGTATTTGTTGAGTCAGGGTGTGTATTTTCTGTGTTGGGTTTGTCTATGTTAGTTTCTAGATCGTTTAGATCTATGTTGGCCAGGGTGGTTCCCAATCAGAGGCAGCTGTAGCTCGTTGTCTCTGATTGGGGACCATACTTAGGTAGCCTGTTGGCACTAGTGGGGTGTGGGATCTTGTTCCGTGTAAGGTATGTTGTGTGTATGCTACCTTGGACTTCATGTTTCGTTTGTTGTTTTGTCGTGTGTTCAGTACATAAATAAATATGAATGCATATCACGCTGCGCCTTGGTCCTTCTCGTCCGTAAACGATCGTGACACACCATGCTTTACTGTGAGGATGGTGTTCTCGGGGTGATGAGAGGTGTTGGGTTTGCGCCAGACATAGCTTTTTCCTTGATGGCCAAAAAGCTCAATTTTAGTCTCATCTGACCAGAGTACCTTCTTCCATATGTTTGGGGAGTCTCCCACATGCCTTTTGGCGAACACCAAACGTGTTTGCTTATTTTTTTCTTTAAGCAATGGCTTTTTCTGGCCACTCTTCCGTAAAGCCGAGCTCTGTGGAGTGTATGGCTTAAAGTGGTCCTATGGACAGATACTCCAATCTCCACTGTGGAGCTTTGCAGCTCCTTCAGGGTTATCTTTGGTCTCTTTGTTGCCTCTCTGATTAAAGCCTTCCTTGCCTGGTCTGTGAGTTTTGGTTGGCGGCCCTCTCTTGACAGGTTTGTTGTGGTGCCATATTCTTTCAATTTTTTAATAATGGATTTAATGGTGCTCCGTGGGATGTTCAAAGTTTCTGATATTTTTTTATAACCCACCCTGATCTGTACTTCTCCACGACTTTGTCCCTGACCTGTTTGGAGAGCTCCTTGGTCTTCATGGTGCCGCTTGCTTGGTGGTTCCCCTTGCTTAGTGGTGTTGCATACTCTGGGGCCTTTCAGAACAGGTGTATATATACTGAGATCATGTGACAGATCATGTGACACTTAGATTGCACACAGGTGGACTTTATTTAACTAATTATGTGACTTCTGAAAGTAATTGGTTGCACCAGATATTATTTAGGGGCTTCATAGCAAAGAGAGTGAATACATATGCACGTACCACTTTTCAGTTATTTATTTTTTAGAATTCTTTGAAACAAGTTACTTTTTTCATTTCACGTCACCAATTTGGACTATTTTGTGTATGTCCAATATATGAAATCCAAATAAAAAAAACATTTAAATTACTAGTTGTAATGCAACAAAATAGGAAAAACACCAAGGGGGATGAATACTTTTGCAAGGCACTGTAGATGCTGTATGACAATAATTTCCTACCGGATACAAGTCATCATCATTATCATGGATGCTGCTCCCTCACCAGGAGGCGGTTGGTCAGCCATGTGTCTCTATACAGCAGGTGGGGCATCTGGGCCTGCTGGGCCATCTCCTGCCCCCTCTTCCACCCTGGTCCCCTGGCCCTGCTCTGGACCACCTGGGGGCTGAAGTCCCCCATGTCCACCTCATACTGACCTGGACCCAGGTTACGCTCCTGACACAGACAAAGAGATACACAAACGCGGTGGAATAAAATAGAATTGAATAGAAAATAAAATATAACTTCATTATTTATATTCTAGTTTATTAGTTCAGCTCAACACATGGATTGCACACACACACATTTAGGAGGAGAGTCATGCAAAGCCTTGACACATACTGTATCTTCCAAGTTAATTTTTTTGAAAATCACATAAAATCGAATGAGATACTGTAATGTGCTTTTATTTACCAAGTCACTTATCAGTCTCTTGCAGTGGTTGATTTCTGTGAATGTGCCAATCTTCTTTTTGGATGGATAGACTCCTGAAACATCAAACCTTATTGGGAAAATTGAAAGATTGATATTTTATGCTTAGACCTACAATACTACAATAGTTATTTACAAGAGATGTTTACAATCATTATTGATTGTCATGTTTCATAGGGGTAATTTAATGGAAATATTAGCAAAACAAAGAACCTTGCAGACTGTGTTCCAAATGGAGCCCCTGGGAACTTTTTGTCGCCCATCTTTGACCATAACTTTTTCCAGGCATATCCCAATTTCCAGGCATATCCCAATCAATTACAGCAAATGTCAGATGGCTTTTCTTTACCTGTCCCAGCAGTGACGTCAGTGACAACTCTGACGTCATGTGACGTAATTAAGTCATTATCTGGATCCATAATGTAGGCTAAATAAACCAGCATAAGCTTGTCAATTGTTTTATTATAGTTGGCTATACTAGACATTCGTTTATAAGTAAATAAAATAAATAAATATAACAATCAAAAAATTGTAATTCGAATTAAATAGCTATTTAAGTATCAAAAATGATTTTACACATGCGCGCATATTCTACAGGTGCCCGCTATCTCTTAATACTTGTCGACTGCGGTTCATATTCAGGTTCATATTCACCTAAATTACATTCCTGATTTTTTTTTTTGCCGACTGGGTGGACCCACGTTGAGCTGTCGACGAGTGGCATTGCCTCCGCAGATGTTAGGTTACCCGTTGTTTGCTGTCCGTCTCTGACAGTGATTGGGTAACAATATCGACAGCCTTTGAGAATAATTAATTAAGCTATCTATCGACGCATCCAGTTATTTCCCACGTTTTTGCAATGGCTCACGCTGCTTTTGAAACGCGTCAGTGGAAAAGTTTGCTCCAATCCCTCAATGGAATCCTAGTTCATTATGGAGCGTTCAGGAACACAATGCGCACGTGAGGTCTTTTTTTCAAATTGACTATGCCTGCCGGCAAGCTAACATGTTTTGTGTCACAGGTAATTTGTCAGGGCTGATTTCCAATATACGGTTTGCTTGGATCGTTGCGCGTAGGCTAACCCTAAAGTTCTAATAATAATATAATATAATATGCCATTTAGCAGACGCTTTTATCCAAAGCGACTTACAGTCATGCGTGCATACATTTTTGTGTATGGGTGGTCCCGGGGATCGAACCCACTACCTTGGCGTTACAAGCGCCGTGCTCTACCAGCTGAGCTATACTGTTCTCTAACAGTTCTATATTCAAGTAGGATTTCATAATATTTTATTATGGAAGAAGAGAGTGTGAACGAGTCATTTCCAGATTTGAAAGAGCTGGAAAATAAAATTGGGATGAATACTCCGGAGAGCCTGTTGAGGTTGATGCAGGGGGATGCTTCGCTCTGCGCTGAGTGGAGTTCCGACAGTCCGGAGGGGAGAGACAACAGCACCAGCGACAGTCTGACGGACAAGATCAGAAACTTGAAACTGGAGATGGTAAGGATTCCTTTGCAGAAATGCAATTTTTAATGGTTCTGTATGATTTGATTATATAAACTGTGTGTGTGTCCATTCTTTTCTCCTGTTCAGTTTTTCTATGAGTAGGTTTATTTTTCAAAGCTATACAAATGCTGTATAGAACTCTCCCACCAGACCATGTTTGGCTTGCATTAGTGATAGCCACAACAATTTTATTGACAGTCATTGACAGTTCTGTCACCACCACACCATCCCCCTCACCCAGCTGAGGTCCTTCATTCCATTCAAATCATTTGACACGTTTTAAGTCTAAATTCCTCAGCTCACTACTGTCCTCTCACATTCCCTCCCCACCCTCCTCCCACAGGGCTGTCTGCGTGCTGCAGATGTGCGGGTCCTGCGCCAGCTGGTGGCGGTGCATGAGGCCATGGAGGCTGTGCGCTGGCTGCTGGAGGAGCGTGGCACCCTGGCAAGCAGGGGCAGCAGCCTGACAAGCAGCCAGTGTAGCCTGGCCGAGGGGCCTGGCATGTCCCCCTGCAGAGAGGGCCTGAGTCTGGCCCTAACTAGCCGGAAGAGTCCACTACATGACGCCAATGAAGAGCCAGAAGAGGAAGAGCTGCCAGTACCAGATAGCATCTCCGGGCACAGCTACTTCGATATGCTCACCAACACCGTTTCTTCTAATGATACAGACACAGGGTTGACACTAGAGGGCAGGATTGTTAGCCATCCTGAGGGGACAGGAGAAACTGGGACAAATCACTGTGGTCTCCCAGAGGAGAGACAAGTGGCCTCTGACGGTGACATCCTGGGGGTGGAGGAACAGACCATTCCCAGTTGTGAGGTTCTGTTGGGGTATGATGCTCAGTGGTGCTGGGTGGAGTCTCAAGACGATGTGACATTTCTCTGATGTTATTAGCGCAATTCAAAAGATGCTTTATGAAATGAAACCTACCAAACTTACAGGATGCAGCGGTGCTACAGTTGGACATGAAGTGCCCTGTCCTGGACTGAGTGACATTTAAATTGACATTACAAAAGTGTCCATGGTGGACTGGATGATGAATGCTAGTAGCATTGTTCTCTTTAGAAGATCAAGGTGTACTCATGTTTTGATTTAGCTACTTTGGCTTTTCAATGTGACTATTGTTCATTCACAGTTTCTGCTTCTTTCAACAAGATGTAATCAGATCGATGTCATGTTTCCACTATGCCTTGTATTGGTAAAGAAAGCTTTTTATGTAGAGGGCTATGCAGAAAATGCATTGATGTTATGAAATTCCATAAAGGGACTTCACTAAAATGACAGACATTTTAGTGAAGTCCCTTCCTTTTGAAACTGACATTCATCCCATCTCCAGTGTGATGCCATAATGAACCATTTTCTCTTTTGAATGTGAAACTCACAGAATAATATTCTATGTTGAATAAAAAGGTGAAGGATAATGAATACTTTCAATTTTACTATTTTCTGCCCAACCACTGTCTCCATCTGCACATTTTTATATAATAGGCCTAAGAATGCATATCATTGGTTTTGACTTTAAGACAGTGCGCAGACCTTCATTGTTTGCCCTGTTTCTGTCCGTTGGAAGTTGGTGAGCCCCAGACATTGTCCAGCAGCTTGATGACGTGTGAGAATGCCAGCTATGTCAAGAGATAGCAGTAACCTACATACAGTACACAGGAAGTGACCTCAGGGTCAGGGTCTTGGGGATGAGGGCTGATAACAATCCAAGGACAGCAACCAGCAAGTAAATCTATTATAAAATGCTGCCATCACAACAATAATAGGACCAATTTATTTTAATGCTGTGTTAGAGGAACAATCCAACTGAGAGGACCACAAGAAACAGAAACGAAAAATACTCTTCGATAAGCATTTGTAGATTTGGTAGTCTATTCTAGGAAACATGTAGAAAAAGCACAGAATACATTGCTGATGCTCAGATGATGTGCACACTGCATATAGATCTAATTAGTTCACTCACAAGACATTCAAAAGGCTCACTGGCAAAATACAAAAATATTGTAAATTGTCCAACTGTAGTATCATTTTAAGCTGTGTATAACAGTTTGAGCTGCTTTACAAAAACAGGTTCTCCATATTTTCTTCTTAATTTCAAACAAAAACAATCAATGGTGAGTGGTTCAAACTAAGCATATAGAAAAAAAAAAAAAAGTGTCTGTTAGTTAGCTGCTAGCATAACACTTAGCGTGAAAGATGCCGTTGGTTGCCGTGCCTAAAAGTTTGAGACTGGGCGCAGCACCCTCATTGGCTTAGTGGACAGTGGCTGGTCGTCCTCCTTCAGCCTAGGGCAGAAGGCTGGTCTGAGGTAAGTTTGGGGGTCGGAGTCCTGATCCAGGGTACAGTAGAACGTGTAGAGACACACCATCCGCACTGCATCGTAGAAGCTCAGGATTCCACTGTCCACATCCAGAAAGACCCCGATCCGTCTGGGTGGGTTGGAGTCCGGTGCATGGAACGCAAAGGCCAGCCAGTCGTGCTGGGCAGAGAACCGCTGCTTGCTCTTGCTGTAACTCAGACTCCACGACTGGTCATCAGTGCCGAGCTTGCAGGTCACCGCTATCTGGTATGGGCCAAGGAAGGCCACACCCAGGGCCCAAGACGAGAGTCCTTCCACTTCCACCTCCCAGTTGTGCACACCCTTGGAGGAGATAATGACTCCCATCACACAGTAAGGCCGATCCGGGTAACATGGTTCCTCATCATGTCGCTGGTGCTCCTCGGTCACCCACACAGAGCCAGAGTCAGGGTCCAACTTCAGTTTAGGGTGGGCACTTAATTCAGCAAAGAAAATGACATCACCTACAGAGACATAATATTAGAGATACCGTCCAAAACCTTACTTTAAAAAGCTGACAGGAACAATTAGCTGGCCAAAAACACTATCAGAATAGGCTTCTAATGTACTATAGTTGTGTGAATGGTCAGATATTGACTGATTGGTTCAATATTCTTCAGCATTTTTTTTATATTATATATATTTTTTTAATAAACCCTTGTGTTAAGTTCTCTTCACAGAGACTGAGTACCTTGAAATGTTTTCTGGAGAGTCTGGAACAGGGGGGTGATTCTAGATGAAGCCACAAGCTTGGTTCCACTCCACTTACTGATCTTCTCAATCTGACGGGAACAAACATCCCTTTGAAGCAGGTCCGCCCTGCAACAGGGAAATTTAAGATCACTAAAGTTCAGAATTTAGTGAGATGAACATAATGTGTAGCATATGTAGTGCCAATTATTTACATACTTGTAAAGGAATTAGTAAAATAAATAATTAGTGGTGCTGGTCATAAAAAAAAAAAAAAAAAGGCATGAAATTAAATGATTCTACTTTGAGGGAATTGTTTGTGGGTGGTTGTGTCTTCAGCTATAATTCAGTCATAAGAATAATTTCAACTTACCACTCCTCATTCTTCAAGAGCTGTTTAATAAAATTAAATCGAATACAGTTAAAATAAGTCATAATGAAACGTAGCCATACGCTTAATGAATTGGGCTCGCTGCCTATTTATTTTTTTGGTGCCGAAAGTCAATTCTCATTTAGACTTCCATCCAAGTACACTCCTAGCCTGGATAAACCAGACTGAACGCTGTGCTCACTTTTGTTTCACGTCAGCGTTCAGTCTTTTTTATGCCCTAGTCATGCTTCAGCTTTACCTGGAGCAGCACCAGGGGGTCACTGATGGTCTGAGCCTTCAGCAGAGTGCCCTGTGCCTGGGTCAGCCTGTCCTGCAGCCTCCTCAGCCTCTCTGTCCGCTGCTTCCCGTTCCTGCTCTCCTGCACCATATCCACAGAGAACCTCTTCTGCCACGCCTGCTCCTCAAACTCCAGGAACAACTTGATTCTGCGCAGGAAGGCTGTGCACTCACTTTGCTGCCTTTCCAGACTGGCCTGTTATTAAAGGGGTGACAGTCAGAAGTGTAGCCTGGTTAAACCAGACTAAAACGCTGCATTCACTCAGGGGCGGAGTTATTGATTTGGAGGCCCCAGGCAGAAGCCAGTCTTAGACCACCGCCCATGTCTATTTAACAATCATGGCTACTGAATGAAGAGCTGTTCGGAGCCAGCTCTTTTAGGTGAAAGAAGAATTAAAAGGCTAACTGAAAATGGTTGAAATGCCCCTCACTAGTAAAGGTATTTGCATCACCACATAGAACAAGGGCAGGCAATAATTGTGTCTCGAGGGCTATGTCGGGATTTCAAAGTTCAACGGAGGACTGCACAGATTTTAATTTTTTTACAGACCGAGTTGTTCATCAAAAGCAATTTGCGGGCCAGAAAAAGGGCAGTTAAAAAATAATGATGTCCATTATAGGTCTAATTTCTATACTGAACAAAAATATAAAATGCAACATGTAAAGTGTTGGTCCCATGTTTCATGAGCTGAAATAAAATATCCCAAAAATGTTCCATACGCACAAAAAGCTTATTTCTCAAAAATGTTGTGCACAAATTTGTTTACATCACTGTTAGTAAGTATTTCTCCTTCACCAAGATAATCCATCCACCTGACAGGTGTGGCATATGAAGAAGCTGATTAAACAGTACGATCATTACACAGGTGCACCTTGTGTTGGGGACAATCAAATGCGGTTTTCATAACACAATGCCACAAATGTTTCAAGTTGAGGGAGAATATAATTGGCTTGCTGACTGCATGAATGTCCACCAGAGCTGTTGCCAGAAAATGTAATGTTTGTTTCTCTACCATAAGCCACCTCCAACGTCGTTTTAGAGAATTTGTCAGTGGGTAAATGCTCACCGTCGATGGCCACTGGCACGCTGGAGAAGTGTGCTCTTCACAGATGAATCCCGATTTCAATTGTACCGGGCAGATGGCAGGTGTCGTGTTGGCCAGCGGTTTACTGATGTCAGCGTTGTGAACAGAATGCCCCATGGTGGCGGAGGGGTTATGGTATGGGCAGGCATAAACTACAGACAACGAACACAATTGCATTTTATCGATGGCAATTTTAATGCACAGACATACCGCGATGAGATCCTGAGGCCCATTGTCGTGCCAGTCATCCGCCGCCATCACCTCATGTTTCAGCATGATAATGCACAGCCCCATGTCGCAAGGATCTGTACATAATTCCTGGAAGCTGAAAGTCTCCATGTTCTTCCATGTCCTGGATACTCACCTGCCATGTCACCCATTGAGCATGCCACACAGCCATTGAAGAGGAATGGGACAACAGGCCACCATCAACAGCCTGATCAACTCTCTGCAAAGGAGATGTCGCGCTGCATGAGGCAAATGGTGGTCACACGCCCCTACCTTATATTTACGGTATCTGTATTCCCAGTCATGTGAAATCCATATAGATTAGTGTCTAATACATTTCAATTGACGGACGAACTGTAACTCAGTAAACTCTTTGAAATTGTTGCATTTATATTTTTGTTCAGTGTACATATTTTCTATCCGTTTTACATTTTCAAGTTAGGGATTCATAAATTCTGGGCCAATACCTATATTTTCCTTTGCAATATCGACAATACTGATATTGTCTTCATTTTATGGACTTTTTAAACATTCCTGCGCAGATACAAACTGCAACCAAATTATGTTCATAAGTCTAAAAGGAAAATATGGCAAATTACATGAATAATGGAAAGGAGTAAAACATGTTTTGCATCACAACATGAGTGAAATGCATCAGAGAGGTATTGTAATGTTTGGGAAAACATCAGGGAAGATAATCAGTTAATAATTGTGTGTGTAGAAGAAAAAAAAAGATGTGCATTGTTTTCAATTGTGGTTTTGTCACAGTAACTTCTAATGGTGTCCTGCGCGGCATGTGAGCGTCAGAGGGAAATTGAAGACACGTAGGCCTACGTTCTTTTCTGAGAGTCAACGCTTTCAGGCATGGGGTCGTAATAGTGAAGTCGTTCAAAACCGTTCAATAGCTAGAGACAAATTTGGAGGAGGAAAACATTAACCGATCCGTTCGTCACAACCGCTAAAATAGCGCACATGGGAGATTGCCTCAAGTAGGGCCTCAAGTGGAGTAGGATGGCTAGATAACATAAATAATGTATTATTAAACGAAATTATGCCAAGTTCACGAGGCTCCCTGATGATGTCAGGCCCCAGGCAATTGCCTTCACGTTAGTTGTCTAATATATTGTAAAGTTGTCTAATAAATTGTAAGCCTGCCACTCACTATTCAGACTGGTTTAACAGAAGTGGGGAGCGAGAAGAACCTCAACATTAGCCTAATTCCTATCATGTGGGGTACTTTGGGTTTATGTTCTTGCTGCGATAGTATTACCTTGGAACACGAAGCAGCTTCATCCATTTTTGCCAGGCCATTCTTTACTTCGGTCAGGCTCTCTTTAATACCCTGAAGTTTGACTTGACAGTTCTCCTATCAAAACAATTAAAGACATACCATTGATTAATTAGTGATTTACCAATTAACAAGACGCATTCTAATTGATTTCCAAAAATGGTGCAAACTCAAAGTATCTTCCATGCATGCACAAGTGATCAAGATGAAAATATGAGACACCTCACCCTTAAAGTATCCAGCGCATCTGCAAGTTTCACGACGCTGTGCCCATCCCTGTGCTTGGCCTCGGCAGGTAGCATGCAGTAGGCGCACAGTGGGGTCTGGTCTGTCTCGCAGTAAAGTTCCTGTTCCTTCCCGTGCTCTTTGCAGAGTCTGCCAGTGTCGCCCATCGGGCTCACCATAACGTGTTGGCGCAGTACAGCGTTCTCCAAGTGTGGTATGATGTGGACGGTGCAATATGACTCTTTGCAGCTGACACAACTCTTTTCTGCGGCCATCCTCTGCTCACCTTTGCAGACAGTGCAGTCGACACCGCTTGCACGTTTGCTGTGGTACTTTTCAATGATGTTGTGAAGTACCACGTTCTTTTTCAAGTTTAACGTTGAATCGCAAGGTGCAAGGCAAAGAGGACAGGTGTAACATACACACAGTCTCTCGAATCCACGCTCGGCATTGATGTTTTCGACTTCCACCGCGGATCTTTTCAACTGGTTCACACAGACTTCGCAATAATTATGACCGCAGGGCAAAGTCACAGGTTCGACAAATATGTCACGGCAGATGGCGCAAATAAGCTCCTCGTCAATAGATATGACCTCCATGCCAAACAAATCTACGGTTCAGAATATAAGCAAAACGTGTGCGCTCTCTTCATTAACTCGCTAAGTTAGTTGCGACGAAATCGAAAATTGAGAAGAGAAACATATAAACTTGCTTCATCCAATCAAAACGGCCGTTCTAAACGGATGTTACGTGACTTTACTATACAACTTTTGAATCCCGTGCAGTTTCATTTACACGTTTCATTACTTTGTTGTTCCCGTTTAATTACTTTGCTGTTGATTTTTTTCATTAGGTTTTACTCGAAATATTGACATATTCTTTATTTAATATAGAAAATGCATGTGGATGGGTTAAACTATTGTTTGGTTAATTTCGTTCGCTAACAACCACGCTCTAGTGGGGTTTGTTTACGTTACGTCTTTACGCCCAATGCCTCAGCCAATCACGAATGGCAGAGCAAATAGGCGAGACTAAAATCAACCAATGGATGCAACGAACGCCAAGCATCTAGCACAAGACAAGGGTTTCCACCAAGACAAGAGGCACGAAAGTGAATGAAGGTAAAAATACATTTAATTCCAAATCTCACCTTACCAATTTAGCTAGATACGTCTTGATCATAGATTCTTACCTAATGCAAACTCGGTTTGATTTTGCTTTCCATCTTAGTAATTCTAACTAACTGGCCTTTGCTAGCTAACTCAACTAGCATACTGTATCCAGATACCATAGCTTGTGTAGCTAGCAAACTGCTGTTCCTTGCATCTGAAGGTCAGAATGGATCAGCTCAGCTAATAGCTAATGGTAAAAAGAACAAGCACTGAGTGTAGCCTAGGAAATAGTCATTGATTGAGAAGTAGAATGAAACCTGTTAGTTAGCTACAATTCTAGTTATACTTGTATTACATTGTACACTTATCTGTGTATTGTCTGTGTATATCTTCTCATATCATATTGTGTTGGTGCACCAATCATTTTCATAATTTCCTTGTCATTACAGTTGTCTAGTGTCTTTTATTAGAAAATGGGAATGTGATTATTATAAGAAACAGTCATGGGAAAACTGTTTTGTAAGCCTATACCTACAGTATAGTCCTCTTTCATCCACCCTGCAGAAATGAGAGCCATGTCTCCTGAGGATCCCTTCCAAGACTCTCTAGATGATGATCTAGACGGCTTCTCGGAGCCTGGGAGAGGGAGCAGGATACGCAGCAGCGTCTACACCAAAACCCCTGAAATGGAGAGCAACTGGTGAGATCTATGGGCCACAGTTTTGTTTAGGGGATAGTTAGCTCTCGAAAACTCTAGGCGGCATTCTGCCTTCTCAAATCAAATCAAATGTTATTTGTCACATGCGCCAAATACAACAGTGAAATGCTTACTTACAAGCCCTTAACCAACCATGCAGTTTTAAGAAGAAAAAAAACACACAAAAAAATACAATATAAAATAATACGAAATAAAAGTAAAAGTTCTCAGCCATTAGCTTCGCCTGCCTCATGTGAACTTCAACCCTGACGCTGTGTTTTAACGTTTAGAAACGTCAATAATCATTGCTTGCGATATGGCTTTCAAAGCACATGGCCCTTATCTTTCAGTAGCAAGAATGAATCCTTCAAATAAAAAAGAGACACTTACTGTAGCAGTTTTGCACAGATCCGTACAGCTATGGGTGCCCCCATCCGACGAAACTACACTTCTGCTACACTTCCAGAGTTATGCTTCCACACAGTTGTTTGGAGCATGCTAGATAGCTAATTGGCACAGGTGGTCGCCTCTTGTCTTCTGTCTGTTTTCCGTAAACAAGCAATGTTTTTATTTTTATTTTATTTCACCTTTATTTAACCAGGTAAGCCAGTTGAGAACAGGTTCTCATTTACAACTGCGACCTGGCCAAGATAAAGCAAAGCAGTGCAATAAAAACAACACAGAGTTACATATGGGGTAAAAAACATAAAGTCAAAAATACAACAGAAAATATATATACAGTGTGTGCAAATGTAGCAAGTTATGGAGGTAAGGCAATAAATAGGCTATAGTGCAGAATAATTACAATAGTATTAACACTGGAATGCTAGATGTGCAAGAGATTATGTGCAAATAGAGATACTGGGGTGCAAAAGAGCAAAATAAATAACAATATAGGGATGAGGTAGTTGGGTGGGCTAATTTCAGATGGGCTGTGTACAGGTACAGTGATCGGTAAGGTGCTCTGACAACTGATGCTTAAAGTTATTGAGGGAGATAAGAGTCTCCAGCTTCAGAGATTTTTGCAATTCGTTCCAGTCATTGGCAGCAGAGAACTGGAAGGAATGGCGGCCAAAGGAGGTGTTGGCTTTGGGAATGACCAGTGAGATATACCTGCTGGAGCGCAGACTACGGGTGGGTGCTGCTATGGTGACCAATGAGCTAAGATAAGGCGGGGATTTGCCTAGCAGTGATTTATAGATGGCCTGGAGCCAGTGGGTTTGACGACGAACATGTAGTGAGGACCAGCCAACAAGAGCGTACAGGTCACAGTGGTGGGTAGTGTATGGGGCTTTGGAGACAAAACGGATGGCACTGTGATAGACTACATCCAATTTGCTGAGTAGAGTGTTGGAGGCTATTTTGTAAATGACATCGCCGAAGTCAAGGATCGGTAGGATAGTCAGTTTTACGAGGGCATGTTTGGCAGCATGAGTGAAGGAGGCTTTGTTGCGAAATAGGAAGCCGATTCTAGATTTAACTTTGGATTGGAGATTCTTTATGTGAGTCTGGAAGTTGAGTTTACAGTCTAACCAGACACCTAGGTATTTGTAGTTGTCCACATACTCTAGGTCAGACCCGTCGAGAGTGGTGATTCTAGTCGGGTGGGCGGGTGCCAGCAGCGTTCGATTGAAAAGCATGCATTTAGTTTTACTAGTGTTTAAGAGCAGTTGGAGGCTACTGAAGGATTGTTGTATGGCATTGAAGCTCGTTTGGAGGTTTGTTAACACAGTGTCCAATGAAGGGCCAGATGTATACAAAATGGTGTCGTCTGCGTAGAGGTGGATCTGAGAGTCACCAGCAGCAAGAGCGACATCATTGATATACACGGAGAAAAGTGTCGGCCCAAGAATTGAACCCTGTGGCACCCCCATAGAGACTGCCATAGGTCCAGACAACAGGCCCTCCGATTTGACACACTGAACTCTATCTGAGAAGTAGTTGGTGAACCAGGCGAGGCAGTCATTTGAGAAACCAAGGCTATTTAGTCTGCCAATAAGAATGCGGTGGTTGACAGAGTCGAAAGCCTTGGCCAGGTCAATGAAGACGGCTGCACAGTACTGTCTATTATCAATCGCGGTTATAATATCGTTTAGGACCTTGAGCGTGGCTGAAGTGCACCCGTGACCAGCTCGGAAACCGGATTGCATAGCGGAGAAGGTACGGTGGTATTCGAAATGGTCGGTGATTTGTTTGTTAACTTGGCTTTCAAATACTTTCGAAAGGCAGGGCAGGATGGATATAGGTCTGTAGCAGTTTGGATCTAGAGTGTCACCCCCTTTGAAGAGGGGGATGACCGCGGCAGCTTTCCAATCTCTGGGGATCTCAGATTTTATGAAAGAGAGGTTGAACAGACTAGTAATAGGGGTTGCGACAATTTCGGCGGCTAGTTTTAGAAAGAAAGGGTCCAGATTGTCTAGCCCAGCTGATTTGTAGGGGTCCAGATTTTGCAGCGCTTTCAAAACATCAGCTGTCTGAATTTGTGTGAAGGAGAAGCGGGGGGGGCATGGGCAAGTTGCAGCAGAGGGTGCAGAGTTGGTGGCCGGGTTAGTGGTAGCCAGATGGAAAGCATGGCCAGCTGTAGCAAAATGCTACAGCATGGGGATATGGTTTGAGGGAACACTAACCCTATCAAGGTGTGTTTTAATTTAACATTTTGTTATTTGAAAATTATTTATAGCAGATATGAAAGATAAGGTCCTTATGCTTCGAAAACCATACCACAAGTGATGCATATTAATGTTCAGACCGAGCGTTGGGGATCTTAACAAAACTCCCCCCTACAGAAGTCGCCTTCATCCAATTACTCTTATGGGTAATGTAATGGAACTGAGAGTCATGACCGAGGGATTTTTTTTTCCTGCGGGGGGGTGGTGGGGGTGGGGGATCAGATAGGGTCTTCTTGGGGCATACATCTATACATTTACATTAGAAAATGATTGCATATGGGAGAAACACTGCACAGACACAGCTCTAAGTGTGGATCCAACTGATTTCTAACCCTCTCTCTGTCTTTTCTTTATATGTAGTTATGGAGACTATGGAGCAACCATGGACAAGAGTCCTCTGTTGAAAACATTGATGGATGCCGAAGCAGCGGCCAACTCTGCAGCCATACAGCTCATGTCATTCAAGGAGACCCTGGAGGACGATTTTGCCGTACGTGAAGTCCTTTGCAGTTGATGTGCTGACAGTGCACCTGTCTTTATTTTGAGAGGCATAACATGATATCAAAATCTTAGATTCGTTTACAATGTTTAGGGTGTCAAAAGCAGAATTGAATTAATCCTTCTGTTATAATGGACTCAAGACACTCTGCCTCTGATAACCGGCGGATGTCAAGGCAGAGAGGCCTTCTGCTCGAGAAGTTGGAGGTTTTTAAACGGATAAACAAGTCTGTCCGACAGCAACTCAAAGACCTGCAGGATGCAGAGGTTGGCAGTTCTAATCTGATGGCTAATGACTACTACTTTGAAGGACTGTCAGCTAGCAATTTATAAGGGGGTCATGCTTATGACAAGTTTTAGAATGCATTATACCTGTGGACGAAAGTAAAGTGTTATTCCAACTTTTTATTTTTCTTCTTTTTATTATTTTTTTTTTTTTTTACTGTTGCTTAAAATAACATGATTTGACTACTCTTTTTGTCTCCTCTGTATTAGGCGTCTCGAATGGAGACAGACAAACACATCGATCTCTTACTAAAGAAGCTTACACAGGCTGAGTGTGATAATCTGGTAAATTGCTTTTCACTTGGGGAAAAAAATTGAACTTCACACCTCACTCCAGACCTGTATTGAAATGCTTTGAAATGTTGACATAGCGGTGCCAAGGCTGAAGATTTTATAAGATCTGCCTGTTTGTTAAGCTCCTCTTGGCGGATTATAGGGTCATTCAGTGCAGTATGGCTCAGTGGGTTGCAACATGGTGCTAGCTACATTAAAGTTGGGGATTTGATTCAATCCCACATGGGCCACATGTACTGAATTTGTGTGCTAAATTTGTAAGACGCTTGGGATAGAAAAGCATCTGCTACTGTTCACTATACACATTTGTCATTTCAAATGAAAGTTGTACTGTGAGTAAGATATATATTTATTTATTGTTATTTTGTTTCCACCAGCATTTGAAAAGAGATTTGAATGATGAAGAAAAAATGGTAGAGGAACTGATGGGTTTGCGGAAGAAAGAAATGGTAAGCATTGGCCTTTCATTTCATATGAAATACACAAGCGATGACCACAATTTGTACATGATAAAACATATTGACAAAGGTACAAATTATATGAAGGCATTGTCCTCACACCATCTCTTTCTGCTTTGATGCTCCACAGGAGAACACAGAGAATGCGGTCCATTACATTTTACATTTACATTTTAGTCATTTAGCAGACGCTCTTATCCAGAGCGACTTACAGGAGCAATTAGGGTTAAGTGCCTTGCTCAAGGGCACAACGACAGATTTTTCACCTAGTCGGCTCGGGGATTAGAACCAGCGACCTTTCGGTTACTGGCACAACGCTCTTAACCACTAAGCTACCTGCCGCCCCCATGCCACCAAGTCTGTGGAAACCACATGTGCTCACCGGCAGGGCCAGCTACGCAGCAAGGAGGCCGACAACAACCGTCTCACCGTGCAGCTCCGGGTAACACACAAGTTCAGGCATCAGTCTATAAATCTATCACTTTATTGTCCCATTAGGGAACTTTGTAAGGACAAGCCATTCTATCTGTAGAATAAGACACTGAGAAAGCAAAGGACACAGTTTGCAGTAAATATGAAGTTTCCAGCCTGTGTGTCTGGTGTCTGGGAGGGTTTGGAAGAAAGTCAGCAAAAAATAGACGCATTTCTGTTTCACAAAGAATGGTGGACAATATTAATTTACGACCCATCCAAGATGGACGTCGTCCGTGAGTGAAATCCTATTTGTTTTGAAAAGGCTAGGCATTAGTGTGTAGATATGTCCCTCTCTTTTTTCCAGGGTTTGGAGAGGCAGTTGACGGCGCAGAAGCTGGAGATAGATGGTCTGAGGGGGGAGATCTCCAGTGTTTCGCAGAAGGCATCACAGGAGAAAGAAGTCCTGAAGAAGGCCACCCGCGCCCAGAAACAGAGGGTCCAGAGGAACGAAGCTGCTGTGGATAAATGCTACACTAAGCTGAGGGAGAAGGTATGTATGAGTAATGTTGGGAACCAATAAGAACAACATTTTTACTTTAGCTACGGTGTCCCCTACTGAACACGACTCGGGTATCCCGTTCTTGGTGAGTTCATTGCCACTGCCAGTAAGCTGCTTTATGTTATGTTGTGTGACATGATGACATGTAGGATGTTCAGCTGGCTGAGGTTCGTTCAGAGAGGGACACATGGAGGGAGACAACAGGAGCAGAAGACAGATGAGAGAATACAGCTTGATGCACAGATAGGACTGCTGAAAGGGTATGTCATTTCAATCCTTATTATTCACATTTTGTCCTGGACACAAAGTCTGGCATATTGTCAATCCAGGTCCTTGAGGCAATAAATAATGTTCTTTCATTTTTAAAGGTTTTTCAGATTTTCTTAATTCCTTTCTTTATATTTTGGGGATTTGTGTTTATTGTTTTGTATTGTTTTGTATTACTGCACTGTTGGAGCTAGGAACATCAGCATTTCGCTGCACCTGCGATAACATCTGCAAAATATATGTACATGACCAATACATTTTCTATTGTTGTTTCATTACAGCCAAATAGCAGACATTACTTTGAAGCTGCAGAAAGAGAGGGATGAGTTCACTGCTGCAAATGAGGTCTTACTGCTGAAAGTGGAAAAACTCAACGCTGAAAACAGAAACATTGGCCTTGAGAACGCAACCCTCAAGGTAGGAAAATGAAACGCCAATATAGACCTTTTAAGTTGTGTGTGCACCACCCAACAACTATTTATCTAGTTATTTAGTTTGACCAACATTTTACCTTGAGCCATAGAGTAGCCCCTGTATAATCTAAAGTAAACTATCTAAGTTAACACACTTAATGTAGCTCTACTGATTTCTAATTGTAATACCTTCTCTGTATATTCTAGCATGTCATTTATTCCCACCATAATTCTGGATGATATATTTACATGTATGATTATTATTATGTGATTTGTTCCCACCATGTTCAGGATTATATTGGTTTATGTATGTTCCAGGCATCCATTGCTGGGCTGGAACTGCAGCTGGTCCATTCTGAAGCAGCCCTGAAAGAGGAGAGCACTCTCTCACAGGAGAGGAAAGACCAAGCAGAACAGGATCAGGGTCAGGTAAGGATCCCACACACCCCATATCCAAGTTTCAATACTTACTAATCATATAAAAATGCATTGAGAGATTCATAGGTAAGGTAGAAGTTGTCTGTTTTATTTGCCTGTTATTGCACACCTCTCAGGTGGCAGAGCTTCAAATGGAGGTGGATGATCTGAGAATAAAGTTGGAGAGTGTTCTGAGGGAAACGGAGAACATCAGAGAAGGAAGAGGGGCAGAAGTGGAGAAGGTAAAGTCTTCTGTTGGCTACATTCAATGTAAATAGCTTTGTCTTAAATCAGTTTTCATCCTTCGAAATTGAAGCAAAAGATAGCCCACATGTTGTGTAAGAATAAAATCAAATTGCTTGAAATAATTTGACACAAACAATATTTGGTTCAGTGAAATCAAAATGAATGTGATATCCTGTGTTTTTGATATTTGTTTTACCTCACAGTTTGCTGAAAGCCTTCAAAAGATTCTCTCTGAGTAAATACACATCAGTGGTGAATGGGAATGTCCAGCTTCCTATGCTTGTATTGCCAGTCGTGGTCTAGTCAGTGAGAGCTACTTAGACAGGTGTGGCCAATCAGTCATTAACATTTCTCTGCGCCCCTGCTGGCCGGCACGCCCCTCCCCCATGGACCCCAGGTGAGACTGGAGCTGGAGGGGTGCGTGAGGGAGCTGGAAGAGTACCCAGAGTTACTGAGTGCCACAGAGCAGAGTCTTACGGAGTGCCAGGACAACCTGAAGCCCTCCGAGAAGAGATGTGCAGACAAGGCAGAGGCCATTAGACAACTGCAGGTCAAGGTGTGCAATTTAGCAGTAAGACTATGGTAACCTGTAGATGGGCAAGTAAGTGCTGTTGGAGTACAGTACAGTATGTAGAATGTGGCCATTTACCACTTCCAACCACCAGATGGCAGAAACCCTATGTGTTGGATTCCCTTTATAGTGTTATAATCACAATGGTTATAATGCTGCATCCCCAACCCGGTCCTGCTTTGACTTGGTGTTAAGGTTTGTGATTGAATGTGCTCAGATTGCAGTGGGAAGAGAGTAAGGTCGCAACCCTATGTGCCCCTGTTAAATGTTTGTGAAGCCTTGATGATCGCCTTAAGCTGATTTACATTAAACATTTACATTTACATCATTTAGCAGACGCTCTTATCCAGAGCGACTTACAGTTAGTGAGTGCATACATTTTTCATACTGGCCCCCCGTGGCACTCGAACCCACAACCCTGGCGTTGCAAGCGCCATGCTATACCAACTGAGCTACAGGAGGTCTAGTAGTTAGTTGTTGTTGTGTGGGTCAACAGTTAGGCAGCGAGTGAAATTACAACAGTGCTGAAACATGAATAGAAACGCAATCAATGCTTGCCTTTGAATGTTGCTCATGCCACTTTTGTGCAGTGTTGAGTGTGCTGTGTTGATAAATTGATAAGCCAATGTAATTCCAGTCATTGCATGGTACAGATCTACTATCTTCATTTGATCACTCTGTTGTCACAGAGAATATTCCCGCGCAGCAGGAAATGTACATTTGAGTGTATTCAAGGTTTAAAAAGGCTTCTAAAGTTTGTATTTTCCACTTTAAAATGTCTGACTTGATTTGCCCTAACAAAAAAATGCATCAACCCCTACAAAAATGTCCATTCATTATAATCCACATAATAATTCACATTTCCTGTTGCTGCAGGATTCTTTTCCTGCTGTGAGAAGCAGGGTCAAATGAAGTGCATCTGTACAACTCTTTGTGGTGTTGTACTCTGTGCTTGAACCCCATTCATGTCCCCATATTCAATACTAATTGAAAATACATTCAGCATGTATGATATTCAGTCATAGAGTAAATGTTTTGCCCAACCCCAATTCTGAAGACATGATTATTCTCCATCCAGGTGGAGAGCCAAGGGGAGAAGATGAGATCGTCATTGGACATGAAAGAGTCTATCCACGAGGCTAACTCACAGCTACAGCAGAAAGTGCATGCTCTTCAAAAGTAAGTTTATCTTTCTCTCATTAGACATAATTCATACATTCTCGCATTTGATTATGAGTGGTATTTTCTAATGAGATTCTTCTATGTTTCTAATTAAAAAACGTTCAAGCCTGACCAGGGTGAATGCTGAAATGTGTATACAATGCTTATGACTGTTATATGTGTAGGTTATGAATGTGTTAAGAAGTCCTTATGTAGCTAGATAGGTACCCTTCAAGTATCGTTGTGTATTCCTTCCAGGCAGATGGAGGAGCTGCATGGAGTAGAACCAGGGGCTGGAAAGTAGTTCATGCTCATATGCTCAGCATATAGTTTTACTCAAACCTATCATGTGTATAGTAGCAAATGTAAATGCTCAGAATAAAGGTGTATTTATGTATGACAAATGTATGCACTCACTAACTGTAAGTCACTCTGGATAAGAGTGTCTGCTAAATGACTAAAATCTAAATATATGTGTGTATATATATATATATATATATATATATATATATATAGTACCAGTCAAAAGTTTGGACACACCTACTCATTCAAGGGTTTTTCTTTATTTTTACAATTTTTTACATTGTAGAATAAAAGTGAAGACATCAAAACTATGAAATAACACATATGGAATCATGTAGTAACCAAAAAAGTGTTAAACAAATCAAAATATATTTGATATTTGAGATTCTTCAAATAGCCACCCTTTGCCTTGATGACAGCTTTGGCATTCTTTTGATTTGTTTAACACTCCTTTGGTTACTACATGATTCCATATGTGTTATTATATAGTTTTGATGTCTTCACTATTGTTCTACAATGTAGAAAATAGTCAAAATAAAGAAAAACCCTGGAATGAGTAGGTCTGTCCAAACCTTTGACTGGTACTGTGTGTGTATATATATATATATATATATATATATATATATATATATATATATACATACATACAGTGCCTTTTAAAAGTATTCATCCCTGTGATGCGTGATTTGAAGGAGTCAGGCGCAGGAGGGTAAATCACAGTATACAGAGTTTATTCCGTAATCCATCTTAACCAGTCCAGTGCGCAAAACAGGCGCACTGGAACAAACATGCACACGGGGAAAATACCCCGGCAATACAAAATACTGAGCTCAACCGAGCTACTAATCCTCACAAAGAACAATCACCCACAAAGGACAAGGGGGGCAGAGGGAACACTTAAACACGTACTAATGAGGGGAATATGAACCAGGTGTGTGTAATTGACAAGACAAGACAAATGGAATGATGAGATATGGAGCGGCAGTGGCTAGAAGGCCGGTGGCGACGAACGCCGAAGCCTGCCCGAACAAGGAGGGGAGGCAGCTTCGGAGGAAGTCGTGACAATCCCCCTTGGCGTTTTTCCTATTTTGTTGCATTACAACCTGTAATTTAAATGGATTTTTATTTGGATTTCATGTAATGGACATACACAAAATAGTCCAAATTGGTGAAGTGAAATTGAAAAAATAACTTGTGGTGCGTGCATATTTATTCACCCCCTTTGCTATGAAGCCCCTAAATAAGATCTGGTGCAACCAATTACCTTCAGAAGTCACATAATTAGTTAAATAAAGTCTGTGTGCAATCTAAGTGTCACATGATCTGTCACATGATCTCAGTATATATACACCTGTTCTGAAAGGCCCCAGAGTCTGCAACACCACTAAGCAAGGGGCACCACCAAGCAAGCGGCACCATGAAGACCAAGGAGCTCTCCAAACAGGTCAGGGACAAAGTTGTGGAGAAGTACAGATCAGGGTATAAAAAAATATCAGAAACTTTGAACATCCCATTATAAAAAAATTGAAAGAATATGGCACCACAACAAATCTGCCAAGAGAGGGCCGCCCACCAAAACTCACGGACCAGGCAAGGAGGCATTAATCAGAGAGTCAACTAAGAGACCAAAGATAACCCTGAAAGAGCTGCAAAGCTTTTTTTTTGCTGAGTAGAGTGTTGGAGGCTATTTTGTAAATGACATCGCCGAAGTCAAGGATCGGTAGGATAGTCAGTTTTATGAGGGCATGTTTGGCAGCATGAGTGAAGGAGGCTTTGTTGCGAAATAGGAAACCGATTCTAGATTTAACTTTGGATTGGAGATTCTCAATGTGAGTCTTGAAGGAGAGTTTACAGTCTAACCAGACACCTAGGTATTTGTAGTTGTCCACATACTCTAGGTCAGACCCGTCGAGAGTAGTCATTCTAGTCGGGTGGGCGGGTGCCAGCAGCGTTCGATTGAAGAGCATACATTTAGTTTTACTAGTGTTTAAGAGCAGTTGGAGGCTACTGAAGGAGTGTTGTATTGCATTGAAGCTCATTTGGAGGTTTGTTAACACGGTGTCCAATGAAGGGCCAGATGTATACAAAATGGTGTCGTCTGCGTAGAGGTGGATCTGAGAGTCACCAGCAGTAAGAGTGACATCATTGATATTCACGGAGAAAAGAGTCGGCCCAAGAATTGAACCCTGTGGCACCCCCATAGAGACTGCCATAGGTCCAGACAACAGGCCCTCCGATTTGACACATTGAACTCTATCTGAGAAGTAGTTGGTGAACCAGGCGAGGCAGTCATTTGAGAAACCAAGGCTATTTATTCTGCCAATAAGAATGCGGTGGTTGACAGAGTCGAAAGCCTTGGCCAGGTCGATGAAGACGGCTGCACAGTACTGTCTATTATCGATCGCGGTTATAATATCGTTTAGGACCTTGAGCGTGGCTGAAGTGCACCCATGACCCTAAGCATACTGCTAAAGCAACACTTGAGTGGTTTAAAACAAATAACCTGTAATTGAACCCACAATTGTTGATGCTCCAGATACTCAACTAGTCTCAAGAAGGCCAGTTTTATTGCTTCTTTAATCAGCACAACAGTTTTCAGCTGTGCTAACATAATTGCAAAAGGGTTTTCTAATGATCAATTAGCCTTTTAAAATGATAAACTTGGATTAGCAAACACAACGTGCCATTGGAACACAGGACTGATGGTTGCTGATAATGGGCCTCTGTACGCCTATGTAGATATTCCATTAAAAATCAGCCGTTTCCAGCTACAAAAGCCATTTACAACATTAACAATGTCTACACTGTATTTCTGATCAATAATGGACAAAAAAAAGTGTATATATATATTCAGTGGAACCAAGGTTCCCAGAAGGAAATGGAAAGGCACAGAAGCCAATTGAAGATGGTGTTTTCTAGGAGTTGAGTTAGTATCAAGAGGTCGAGGTTGACTTTTTGATACATCTCATCATCTCTATTTCTCTCATACCAAGGTGTCCAAAGTGAAAGACAAAGCTGTTTCCAAAGAAAGTTCCCTTCAGACTAAAATCCTGAAACTGGAGGCTGAGAAGAACAGGAGAGCGAATGAGCTGAAACAGATTAAACAAAGCAAGCAGTCGGTGAGTATCAGACACGATCACCTACGATAACCTACTGCATACCATAGGATGTTTCTCTCATATACCTTAAAGCTAATTCTAACACAGGACAGTACTTTTTGATGCCATAGCCAATCAGACCATTATTATTTTTATTTTTTTAAAGAATAGAAGTACATACATTTTTCCATTCAATGGATTTAAATCTTGGTGCAGGCTGAGAAGAAGTTTGAGGTGCGTCTGAAGGACCTGCAGGTCAGCCTGGACCAATCAGAGAGCCACAAGCAGAGCATTCAGAACTACGTAGACTTCCTCAAGATCTCTTACGCCACCATGTTTGAGGAAGGACTACCACCCGCACCGTCTAGCTTTGGATCATCCTACTTTTTAAAATGAGGATTACTCAGGGATGTGTATTTGTGGTGTGTAATGTGTGTTGTTGTGGAAATCATATGTACTGTACAATATATGAGCCTTACTTCATGTTTTTAATAATGTATGTGTTTTGGAGAAGCAATGAATTCGCACATACAGTTGAAGTCAGAAGTTTACATACACTTAGGTTGGAGTCATTAAAACTTGTTTTCCAACCACTCCACACATTTCTTGTTAACAAACTATAGTTTTGGCAAGTCAGTTAGGACATCTACTTTGTGCATGACACAAGTAATTTTTCCAACAATTGTCTACAGACAGATTATTTCACTTATAATTCACTGTATCACAATTCCAGTGGGTTTACATACACTAAGTTGACTGTGCCTTTACACAGCTTGGAAAATTCCAGAAAATGATGTCATGGCTTTAGAAGCTTCTGATAGGCTAATTGACATCATTTGAGTCAATTGGAGGTGTACCTGTGGATGTATTTCAAGGCCTACCTTCAAACTCAGTGCCTCTTTGCTTGACATCATGGGAAAATCAAACGAAATCAGTCATGACCACATTCATCTGTACAAACAATAGTACGCAAGTATAAACACCATGGGACCACGCAGCCGTCATACCACTCAGGAAGGAGACGCGTTCTGTCTCCTAGAGATGAACGTACTTTGGTGCTAAAAGTGCAAACCAATCCCAGAACAACAGCAAAGGACCTTGTGAAGATGCTGGAGGAAACAGGTACAAAAGTATCTATATCCACAGTAAAACGAGTCCCATATCAACATAACCTGAAAGGCCGCTCAGAAAGGAAGAAGCGACTGCTATAAAACCGCCAAAGAAAGCCAGACTACGGTTTGCAACTGCACATGGGGACAAATATCGTACTTTTTGGAGAAATGTCCTCTGGTCTGATGAAACAAAAAATAGAACTCTTTGGCCATAATGACCATAGTTATGTTTGGAGGAAAAAGGAGGTTGCTTGCAAGCCCAAGAACACCTTCCCAACCGTGAAGCACAGGGGTGGCAGCATCATGCTGTGGGGGTGCTTTGCTGCAGGAAGGTCTGGTGCACTTCACAAAATAGATGGCATCATGAGGAAGGAAAATTATGTGGATATATTGAAGCAACATCTCAAGACATCAGTCAGGAAGTTAAAGCTTGGTCGCAAATGGGTCTTCCAAATGGACAGTGACCCCAAGCATACTTCCAAAGTTGTGGCAAAATGGCTTAAAGACAACAAAGTCAAGGTATTGGAGTGGACATCACAAAGCCCTGACCTCAATCCTATAGAAAATGTGTGGGCAGAACTGAAAAAGCGTGTGCGAGCAAGGAGGCCTACAAACCTGACTCAGTTACACCAGCTCTGTCAGGAGGAATGGGCCAGAATTCACCCAACGTATTGTGGGAAGCTTGTGGAAGGCTACCCGAAACGTTTGACCCAAGTTAAACAATTGAAAGGCAATGCTACCAAATACTAATTGAGTGTATGTAAACTTCTGACCCACTGGGAATGTGATGAAAGAAATAAAAGCTGAAATAAATCATTCTCTCTACTATTATTCTGACATTTCACATCCTTAAAATATAGTGGTGATCCTAACTGACCTAAGACAGGGAATTCGTACTAGGATTAAATGTGAGGAATTGTGAAAAACTGAGTTGGTTTTCTTAAATCTCAAAGGGATAGGTTGAGATTTTGGCATAGATTTCCAGTCATTGTGCTAACGCTAGTTAGCAATTGCATCATAAACGACCTTTAACTTCCTTCAAACTGCACGCAGAGACATAAAAAATTGTATCCATGAGTTCATCTGAATCTGGGTAAGTAGAAAAAATAGCTTAATTGCCAAAATCTCAAACTATCCCTTTAAGGAAGGTAAGTCTTAAGCCTGTATATCACTCAGCGGTGCTGTGCAAGATATAGGAGCCTCGGAGAGCCAATTTCATGACCTGTTTGGGATCTCACTGTCTCCAGGGTGTTGCTTAGTAGTAGTCAGTCAACACTTTGCATAACGTTTGGAGGGAAAGAAACAATGCCAACATCTGAAATCAAGGTACAGTTGCTTTAGCTGTCAGGCCTGGTTTCGTCACAGGATCTCCAGATATCCAACGCAGAACCAATTATGTAAAAGTCAAAAACAAACAATTCAACTGTTAGGTTCTGAACAAACAGACTATGAACTCAGACGGACAACTAGAAAAGCTCAAAACAAGTTTATTCATTCCACTGGATGCTTCAGCTGCAAACACACTTGTACAATGATCAAACAGGCATATACAGCTGTGGAAATAATTAAGAGACCACTGCAAAATTATCAGTTTCTCTGGTTTTACTATTTATAGGTATGTGTTTGGGTAAAAATCTAAAATTTGTTTTATTCTATAAACTACTGACAACATTTCTCCCAAATTCCAAATAAAAATATTGTTATTTAGAGCATTTATTTGCAGAAAATGACAACTGGTCAAAATAACAAAAAAGATGCAGTGTTGTCAGACCTCGAATAATGCAAAGAAAATAAGTTAATGTTCATTTTTAAACAACACAATACTAATGTTTTAACTTAGGAAGAGTTCAGAAATCAATATTTGGTGGAATAACCCTGATTTTCAATGACAGCTTTCATGCGTCTTGGCATGCTCTCCACCAGTCTTTTACATTGATGGGTGACTTTATGCCACTCTTGGCTTAAAAATTCAAGCAGCTTGGCTTTGTTTGATGGCTTGAGACCATTCATCTTCCTCTAGATCACATTCCAAAAGTTTTCAATGGGGTTCAGGTCTGGAGATTGGGCTGGCCATGACAGGGTCTTGATCTGGTGGTCCTCCATCCACACCTTGATTGACCTGGCTGTGTGGCATGGCACATTGTCCTGCTGGAAAAAACAATCCTCAGAGTTGGAGAACAATGTCAGAGCAAAAGGAAGCAAGTTTTCTTCCAGGACAACCTTGTACGTGGCTTGATTCATGCACCCCCAGATCATCACCGATCCTCCACCAAATTTCACAGTGGGTGCGAGACACTGTGGCTTGTAGGCCTCTCCAGGTCTCCGTCTAACCATTAGACGACCAGATGTTGGGCAAAGCTGAAAATTGGACTCATCAGAGAAGATGACCTTACTCCAATCCTTACGGTCTTTTGCAAACCTCAGCCTGGCTCTTCTTTGCTTCTCATTGATGAAGGGCTTTTTTCTAGCTTTGCACGACTTCAGCCCTGCCCCTAGGAGCCTGTTTCGAACTCGCCGTGCACTTCACCCCAGTTGCCGTTTGCCATTCTTTTTGTAGGTCACTGGATGTCATCCTACGGTTGTGGAGTGACATTCAAATGAGTTTGCGGTCATCCCGGTCAGTAGAGAGTCGTTTTCGCCCTCTGCCGGTCTGTAGCTTTGTTGTCCCCAATGTCTGCTGCTTGACCTTGTTCTTATGAACCGCCGTCTTTGAAATTTTAAGGATGGAAGCAACCTGACGCTCACTGTATCCCTCTGCCAGTAAAGCCAGAATTGAACCCTTCTTTTCCTCACTCAAAACTTTCATTTTCAACTCTTTTGGCATGGTCAATAGTTCTTTTTTGATTAATATTACTTTTGAGGTACTATTAGCACTGTTTTCTGTTTTTGCCATCCAGCTGGTCCTATTGCAAGAGGATAGTGATGACCACAGCAGTGGTTTTTATACTTTTCCTTGTTAAATAAGATTTGGTTCAGGTGATCACCTAATCAGTACCTAATTCAGTAGAATGAGGTGTGCCTGTGTTGGAATTCAACAAACACTGGAATGGAATGGCTGTCATACATGTAGAGATGCTGATTTAAGAAACATTTGCAGTGGTCTCTTAATTTTTTACACAGCTGTATATGTCAAGACGAGATTAGGGGTGTGACTTCTCAGAACTGTCCATCTGTTTCCCAAAACTGCCTAAATGTTGTGCTGTCAAGCGGTCTGGTAACAGTTCCCCTTCATCCGGTCACTTCTCCGGGATGTTTACAAGTGATCTTCTGTTCACCTTACTCAACAGACTTTGGACATACATGCTGTTCCCCTTTTTTCTCACAGTAACTTTCCATACAAAAAGTTCCTCTTCCCCATTCATTGACACATAACATATACATTTATTATGCAGGTAACATATTCAATAAGGTCTAATATAGTGACAGGAGTAAGTATATTTCAAGTTGGAACACAACAAATGAGCAGCAATGTGAACCACATGTCCACTGATACTTCCCCTCTTGGCCTCTTTGTGTTTAGCTTTTGATGTGTTTATATGAACTGGGATATTGAGTTTTAGAGGTTGTTTGGGTATACAGGCAGGCCTCCAGTCGAACTAAGGTACACTCCATAGCCTGGCCTACCAACCGGAACCTTGGCACATCTCACAATGCTTTGTTACATAAGCTTGACTTGACACGTCTGATGACATCCAGGAACATTTGGCTATTGATTATGGTATGATTATGGGGCTATTGATTATGGTATGATTATGGGGCTATTGGTTGAGTCATAATCCTGCCTGCTATTATGTAAACTCATCAAACCCTAGGGCCCTCAAACTCAACTCTGGACTTCGAAGCCAGTTCCACTGCATTTTTTAATTGTTGCCCTCTAATCAGGGACTGATTTAGACCTGGGACACCAGCTGTGTGCAATTAATTATTAGGTAGGACAGAAAACCAGCAGGCTCCAGACCTCATAGGGTAAGAGTTGAATACCCCTGCCGTAGGGTATAGGGCATAGGCTACTAATGTCAGTCAAGTTCTCTGCCTCAAAGGGTTAGCAACAGGGTCAGTTCCATTTCAATCCAGGAAGTAAACTGAAGGAGAAGTGGGATTCTTTAAAGCTCAGACCTGTTCCACTCCTCTCAAGTGTTCAAAGACAAAGCTCCATTGTACTCCTCAGACACAAGATGGACGCATTTTACTTCTGTGTGCGTCAATGCCCTCATTTTCCCCCCTGGTCCAAGTCAGAGCCTGTTTATGTAATACTGTCTGTCATGCATTTCTGTCTCTCTCTCTCTTTGCTGGAAAGCATTCTTCTTTCATGCTGATGCCTGACACGTTAAGCAATTGAGAAGGTATTACACACTTGTTTATTACAGACACACATACAAACACACACGTGCATGAGGGCCCATGCTGACCCAGGGGACTGGGTAATCTCGCTCTCCAAGGCTGACGTGAGTAACGTTTTTAATCAGGTCAACACTCGTAAGGCCGCGGGGACGGTATTCCAGGGCGTGTTCTCAGAGCATGCGCAGAACAGCTGGCAGGCATATTAATTTTCAACCTTGTCCCAGTCTGTAATCCCCACATCTCTCAAGCTGACCACCATCATTCCTGTTCCTAAGAACTCTAAGGCTACCTGCCACAATGACTACCGCCCTGTAGCACTCACATCTGTGGGCTGGTTATGGCTGGTTATGGCACACATCAACTCTATCATCCCAGATGCCCTAGACCCACTTCAATTTGCATACCGCCCCAACAGATCCATAGACGATGCAATTGCACTCCATACTGTGCTCACCCACCTAGATAAGAGGAATACCTATGTGAGAATGCTGTTCATTGACCACAGCTCAGCGTACAACACCATAGGCCACTCCAAGCTTGTCACCAAGCTTGGGACCCTGGGACTGAACACCTCCCTCTGCAACTGGACCCTGGACTTCCTGACGGGGCGACCCCAGGTGGTGAGGGTAGGCAACATCACCTCCGCCAAGCTGACCCAACACGGGGGCCCCACAGGGGTGTGTGCTTAGTCCTCTCCTGTACTCTCTGTTCTACTGCTGCACCATTTGAGAGCATCTTGAATGACTGCATCACTGCTTGGTATGGCAACTGCACCGCCCTCAATCACATGGCGCTACAGAGGTTGGTGCGGACAGCCCAGTACCTCACTGGGGCCGAGCTCTCTGCCATCCTGGACCACCTTATCAGGTGAAAGGTGCTGAGATGCATCTTTTAAATGCAAACATTAGCTAGCCAGCTAGCTAGCCAAAACAGACAAGCCAACCCAACGTCAGTCCTGCAACTCCGTGGGTAAAACCCCCCAGATATATCCAATTAACAACTCAATGACTTATCAAAAACAAAAACGCTGATTTAAAAAACACGTAAAAACCTCTAAAATATGTACAACATTTACAGAGATCACAGATCGGGTTATAGACACTCACTGAATGAAAATAGACTTGATGGATGTATTTAGAGGTTTTATGATGATTTGATGTTTGTGCAGACTGAATGTAATGTAGGAGCTGGATTCGATGGTACTACGTGACCCACAAACACAATGAACTACTAGACGATACAAATTTACACATTTGATCCATCCATTCAAATCTAGAACCCCCCAGAAGTGGGTCAGCCTGAAACACAGGAGGTATCCCTTACTTTAAAAGAACTATGGGTGGAGGATAGATTCAATTAGGGAAAGCAATGCCAATAGAACTAGGTTAAATATCAACTGTCCAATGGGATCCCAAACACTAAACAGAGCATCAGGTTCCATAAATACATATATTTTATTAATAACCTAAAAAACGAATGCTCTAAAATATAATTTTCCAATATGGCCTATCATATCTTAAGAAAACGTCAATATTTTAGAAATAAATAATACAAATATTATTTTGATATTAAAACCCTCCCGTTGTCCTAGGGTCAAAATGACCCGCCACTGTGTTGAACCAACTTTATTTAATTTGTATATTTTTTAGATCATTTGTGAGAAGGAGGCAGTGATACTTTCTTTAAAGTCTCACTGCCTCCTTCTCACAAATGATCCCAAAAATATACAAATTAAATAAAGTTGGTTCAACACAGTGGCGGGTCATTTTGACCCTAGGACAACGGGAGGGTTAAAAACAATTGCACTTATTTATATTTGACACACATCTACTCATGATTAAATCATTCTAGTAGCTGCCACAAAGCAGATGTTTTCATATTTTGACTGTACAAAAATACAAATATATTCACAAAGATAGACATGCGTACAAAACTTGAGTGCATCTCATGCCTTGTTTGAATAAACAAAACAAGTTGTCATTGAACTGAAATATTACAACATAACATAACGCTCCATATCGAAGCAGCCAAAAACACTCCAATATTACGAAGCAATTCATAAAAAATCCTCAAAATAAATGTCTCCAGCATAGCAGTGCACATATGGAGTTATCCTTACTCCCTGTCATCGCACCCCTTTGTAATCCTAGTTTACGTACAGGGTGTGGAACCCTCAACCTTCCCTTCCCCTCAGCCTCTGGATTTGCGGATATCATTGGAGAGCCCAGAGGGCTTCTTGTTGTTATGAGGAGAGTTAAAGTCACATGAACAGGACTCTATGACCATGACGTCCTTGCTGAAAGTGTCTCCGTCCTCACAGCGGAAGCGAACGGCTACAGTCTGGGTCTGCTGAGGGGTGCAGCAGCGCCCGTCCAGACAAGAACCACAGTACCTTGGGTGGAACTTCTTCACGCTGCTGCAGCCTGCATAGCTCAGCTTCACTGGACGGCTGGCCTTCGCAATGCGACTGCACTTCTTACCCTTCTGTTGGTGAGAGGAGAACAAGAACAATGTGAGAACAAAATATTGATGTACTGGACATGCATGTGTTTCAATGTCCTTAGGATTCAGTTTCATCCTGGTGATAGCATAGCATTGCTGCCGCCGGTTCGATTCTCACATGGGCCACATACAGTGCATTCGGAAAGTGTTCAGACCCCTTGACCTTTTACACATTTTGTTACGTTACAGCCTCATTCTAAAATGGATCAAATCAAATAAATTCCTCATCAATCTACACACAATACCCCATAATGACAACATGAAAACAGGTTTTTAGAAATTTTAGCAAATTAATTAAAAATAAAACACAGAAATGCCTTATTTACATAAGTATTCAGACCCTTTGCTATGAGACACGAAATTAAGCTCAGATGCATCCTGTTTCCATTTATCATCCTTGATGTTTCTATAACTTGATTGGACTCCACCTGTGGTAAATTCAATTGATTGGACATGATTTGGAAAGGCACACACCTGTCTATATAAGGTCCCACAGTTGACAGTGCATGTCAGAGCAAAAACCAAGCCATGAGGTCGAAGGAATTGTCCGTAGCTGGCTGCCCGGCCAAACAGAGCAATCGAGGGAGAAGGGCCTTGGTCAGGGAGGTGACCAAGAACACGATGGTCACTCTAACAGAGCTCTAGAGTTCCTCTGTGGAGATGGGAGAACCTTCCAGAAGGATAACCATCTTTGCAGCACTCCACCAATCAGGTATTTATGGTAGAGTGGCCAGACGGAAGCCACTCCTCAGTAAAAGGCACATGAAAGCCCGCTTGGAGTTTGCCAAAAGGCACCTAAAGACTCTCAGACCATGAGAAACAAGATTCTCTGGTCTGATGAAACCAAAATTGAACTCTTTGGCCTGAATGCTAAGCGTCAAGTCTGGAGGAAACCTGGCTTCTTCCCTACGGTGAAGCATGGTGGTGTTAGCATCCTGTTGTGGGGATGTTTTTCAGTGGCAGGGACTGGGAGACTGGTCAGGATCGAGGGAAAGATGAACGGAGCAAAGTACAGAGAGATCCTTGATGAAAACCTGCTCCAGAGCGCTCAGGACCTCAGACTGGGGTGAAGGTTCACCTTCCAACAGGACAACGACCCTAAACACACAGCCAAGACAACGCAGGAGTGCCTTCGGGACAAGTCTCTGAATGTCCTTGAGTGTCCCAGCCAGAGCCCGGACCTGAACCCGATTGAACATCTCTGGAGAGACCTGAAAATAGCTATACAGCAACGCACCCCATCCAACCTGACAGAGCTTGAGAGGATCTGCAGAGAAGAATAGTAGAAACTCCCCAAATACAGGTGTGCCAAGCTTGTAGTTTCATACCCACGAAGACTCAAGGCTGTAATTGCTGCCGAAGGTGCTTCAACAAAGTACTGAGTAAAGGGTCTGAATACTTATGTAAATGTGATATTTCAGTTTTGTATTTCTTTATACATTTACTAGAATTTCTAAAAACCTGTTTTTGCTTTGTCATTATGGGGTCATGAGGGGGGGGGAAACAATTTAATCCATTTTAGAATAAGGTTGTAACGTAACAAAATGTGGAAAAAGTTAAGGGGTCTGAATACTTTCCAAATGCTCTGTATACTCAATATATTTGTAGAAGTAATTTTGGATATAAGCATCTGGAAAATGACTGTATAATGTATAGATGCATACTTTCAGGATGGAGTAGGCTGACTGGTAGCATGGGCGGACCTCACAGAGACGAGTCACCTTCACCAGCTTGCACTGGCTGTTGTTGTTGGTGACCCTGGAGGAAACTCCTGTACCACAGGACTTAGAGCAAAGGGACTTGGCTGTGGTCTGAGCCACACACCTCCTGTTCCCCTTGGACATCAGGCGACTCTCAGGCTTACTCCTGAAAGCTGTGGGGAAAAGATGGCAAGAAGATTAGTCAATGTGCATTGGATGGGTCTCACAAAACTTGGACATGAGTTCAAATCTACATACTATTTACACTGTACATACAGATGGTGATAATAAATAGCTCCCTGTCTGGATGTATACCGAGGCTGAACATCTATTGGAGCTCAATAATATCACTAACTGAACCACTGGAATAAACAGAGTTCCATTGACTCACCAGCTAAAGACTTGAGTCCTCTGATGACAGACACCAGCTCGTTTCTCTTTGTGAGGTCATCATCGGAATGTTTATCCTTGCAGCCATCTTTGCTGACCTTCTTTTCAACTGAGGCTGAGCCCACCACTTTCCCCTCCTCCTCAGGGCAGACCAGCTCCTCACAGCAGCGACCAGGCACTTTGACCGGCTTGTGTTCGGCACAGCCCAGTTTGGGCAGGGAGAGCTGCTGGGGGCACAGGGACACACACCCCAAGGCACCATCCATGCACGTACACTGGTGCTTGCAGTTGGCACTGAAGCTCTCTCCATTCTGGTAGATCTTGCTGTTGTACTCACAGGGTCTTCCATCTGATTTGGCTGTTTGGAGAAGCAGACAGGGAGACTGTTACTATGTGAGTCAAGTGTAATATCTAATTATAAAGAATGAGCTGTAAACCAAAAGCATAATTCGTCATTTGTAATAAACATGTTCATAACCGTAAATTCCTACATCTCTACAGCCAAACCCATTGGAGCCTATACTGATTTGTAGAAGTTACAATGACCACAGCAGGGTATCAGTATTATTATTTCCAATACACTTTTATCATACCTCGACAGATGCCTTTAGCTGTGCCATAACCAGACCCAAAGTTGCACTCCAGTCCCTTGATGTGGTCGCATGGCTCTGTCTTGCTGCAGTCCTCATTGAGCTGCCGGGCGCAAACTTTGCAGCATCCACAGCCGTCTGGCACGAGGCTGATTCCTGGAGCGCACCTGGCTAACTTAAGAGGACACAAACATTTGGAGGGACAAAGTGCTGATGCCTAAAAGAACAAAAACATGTTATAAGATAAATAAATGTTCACTTCATTTATGTGATTTCTTCTACAAAATTGCACTGTGAGATGGAATGAGGACTATCTTAAATAATCACCGTCACCCACCCTCGGCATTGGCAATCAAGCACGCATATTATTGTAGGCTACGATTAATGAATGAATTGATTAATAGATATTTCTTACTGAAGTAAAACTCCCATAGAGGAAAACAACAAAGGAAAGCATCAACACTTTCATGTCTATTGAAATAGTCTTCTTATCTTCCTTAGTAAATAAAAAGGCTCCTTTAGATTGATTATTCCAGACACGGAGTACTTTAGGCTTAACTACCGTGTGAGTTACTAGGTATATATAATCTGCTGTTTCGCTTGTGTACCCTCTCATCTTTTATATCCGAAAGAGATCTGACGTAGCCTATGGGGTGAATTGTTCCAAAACTATGCGAGGAATGTCTCCCAATGCTTTCTCCATTCAAGCCAAGTACCACACTGCCTACTTTAATTCTTACAGGGATTCATTTATTTTATTTTCTATTCCTTTCTCTTTTAGGCTATTTAATGTTGGAAACTGAGGTCAAACACGTATTTAAAGTATTTATTTTAAGATATTTTGTATATGTTGACTGTCCTGTTCTGTCCTAAAGTGCGTCTGAGACAGTCTGGACAATTAAGTTTATTCTATTCTATTAAGTTATATTCTTTTCTATTGTATTTAACCTTTTTAATATCTATACCTGTATGATAATTGTTCTAGTATGTGTTACCTTGTTGCCATACAAATGTATTACCTTTTTTTTATCAGATGACACTATTAGACTATGAGATGACCTGGGATGGACTAGGCTAAATGTGAAGGCTCAGCACTAATATATTATAGTCTAAATATAAAAAGATGAACTACATATTTCTATGGATAACTGAATGGAAAAAATGTGTCTCCTCGGATGCAGGCCAGCCCAAGTGTTTAGAATAACCCTCAATCTATGGTCAGTGTTTGTATTGAAAGTAATTTCTTTATTTTTCCTGTGCGCTGTAGTCTCTTCAATTCCATCTCTTGTCATATTTGAAATGCCTTTCAGTCACCCATCTGGATGTGGGTGGATTAATGTTTGTCTAACCCAAATATCTTTAAAAAGAAGAGTAGAGCAAGTTTGGAATGTTTGACCCCTCCTGGAATTCTTTGTTTTGACAGAATAAGTGAGTTAGGATTGAGAGAAGACAAAAGAGATTCCAGAATGTGCTTGAGGAATGCCTGAAGGAACATCCATTCAGGATGAACCTGGAGGGTGCCTTTGGAAAATAAAATTTTATACCCACATCAAAGAACAACAATTATGAAATAACAAAAATACTTTCCCACCCTTCATATTCCTCGCATATTCTGTCTTTGTTTTGACAGAATAAGTGAGTTAGGATTGAGAGAAGACAAAAGAGATTCCAGAATGTGCTTGAGGAATGCCTGAAGGAACATCCATTCAGGATGAACCTGGAGGGTGCCTTTGGAAAATAAAATTTTATACCCACATCAAAGAACAACAATTATGAAATAACAAAAATACTTTCCCACCCTTCACCCTTGTTGTTTACTTAAGGATGACTTGCGTGAATAGGAAACCTAGTCAACCAGACTGGCATATCTTTTCATTTAGTCCTTGTCTAACTTGAGAGTGCACATAGCACAGACTGTTGAGTTAAATCCAGGCAAATTCACACAGCTGAACAGCAGACATCATATTTGAGGAGCATGTGTCACAATACTCTTGTCTTTTTTTCTTTTTCCTACATAGCCCCAAGGCCCACACATTGTTGAGCGATTTTTGTGGAACCATGTTAGGTAATAATAAGTACTAAAAGTACATACACTTTAAACTGGATTCAACAGGTGGTCAGTTATGGAGTAGGGTTTGACTGGTATGGTAGAAGAACATTATTACATTATAATGATTATAACTCCAGACCTTAGTGTACTGACGTAACCTAGTCGCTTCAAAGCCATGAGATCATACTACTGAAAACAAACATGAAATGATATACTACACCATTAACGCCTATGAGCATCAGCAATCATTGTGCCATTCCCAACAGGCAAACTTCAGGTCTGCATGGCTCTTTATCTTATAGACCAAGCTGTCTAAAGCCACTCTCCATGTCTAAAATAACATTGGAGGGCCACAGGCTTGGTGCGGGGAGCAGGAACGGGCCGGACCGGGCTGACGTCGCGCACCACTGGCTTGGTGCGGGGAGCAGGAACGGGCCGGACCGGGCTGATGTCGCGCACCACTGGCTTGGTGCGGGGAGCAGGAACGGGCCGGACCGGGCTGACGACGCGCACCACAGGCTTGGTGCGGGGAGCAAGAACAGGCCGGGCAGGGCTGGCGACGCGCACCATAGGCTTGGTGCGAGGGGCAGGAACAGGCCGGGCCGGGCTGGCGACGCACACCATTGGCTTGGTGCGGGGAGCAGGAACAGGCCGGGCTGGGCTGGCGACGCGCACCATTGGCTTGGTGCGAGGGGCAGGAACAGGCCTGGCCGGCGACGCGCACCATAGGCTTGGTGCGAGGGGCAGGAACAGGCCGGGCTGGCGACGCGCACCATTGGCTTGGTGCAAGGGGCAGGAACAGGCCGGGCTGGCGACGCGCACCAAAGGCTTGGTGCGGGGAGCAGGAACAGGCCGGACCGGGCTGGCGACGCGCACCGTAGTCTTGGTGCGGGGAGCAGGAACAGGCTGGGCCGGGCTGGCGACGCGCACCATAGGCTTGGTGCGGGGAGCAGGAACAGACCGGGCCGGGCTGGCGACGCGCACCATAGGCTTGGTGCGGGGAACAGGAACAGGCCGGACCGGGCTGTGGAGACGGACTGGAGGTCTGGAGCGAAGAGCTGACACAACCCGTCCTGGCTGAATGCCTATTTTTACACACTCTGTGTGAGGCATCAGCACAGGACGTACAGGGCTGTGTACTCGTACTGGCACAACAGCACGTGACACTGGCGCAGGATATCCGGGACCGAGGAGGGGTACTGGAGGCCACGAGCGTTGAGCCGGCACACTCCGTCCTGGCTGCATGCCCACCTTAGCACGACACATGCGTGGTGCTCGCACAGGACGTACCGGACTGTGCCGGACCACTCGCGGCACAGTACGCAGCTCTGCATACCTCGGAACCTGCCCAGTCTCACGCTGCCTAGCCTGAGTACGGGGAGTTGGCTCTGCTCTACCTCTAGGCTCCGCCAGCCTCCCTTCCAGCCCCCCAAACCCGGTGGCCTCCTCTCCTAATCCCCAAACTCGCCCCGTAGCTGCCTCCAGCAGCCCCGTCGTCCATGCCGTGTGCCCCCCCTAAAAAATTTTATTGGGGGTGCCTCTCGTCTGTCCGACGACGACACTGTTGGCGCCGTACCTCCTCTCTCGCCAGGGCTTTAACTTTAGCCCATGGCCCTTTGCCCGCGAACATATCCTCCCAGGACCACCATTGACCCACCTGGGGCATCGCCAACCTCTCCATCTCCTTACCCGGCGTTTGCTCCTGGAAACGCTGCTTGGTCCTGTTTTGGTGGGATCTTCTGTCACGATCGTCATAATGATTGGACCAAGGCGCAGCGTGATATGCGTACATCTTTTTAATAGTGTACTGGCAACACGATACAAAATACAAAACAACCAAACGAAACGTGAAGTCCTCGGTTAACAACACAAACCAACACGGAACAAGATCCCACAAAACACAAGTGCACAACAGGCTGCCTAAGTATGGTTCCCAATCAGAGACAACAAGCAACAGCTGATTCTCGTTGCCTCTGATTGAGAACCACCCCGGCCAACCTAGAAAACACATGAACTAGAAACTGAACATAGAACACAAAACATAGACCCTACACACCCTGGCTCAACATATAAGAGTCCCCAGAGCCAGGGCGTGACAGCTACGCCCATCACCCCACTGGGAATCGTCAATACGGCTGGCTAGTCTATCTTCAAAGAAGCATCGTCAAGAGCGAATGGAAGGAAAATCAACTCTGTAGTTCTGTTCAGGACTACACGACAAGTCATCGGAGACCGGGCAACTACGAAGAAGAGATCAACAGTAGAAGACTTGTTGGAACCTTTTTGAACAATCATAGCCTTACAAGCGTGCAGCAAGAAGGCCCAACTTCCTTTCATTGCCACATTCATGATTTCTTACTCAAAGAGGGTGGCGGTTCGTGTGCAAAGTATATGGTTACTATAGAGGAGAGTAGTTTCCGAATGTGGCAATGTTAAGTGTATCTCTCTCTCTTCCTCTCTTCTTTAACAAGCATCAATGTTGTTGTCATTCCGCTAGGGACCTGTTTTCTCCAGTCAATAACCGGTGCAGAGTGTGGATGTTTATCCTGTGTTCGCATTTAATTAGCTAGTAAATAAATAATTAAACCAATTTGTGAAGTGCTGAATCATAAGTAAGGCTCTGGTTTTTGCAGATGCAAGGAGGTTACGACTGTTCAGAATGATGATATTATACGAGGTTATGATTAATAAGTTGACTGTTAATAGATGTGATAGGTAAAGACCTTTTAGAGTTTAATTCAGGAGATGGTAACTCTTTAAATAACTGCTCTCGTGGTGCCCCGGATCCTAATTAGTTAATTGTTACAACAATTAAACATAGTTAGTTAAATAGAGATAACAGTCTTGAGATTAATGTTAAAGTCACGTCATGACAGCTGTTTGTATGTGGCTGCTATGATAGTGAACTGTGTTTGCGTGTGATCAGGGGTGTATTCATTCTGCCGATTCTGTTGAAAAACATTTCTTAAATGGAAGCAAATGGAACGAAACTGGGATAAACTTACCTGAATTTGTCCAATAGAAACTTGTTTGCAACTGTTGGACTAATGATTACACCCTAGATCAGCTAGATGCAGGCAAGATTGTGCAAGGCGGTATTGAATGTGTCAATGTCTGTCACCTTTATTACTCAAATTTATCTCAACCTGTGCACCTACATTGTAAACTTTCATTCATAGGCTAGGTTGCAGCAACCTCATGATGGGTATAGGGAACATGTGAGTATTATGTAGTAGCTTAAACCTATCGATGTTACATTGAGCTGGGTGAATGGAATATGAATGACAGTCATCCAACAAGCTGTAATAGAAATAAGGACATGCTCATACATTATTTTTAAAAATCCTCCCTCATCTTAAATGTCACCGACCGCCACTGGACCATAGGTAGTGAGAAGGTGGCTTGAACATACTGAACATTTTTATGGGTCAGACTGACACCTTTTATAAGGTACACAGGAATGTCTGGAGTGGCTTTGCATCCGTTTTCAAGATGTGATTGCAAATCCAGTTTTATTACATAATTTCTATAAATGAGTTTTCCCCATTTTGGGTCCCTTTCCTTTCGCTGCATGCAATGGGCACTCAGAACAGGAACATAGTGTTCGTCTGGTCTGACATTCCCCATTGCTGACTCGTCAGTAAACATGGTCTGCCGCTAAACATATACATATACATATACGTCATTTAGCAGACGCTCTTATCCAGAGCGACTTACATGAGCAATTAGGGTTAAGTGCCTTGCTCAAGGGCACATCGGCAGATTTTTCACCTAGTCGGCTCGGGGATTAGAACCAGCGACCTTTCGATAACTGGCACAACGCTCTTAACCACTAAGCTACCTGCCGCCCCACATGCTGCTAATCACAATACAGTCTGGTCTCTAGGCTGTTACCTAATACAGAGAAGAGAGCTAGTTGTGTTTTGAGGGAGTTTAGTTTGTTCACATTTTTATAACCCTTCCCTGGTTTGTTCCTGTGAGGACTGTAAATTGTACTGCTCTCATGTCATGGAGGAACACATTTTCACACCAAGCCTGTACTGTACTTAGAGTACATAAAGACAGTACTACATGCAGTGAAGCTGCCCACCTATTTGTTTTACTTCATGGATAAAAGTACCCAAAATGGATTGAGGGCAGATTCCCTCACTCAAATTATTCTGTGAAGAGTTGGAGGAACATCAACCTACCGCAACAGTGACAGACAAACATTACATTTCAGGGCATGACACAACAAGCCTAACAACAATAACCTCAGGTAATAGGTCCTCAAAGGAGTACTGTAATATCATGATTAAAGAGAACTGGCAGCTGAAAGCTGAGAAGGCACAAGTTGTGCCATTTTGGAATTTATTTTTTGCCTTCTGGAATGTTATGTTTGGCTTCTCATGCAAAGCGGTTCACCTGCAATAAAAGTTGAGGAAACACCACTGTCCTCTGCCAATACCTGCTCTTGTTGGCTTCCTTCAACCTGGTCAGAGCTGTAGCCTACCCACTCTTTGTGGGCCCTATAGTAAACAATTATATTTGTTTTTTGGTTGGGTTCTGAAATAAATATATTTTAACACAAATTATATTTTCTACATGACTGCTTAGTCAATCTGGCATGTGTTTTCATGTTGCCAAGGCAAATTAGATGTATACCAAGCCTAGATGTGTTCTCATAGCCCTAGAATAGCCTCAGACAATTAATAATCTCCTCATAATGTGTTGAGCAGCCTTTTGATATTAGACCTCAGGCGCGCTGTGTCATCATAACTAAATACATAAACAGTTATGAAGACAGGCACCCTCTCAGCAACTAAGCAACAATAATACATATAAATCTATTAAGTAGGCTACACATGTATTAAGACTTAATTAATGATGCATGTATTAAATGAGTTGAAGTATATAATGGTGTTATGATGACAATAATATTGCCTAGTCATATCAAGGTGCAGCAGCTAAGCTACTCTATATATACTAAACAAAAATATAAACGCAACATGTAATGTGTTGGTCCCATGTTTCATGAGCTGAAATAAAAGATCCCATAAATGTTCGATACACACAAAAAACGTATTTCTCTCAAATTTTGTGCACACATTTCTTTACATCCCTGTTTGTGAGCATTTCCCTTTTGCCAAGATAATCCATCCAACTGACAGGTGTGGCATATCAAGAAGCTGATTAAACAGCATGATCATTATACAGGTGCACCTTGTGCTGGGGACAATAAAAGGCCACTAAAATGTGCAGTTTTGCTGTTGGCAGAGCATTGAATGTTAATTTCTCTACCATAAGCCGCCTCCAACATCGTTTTAGAGAATTTGGCAGTATGTCTAACCGGCCTCACAACCGCAGACAACTTGTAACCACGCCAGCCCAGGACCTCCACATCTGGCTTCTTCACCTGCGGGATCGTCTGAGACCAGCCACCCAGACAGCTGATGAAACTGTGGGTTTGCACAACCAAAAAAATTTTGCACAAACTGTCAGAAACCATCTCAGGGAAACTCATCTGCGTGCTCTTCGTCCTCACCAGGGTCTTGACCTGACTGCAGTTCGGCGTTGTAATCGACTTCAGAGGGCAAATGCTCACCTTCAATGGCCACCAGCACGCTGGAGAAGTGTGCTCTTCACCAGATACTGACTGTTTTTCTAAAGGTTTCTGTGACCAACAGATGCATGTCTGTATTCCCAGTCATGTGAAATCCATAGATTAGGGCCTAATGAATTTATTTCAATTGACTGATTTCCTTTATATGAACTGTAACTCAGTAAAATCTTTTAAAAGGTTGCATGTTGCGTTTATATTTTTGGTCAGTGTAGAATAAACCTACCGGCACTTATCTCAGTGGCACTGATATGATAGCATATTGCTTAGTGTTATAGCCCCATCCCAAGGTCTCTTTATGAAATAAAATTATATTTATTTATTTTTTTGCAAATGTTTAGTAAAAAATATAATGATAATAAAATAATTAATTAAATCGAACCGCACATAAATGTTTATGGTAATTACATTACATTATTTGAACACTCGAATATGCTGTTTATCACCAGGGGAATGAACTGTTGTGTTGCGCTAGTTCTAGTATCGTTACTGAATGGAAAGCACTCATTGTTCACTTGCCCATACATGACTTGCGTAAACCCGTCCATTGAATCAGGAAGTAATAATTTGCAGCGGTTCCTTGATGAGAAATGTTAATGTACTAGGGCAGTCTAGAATCTTTTGTTTTGTATCGGCAAATATAGGCTATTAGAGTTGCGCACTGGAAAATATAATATTCGTGGACGGGAGCCTATCTTTTGGTGTAAGTCTTTTTAGTGCGCCTTTTTATTCTCGGAAAGTACCCGGAAGACTTGAATTTGACACCTTGGCTAAGGTAGGGTAAGTAGAATGGATGTTCCTCACCTGACAGAAGATGAAATGGCAGATATTAAAAAAGAGGTAAGTTGCCTTTTTGTCTGACTGTCAATTCAACTGTCAGGGAGGCTGTTTTACAAGAATGATTTGCCAGAATGTTGTTAACTTATAGAGATGGGAACTTTAAATGTAGAAATGCGCAAAATGAAGAAGTGAAAGTAACCAACTTATGCCACACCCTAGCAGGGCCGACCAAACTGGGGCACTAGGGGGGCCCCGAACCCAAATTAGTTTGAATTTTTTTTATATATATATATTTTTTGGAAGTCAGTCAGGGTCTCAAATTAATGTTGAGAGATATCATAGTAGAACACACAACATGCAATTTCGAAATTTGGTAGTTCATTAGCAGTTTTCCTCTTGTTATTTCAGTCACAGACAGTCAATCAATTAGCCCCTGTCAGCTAACATGTTATAGATTGCTAAGTAAGTTAGTGTAAACATCTATCTAAACCTTGTAGTAATCATGGCCAAATTACTGACCGGGAACCCAAGGCACGTGCCCAGGAGCCCTGACCTCCAGTGGGCCCCCATTGATTTAGTTATTCACTCTCACTCGTTTAGGGCCCCCAAAGCCCTGCACATATTCAAGTTATTAGCCTTCCCACTGGGCACAGATGTCAGTTCAATGTCTAGATTTGATTTACATTTGGTTGAGTTGTCAACCAACGAGAATTCAATGGGAAATCATCAAAAAATGTCACCATGTCATTGGATTTAGATTAAAAGTTGGGGGAAGAAGACTAAATTACCTTACATTGATGGATTTTTAAAAAAATTATCCGTTTTCCACGAAGATTCAACATCTTCACATAGATCTTTTTGGTTGAAATGACGTGGAAACAACAATGGTAAATGTTTTAATAAATCTTGAATATGGGTAATCAGAATGTGTTCTTAGGTGTCAAATTATATGGCTACGATTGGATTAACGTTTGAAGTGTAATTTTATGATTACTTTAAAAATATATATATATATATATATTTCAAGACCCTAAAAAGCTATTGTTTACCTTTTATATTTCTAAATAAATAATGTCTATTTGTCCGGCCCGTGGCCCATAACTCAAATGATGTACGAAGCCCAAAGGTTTGAGCACCCATGCTCTATAGGCTACCCCATTTTTACAGAAGCCTATATGTGTGTATAGTGTAAAAAAGTTATTAATGTGCATATTATACCTAACCCCTTTCTCATAATGATCAACAAAGGCATACAGTGAGGGAAAAAAGTATTTGATCCCCTGCTGATTTTGTACGTTTGCCCACTGACAAAGAAATGATCAGTCTATAATTTTAATGGTAGGTTTATTTGAACAGTGAGAGACAGAATAACAACAAAAAAATCCAGAAAAATGCATGTCAAAAATGTTATAAATTGATTTGCATTTTAATGAGGGAAATAAGTATTTGACCCCCTCTCAATCAGAAAGATTTCTGGCTCCCAGGTGTCTTTTATACAGGTAACAAGCAGAGATTAGGAGCACACTCTTAAAGGGAGTGCTCCTAATCTCAGTTTGTTACCTGTATAAAAGACACCTATCCACAGAAGCAATCAATCAATCAGATTCCAAACTCTCCACCATGGCCAAGACCAAAGAGCTCTCCAAGGATGTCAGGGACAAGATTGTAGACCTACACAAGGCTGGAATGGGCTACAAGACCATCGCCAAGCAGCTTGGTGAGAAGGTGACAACAGTTGGTGCGATTATTCGCAAATGGAAGAAACACAAAATAACTGTCAATCTCCCTCGGCCTGGGGCTCCATGCAAGATCTGACCTCGTGGAGTTGCAATGATCATGAGAACGGTGAGGAATCAGCCCAAAACTACATGGGAGGATCTTGTCAAGGATCTCAAGGCAGCTGGGACCATAGTCAACAAGAAAACAATTGGTAACACACTACACTGTGAAGGACTGAAATCCTGCAGCGCCCGCAAGGTCCCCCTGCTCAAGAAAGCACATATACAGGCCTGTCTGAAGTTTACCAATGAACATCTGAATGATTCAGAGGAGAACTGGGTGAAAGTGTTGTGGTCAGATGAGACCAAAATCGAGCTCTTTGGCATCAACTCAACTCACCATGTTTGGAGGAGGAGGAATGCTGCCTATGACCCCAAGAACACCATCCCCACCGTCAAACATGGAGGTGGAAACATTATGCTTTTGGGGTGTTTTTCTGCTAAGGGGACAGGACAACTTCACCGCATCAAAGGGACGATGGACGGGGCCATGTACCGTCAAATCTTGGGTGAGAACCTCCTTCCCTCAGCCAGGGCATTGAAAATGGGTCGTGGATGGGTATTCCAGCATGACAATGACCCAAAACACACGGCCAAGGCAACAAAGGAGTGGCTCAAGAAGCAGCACATTAAGGTCCTGGAGTGGCCTAGCCAGTCTCCAGACCTTAATCCCATAGAACATCTGTGGAGGGAGCTAAAGGTTCGAGTTGCCAAACGTCAGCCTCGAAACCTTAATGACTTGGAGAAGATCTGCAAAGAGGAGTGGGACAAAATCCCTCCTGAGATGTGTGCAAACCTGGTCGCCAGCTACAAGAAACGTCTGACCTCTGTGATTGCCAACAAGGGTTTTGCCACCAAGTACTAAGTCACATTTTGCAGAGGGGTCAAATACTTATTTCCCTCATTAAAATGCAAATCAATTTATAACATTTTTGACATGCGTTTTTCTGGATTTTTTTGTTATTATTCTGTCTCTCACTGTTCAAATAAACCAACCATTAAAATTATAGACTGATAATTTCTTTGTCAGTGGGCAAACGTACAAAATCAGCAGGGGATCAAATACTTTTTTCCCTCACTGTACCCTTCATCTAATTATTCTTTGTCCACACATGTTTACCTGTCCTTCAGTACAGTTACAGTATTGTCATCAGCAGTCAGTCCTCTGGTCACACACACTTGATAAAACACATATCAACTAATTGTGTCCCTATATAACATACAGATTGTCCAGAACCCAACCCTCAACACTACACAAAACACCCACAGTTTCCATCTTGCTCTTCTCTGTCCAGGTCCTAACGAGGATGCGACCGTACCTCTGTGATAAGATCCGGGTCGACCGCCATTTTGACTACCTGCGCTCGCGTAAGATCCTGACGCGGGACGACACAGAGGAGATCAGCTGCAGGAGCACGCAGCGCAAGCGGACGGGCATGCTGCTGGACTACCTGGCTGAGAACCCTCGTGGGCTGGACGCCCTGGTCGAGTCCATCCAGCAAGGACGTACCCTCAACTTCATCATCACCAAGATCACTGATGAGGTGCAGAAAGTGAAGAACGAGAGGATAGAGGCTCTCAGAGGTATGTTGTGTGTCTGTGTGTTGTTGTTTATTCTTTGTTTGAAGTCATATAATGAAGGTACTGCGGTGAACCACACTTGAGTGACGAGTAATCTTGCCTGAGACCTGAAGATTTGTGTTAGCTCCCTGAGCTAATAGGCTTTAGCTCAGTGGGCTAACACAGTCTTAGTACCATTATCATGACCATCTCACATTGGTCCTATACAGCAGGGGCATCCAGTTCCTCCTCGGGCTTCCTGCCGACCCAGGACACATCCGGGGTCACTAAAGACCTCTCCAGGACACTGTCAGATGAGTCCAACCTGACATCCACCATGCCATACAACAGAGAGGGGAGCCCATCCACCTCTGACGCCCTAAGATCCCTCAACCTGCCCACTGCCTCCAGCCAAGGGAAGGAGGTGTCGTCATCCATGGGAGGGGGTAGCATGGCTGTGTCTTCATCCCAGGCCTCGTCCACACTGCCCAGGCCTGGAGACCCAGGGGCTCCCCCCCTGCCGCAGGAGGCCTTATCTAACATGGATGCTGGACCACATGGGAGCACGGCGATCAGCGGAGGGGACGCCAACTTCCAGCCCCTGAGGTCACGCTCAATCACCCCCACTTCCACGTCATACAGGGACTTCTCGCCTCGGCCCCCACCTAAATCTTACTGAGGACCGCCCCTTGCCCTGGAATGCCTCCCATATCATTACTCATCACAAACATTCACTCTTCAATTGTATTGTGTTTGTACAAGTGTATGTGTTTTCTCAATGGTTTTAGTTCAGTGATACATCAAACAAATACCAACTCATAAAGTATGTTCCATGCCTTAAATTTTACTCTGGGTTATTAGAAAGCTGGACAAACTTATTTTGGATTCAATGAAGAACCGTACAAGTAACTACTTACTAATCATGTCTCAAACATAAGCTGTACCTTCATGAATTTTACTCTGCTCCTATCAAGTCCTCTTTCATAAGATGCCCCTTACCCATAGAGAGACGGATTGAGACATAGGTACATTTTATTCTGGACTTGGACTAAAGTTGTAGGTCATCATTCTCCATCGACACTGCTGCTCATCTCCTTTCCTATGAATTATGGGTGTGTGAGTTCTTAATGAGAGACTGGCATCAACATGCCACACCATGGCAGCTACAGTAGAGATGTGTCCTTGTAAGGAGCCCAGAGCACCAGAAGACAACTTCTCTGTATTGACACATAATACGGGAATGAATGGTTCAGCATATGCATTAAGGCACACAAACTGTAGTCACAAACTTTGGTAGGCCTACACTGAAATGGTTAATGTTTTTACTCTAGACTATAGTATTGATATACTATAGATACATTTTCTTATTGTGAAAGTGCATGAATGTGTAATGTGGTGCAACGATGTTACTTACTATCAAAAAGTTCACTTTAATACCTGCTATTTTGATAATTGATGTACCAGTACTTTTTATATTTGAGATCTTGAAAATCTAGGCCTTCTATAAATAAATCAAAGGAATATGAGACACAGGAGACATTTCCTGTAAAGTATGTGATTCATTAATGTTTGTTAAAGATGGATCATAGAAATACATTCTATCCTTATTTTCTTAAGTTTCATCATGATTTTATGAGAATTACATTAGGCAATAACATGAATGAAACTTAAGCTGATCAGTCGCAGACCTCAAAAGTCAGTCATTTTTGTAAACGTAGGTATTAGAGAACTCTGTTTTGTTTTGGAAAAACAGTTAAACCTTAGAATGCTGCTCGAGAATGACAGTCACAGGGATTGAGTGTCTCCTTGCCTGTTCTGTCCGATGTTGACAGAAGAAATTAGCTTTTTCACATGTTAAACAAGCTGCTCTGTATAGCGTGGGCAGGTGCTTCTCTGGAGTACAGTTAAGTAATAAACTGTCGCCATTCCACTTATGTAAAAAAAAAAAAATGAGTAGGCATAACCTACCAAAGTGTTATGGTGATGATGATGAAGAAAATGATGAAGATGTTGTTTATTTATTATTACAGCTGCTTTCCCAATCAAAAACCCTGTATTAACACTGAGGTTGGCGCTAAACTAAAGGACAGGGCTACGCACACAGGGCTATCGCAGACAACCCTGAGGCTACGGCTGAGGACAGGAACAAGTACAAGAAGTCCCAGTATGACCTCCGCAGTCATCAAACGAGCAAAAGGACAATATAGGAATAAGGTGGAATCATATTACACAGGCTCAAATGAAATTGTATTAGTCTCTGAAATTGTATCTGCTAAATATACAGTGGGGAAAAAAAGTATTTAGTCAGCCACCAATTGTGCAAGTTCTCCCACTTAAAAAGATGAGAGAGGCCTGTAATTTTCATCATAGGTACACGTCAACTATGACAGACAAATTGAGAAAAAAAATTCCAGAAAATCACATTGTAGGATTTTTAATAAATTTATTTGCAAATTATGGTGGAAAATAAGTATTTGGTCACCTACAAACAAGCAAGATTTCTGTCTCTCACAGACCTGTAACTTCTTCTTTAAGAGGCTCCTCTGTCCTCCACTCGTTACCTGTATTAATGGCACCTGTTTGAACTTGTTATCAGTATAAAAGACACCTGTCCACAACCTCAAACAGTCACACTCCAAACTCCACTATGGCCAAGACCAAAGAGCTGTCAAAGGACACCAGAAACAAAATTGTAGACCTGCACCAGGCTGGGAAGACTGCAATAGGTAAGCAGCTTGGTTTGAAGAAATCAACTGTGGGAGCAATTATTAGGAAATGGAAGACATACAAGACCACTGATAATCTCCCTCGATCTGGGGCTCCACGCAAGATCTCACCCCGTGGGGTCAAAATGATCACAAGAACGGTGAGCAAAAATCCCAGAACCACACGGGGGGACCTAGTGAATGACCTGCAGAGAGCTGGGACCAAAGTAACAAAGCCTACCATCAGTAACACACTACGCCGCCAGGGACTCAAATCCTGCAGTGCCAGACGTGTCCCCCTGCTTAAGCCAGTACATGTCCAGGCCCGTCTGAAGTTTGCTAGAGTGCATTTGGATGATCCAGAAGAGGATTGGGAGAATGTCATATGGTCAGATGAAACCAAAATATAACTTTTTGGTAAAAACTCAACTCGTCGTGTTTGGAGGACAAAGAATGCTGAGTTGCTTCCAAAGAACACCATACCTACTGTGAAGCATGGGGGTGGAAACATCATGCTTTGGGGCTGTTTTTCTGCAAAGGGACCAGGACGACTGATCCGTGTAAAGGAAAGAATGAATGGGGCCATGTATCGTGAGATTTTGAGTGAAAACCTCCTTCCATCAGCAAGGGCATTGAAGATGAAACGTGGCTGGGTCTTTCAGCATGACAATGATCCCAAACACACCGCCCGGGCAATGAAGGAGTGGCTTCGTAAGAAGCATTTCAAGGTCCTGGAGTGGCCTAGCCAGTCTCCAGATCTCAACCCCATAGAAAATCTTTGGAGGGAGTTGAAAGTCCGTGTTGCCCAGCGACAGCCCCAAAACATCACTGCTCTAGAGGAGATCTGCATGGAGGAATGGGCCAAAATACCTGCAACAGTGTGTGAAAACCTTGTGAAGACTTACAGAAAACGTTTGACCTGTGTCATTGCCAACAAAGGGTATATAACAAAGTATTGAGAAACTTTTGTTATTGACCAAATACTTATTTTCAACCATAATTTGCAAATAAATTCATTAAAAATCCTACAATGTGATTTTCTGGATTTTTTCTCCTCATTTTGTCTGTCATAGTTGACGTGGACCTATGATGAATATTACAGGCCTCTCTCATCTTTTTAAGTGGGAGAACTTGCACAATTGGTGGCTGACTAAATACTTTTTTCCCCCACTGTATTACACATATTTAGCAGATGTTATTGCGGGTGTTGCAAAATACTTGTGTTCCTAGCTCCAACAGTGTAGTAATATTTAACAATACACAACAATACACACAAATCTAAAAAGTAAAAGAATGGAATGAAGAAATATAGAAATATTAGGAGGAGTAATGTCGGAGTCCGGAGTATAAAAAGCCTATATATATAAACTACCAGTCAAAAGTTTGGACACACCTACTCATTCAAGGGTTTTTCTTTATTTTTTACATTGTAGAATAATGGTGAAGACATCAAAACTATGAAATAGCACATATAGAATCATGTAGTAACCAAAAAAAAGTGTTAAACAAATCAAAATATATTTTATATTTGAGATTCTTCAAATACCCACCCTTTGCCTTGATGACAGCTTTGCACACGCTTGGCATTCTCTCAACCAGCTTCATGAGGTAGTCACCTGGAATGCATTTCATTTAACAGGTGTGCCTTCTTAAAAGTTAATTTGTGGAATTTCTTTCCTTCTAAATGCATTTGAGCCAATCAGTTGTGTTGTGACAAGATGGGGGGGGGGGGGGGGGGGGGGGGTGAAACTGGCTCTCATGAGGACCGCCACAGGAAAGGAAGACCCAGAGTTACCTCTGCTGCAGAGGATAAGTTCTTTAGCGTTACCAGCCTCAGAAATGCAGCCCAAATAAATGCTTCACAGAGTTCAAGTAACAGACACATCTCAACATCAACTGTTCAGAGGGGACTGTGTGAATCAGGCCTTCATGATCGAATTGCTGCAATGAAACCACTACTAAAGGACACCAATAAGAAGAAAATACCTGCTTGGGCCAAGAAACACGAGCAATGGACATTAGACCGGTGGAAATTTGTCCTTTGGTCTGGAGTCCAAATTGGAGATTTTTGGTGTCTTTGTGAGACGCGGTGTGGGTGAACAGATTATCTCCGCATGTGTATTTCCCACCGTAAAACATGGAGGAGGAGGTGTTATGGTGTGGGGGTGCTTTGCTGGTGACACTGTCTGTGATTGATTTAGAATTCAAGGCACACTTAACCAGCATGGCTACCACAGCATTCTGCAGTGATACGCCATCCCATCTGGTTTGGGCTTAGTGGGACTATCATTTGTTTTTCAACAGGACAATGACCCAACACACCTCCAGGCTGTGTGAGCGCTATTTTACCAAGAAGGAGAGTGATGGAGTGCTGCATCAGATGACCTGGCCTCCCAATCCCCCGACCTCAACCCAATTGAGATGGTTTGGATTGAGTCGGACGGCAGAGTGAAGGAAAAGCAGCCAACAAGTGCTCAACATATGTGGGAACTCATTCAAGACTGTTGGAAAAGCATTCCAGGTGAAGCTGGTTGAGAGAATGCCAAGAGTGTGCAAAGCTGTCATAAAGGCAAAGGGTGGCTATTTGAAGAATGACAAATATAAAATATGTTTTGATTTGTTTAATACTTTTTTGGTTACTACATGATTCCATATGTGTTATTTCGTAGTTTGGATGTCTTCACTATTATTATACAATACAATTATTGCATAATTAGTATACAATTATACAATTATACAGTGTCCAAACGTTTGACTGGTACTGTATATATATATATATATATATACATACAGTGCATTCGGAAAGTATTCAGACCCCTTGACTTTTTCCATATTTTATTACAGTACAGCCATATTCTAAAATGGATTTTTTTTAAACAATTCCTCATCAATCTACACACAATACCCCATAATGACAACGCAAAAACAGGTTTTTAGACATTCTTCAGTAAAAGGCACATGACAGCCCGCTTGAAGTTTGCCAAAAGGCACCTAAAGGACTCTCAGACCATGAGAAACAAGATTCTCTGGTCTGATGAAACCAAGATTGAACTCTTTGGCCTGAATGCCAAGCATCACGTCTGGAGGAAACCTGGCTGTCACGACTTCCGCCGAGGCTGCCTCCCCTCTTTGTTCGGGCAGGCTTCGGCGTTCGTCGTCACCGGCTTACTAGCCACTGCCGCTCCATATTTCATCATTCCATTTGTCTTGTCTTGTCAATTACACACACCTGGTTCATATCCCCTCATTAGTCTGTGTATAAGTGTTCCCTCTGCCCCCTTGTCCTTGTGGGTGATTATTATTTGTGAGAGTAGTGTAGCTCGGTGGAGCTACTCTCCCCTTTGTATTGCCGGAGTAGATATTTCCCCTGTGCCTGTATATTGTTGGAGTATCCCATACCGTGTATTGCCAGGGTAGATGGTTTCCCCTGTGTCTGTTTTCGTGTGTCGCTATCCAGCGCATTTGTGTACGACGGAATAAACTCTGTATTCTGTGATTTACCCTCCTGCGCCTGACTCCTTCTATCACACTCAACACACTGGCACCATCCCTACTGTGAAGCATGGTGGTGGCAGCATCATGCTGTGGGGATGTTTTTCAGCGGCAGGGACTGGGAGACTAGTCAGGATCGAGGGAAAGATAAACGAAGCAAAGTACAGAGAGATCCTTGATGAAAACCTGCTCCAGAGCGCTCAGGACCTCAGACTGAGGCGAAGGTTCACCTTCCAGCAGGACAACGACCGTAAGCACACAGCAAAGACAACGCAGGATTGGCTTCGGGACAAGTCTCTAAATGTCCTTGAGTGGCCCAGCCAGAGCCCGGACTTGAACCCGATTGAACATCTCTGGAGAGACCTGAAAATAGCTGTGCAGCGACGCTCCCCATCCAACCTGAAAGAGCAGATCTGCAGAGAAGAATGGGAGAAACTCCCCAAATACAGGTGTGCTAAGCTTGTAGTGTCATACCCAAGAAGACTCAAGGCTGTAATCGCTGCCAATGGTGCTTCAACAAAGTACTGAGTAAAAGGTCTGAATATTTCAGTAAATGTGATATTTCCGTTTTTTTTTTATTGATAAATTTATCAAACATTTCTAAAAACTTGTTTTTGCTTTGTCATTATGGGGTATTGTGTGTAGATTGATGAGGATTTTAATTTTTTTTACATCCATTTTAGAATAACAAATAATAGCAAAATGTAGAAAAAGTCAAGGGGTCTGAATACTTTTCGAATGCACTATATATTCACAGTAATGTTCAACCTCTCCTTGTCCCAGTCTGTAATCCCCACATGTTTTAAGATGACCACCATCATTCCTGTCCCCAAGAACTCTAAGGCTTCATGCCACAATGACTACCGCCCTGTAGCACTCATATCTGTAATCATGATATGTAGAACACATCAAATCCATCATCCCAGACACCTTCCTAGACCCACTCCAATTTGCATCCCGCCCCAACAGATCCATAGACAACGCAATCTCAATTAAGAGGAATAGCTATGTGAGAATGCTGTTCATGACTACAGATCAGTGTTCAACACTATTGTCCCCTCCAAGCTATTCACCAAGCTAAGGACCCTGGGACTGAACACCTCCCTCTGCAACTGGATCCTGGACTTCCTGATGGGCCGACCATAGGTGGTGAGGGTAAGCAACATCACCTCCGCCACGCTGACCCTCAACACGGGGGTGTGTGCTTAGTCCCCTCCTGTACTCCCTGTTCACCCACGACTGCGTGGCCACGCACGACTCCAACTCCATCATCAAGTTTGCTGACGACACGACAGTGGTAGGCCTGATCACCTGCGACGATAAGACAGCCTACACACTATTTCTTTTTTGCACTGTCTATATGCACACTCACAGGGCCCTACACACTACGCACGCTGATACTCCAACACAGATACAAACACTCATCCCATCATTTGCTCACACACATATAATATCCACATACATTTATACTCTACACACACCCACTCACATACAATCTTCATATACGCTTCTGCTACTCAGTTTATCATATATCCTGATGCCTAGTCACCTTACCCCGAAACATATCTACCTCCATCACTCCAGTATCCCTGCACATTGTATATATGGTATTGGAACTGACCCTGTATATAGTATGTTGAATTACTTTATCCTGTTCTTCTTCTTCTTATTTTTATATCTCATGTTTTTTTGTTCTACCTTGTTATTGTTAGTACTACATTGTTATTGATTCCTGCATTGTTGGGGTTAAAGCTAGCAAGAAAGGCATTTCACTGTACTTGTGCATGTGACATAAAAAATACAAACTTAAAACTGTGAGGCAATGAAGTGGCATTTCACTATTATGGAAGTCTCTAGAATTAGCATGTATAAAATATAAAATATTTTTTTCATATATAATCTGAAATTGTTTGTGTTACGCAGAATTTATGTATGTATCTATTACATGCAGTGGCGATTTTAGCATGTAAATCTCTTGGTGGGGCAAACAAACAAAATATGTTGGGGATGCATGCCAGCAAAGCCACTACACAGCACAACACTAAACAATACATTAATTGTACTGTAACGGTGACAAACTGCCCACAAACTGTTAGGGCCTACATAAAGCTGTCTCAACAGCAGAGTCCCAATTGCAGTCCCAACACCTTACCACTGCTACACCTGGCTATCAGCGGAGCCTTGTCTGGCAGCGAAACAGTTAATTCAGCCTCATTTACTGCCTTTTAAATAAACATAGCTGATATGGCTGACTTGCTTAAACAAATGTGGTTTCTACTGACAATTAAGATGTACAAACTATGGCATAAGGGGACGACAAGCAGATAAGAGGAAATCCGTAATTTCGATTAAGACATTAATGAGCGAGCTAAGACGGACATAGTCAATATAACTATTTGTTTAGCACTTTTGCAATGTACAGCGACAGAATTCAGAACATGGGCTGTTCTTACAGTGTTCTCCCTGTACACCAAGTCAGAACCGTAGGATAAATAAATGGGGCATATAAGCAGACAATGAAAGCTCTTACAATATTTGATGATTACATTTCTCTAAAACAGGTTATAGGCTATATGTGCACCACCAAGTCAGAACAGTAGGCGAAATTAAGAGGGGAAAATAGACCAAATTATTAGGGTGAGGCACATGGGCTACTAACAGCTTACTACACAACATACACTTAGCATTACTTTCTTAGCTACAGTATACATATCTCCCTGGCATTTTACATCATTTATACAGTAGCGTACAATATATTTTTGGACTCACCTTGTTGTGCTGTGCTCACTTCAATAGGAAGGTGGCGCGGCAGTCCTTCGTGGGCAAATTTTCTCTTCAAACTTTGTAATCAAAGTCTGGCATTCTCTGGATTGATGGTGCTTTCAAGACAACTGGGAAATCTGAACAAAACTAGGTTGAATCCTGATGACGTCAGTGATCTTCAGGTCGTAGCTCTAGAAAGAGACCAGAGTTCCCGACTTACAATTCCGAGTTGGATGACCATTCAAAACATATTTTCCTAGTTAGAGCTTGTTTTTTCCCGAGTTCCCAGTTGTCTTGAACTCATTGAAATCAGATTTCCCAGTTCCGGGCTGGATTGACAGCATGGCCAATGTTGAATGTTTATCATTTTAAATTTGGAAAAGAGACCCTTAAACCCAGAATTGGGACCACAAACCCACTCCACTGAATAGCAGGCTAGTGATTGCTTTGTAATGCTTGCAGATAGCCACTGATTCCTTCCAAACCACTCATTGTTGAATTTGCCATTTCCAACTTGTTGTGTAATGTTTATGTCCAATGGCCGATGAGCACCGACACGTTTTATCTATAATTTCTCTTCATATGACAAGGATTAAAAAGGATTTGCCAGTAGATTGTCGACTTGATTCATGATGATGACTGCTAGCTAAGATTTTGAAAGTATGATGTTGACATGATCAGTCCAATTAAAGCTACTGTAGATATAACGTGATTTGACGTCATTTTATCTGTGGCCAATGCCCTTGAGCCTTCTTGGACGGGCACTTCTCATGTAACTCTATGGCAGCACCCAAGGGGCTTGCATTTTTCGAGCTCTACTTTTAGATTTGGCAGTAACGTGGTGTCCCCATGAGTGACAGAACACTGTGCCAATCACGGCGCAACTAGAGAACATTACCGACCCCTAAGTTCCGTATTTTCCGCTGGCTGTCCCACCACCACAGAAAGCACTGCGCTAGGCTGAAACACCTGCATTTTGGAGCTGCCTTACTCAAGAAAGCAAAAAAGAGATAATGTTGTATGCGGCTGTATTTATGATTCATCACTCCAGAGAACGCGTTTCCACTGCTCCAGAGTCTTTACACCACTCCAGCCGACGCTTGGCATTGGGCATGGTGATCTTAGGCTTGTGTGCGGCTACTCTGCCATGGAAACCCATTTCATGAAGCTCCTGACCAACAGTTCTTGTGCTGACCTTGCTTCCAGAGACAGTTTGGAACTCTGTGGTGAGTGTTGCAACCGAGGACAGAAGATTTTTACACACTACTTGCTTCAGCACTCGGCAGTCTGGTTCTGTGAGTTTGTGTGGCGCAGCATAGCCGTTGTTGCTCCTAGATGTTTCCACTTCACTATAACAGCACTTACAGTTACCGGGGCAGCGCAGAAATTAAACGAACTGACTTGTTGGAAAGATGCTATCCTATGATGGTGCCACGTTGAAAGTCACAGAGCTCTTCAGTAAGGCCATTCTACTGCCAATGTTTATATTTTGAGATTGCATGGCTGTGTACTACATTTTATACACCTGTCAGCAAGGGGTGTGGCTGAAATAGCCGAATCCACTAATTGAAGGGGTGTCCACATACTTTTGTATATATAGTGTATAATCACTCATAGGTAGGCTAAATGCACCTGACAGCATTCCTAATTTGCATAAATGTCATTGGGACGTCCAACTCTGACGTCACCCCATTGAAGTTGACAGTTAAAACGGTTAAAAAAAACTGTTAAATGTAAAGGTAAGGGTTAAGGTTAGGGTTTAGGTTAGGGACTTCCCAAGGATCATATATAGCCCTAACCTTTGCATAAATCGTCCGTCAAAGGAACGAGGGTTGTGCGCATGATCCAATACAGCGGATTGATACTGGTTGCTTGACAACGCGCTCGCCAATGACGGTGGTGTTTGTTTTGAAGCTAAAAAGAGGTGGACTTAAAAAAATCAACCTTTGCCAATGTGGGCTAGTTTGGTATTCACTGTCAAGAACTACTTAGTTAGCTAACTATAGCTAGATAGAGACGCATTTCACATTGTAGCCTTCTTGAATTGGCATCGAGTTGGTTTGGCAGGCAGGCTAATCCAATATAATCCATCACTCCACGTCGGACCCAAAATCAAGTGAGTATCCACACTAAATTAACGCCGGCATTCAGCAATGACATGTCATAGCTAGCTAGCTAACTTTGTTAGCTACAAAAATATTTTGCATCGTTTCATCAAAACCTAGCTAGCTACTAGTACTCCAGCAGCTAGCTAACGATACTGATACTGTAGTAGCTTTCTACATGGCTAGCAAGCTAGTTAACTAACTTTAGCTAACTCTAACTTAATTTTCTAGCTAGCTAACGTTATCTCGCGAAGTGTTTACGTTTTCAACTGAGCACCTGTTTGTTTACTGATCTCACTTGCAGCATCGCAATAAGATGATAAAAAAATATCGTTTGGTGTGTTGATAGTAACGTTAGGCTATAACTGTATATTCACCCAATGTCTGATAATGTCAACGCTAAAATGTTTGCTTCTTGTCAGTTGCCTGCTCTTATTGAATTCAGATTGCTTTTTGGACATAACATCGGGACATAACTGTCTCTTATCTGCACTCACTCCCATTTAACTTTGCCCTATGTCACACTTTAACCAAAACAAGGGAGTTACAGAGCCACATCCACTCACTGTGCCTCCATCTGAATTTAGCTTTGGGACACAACCAATAATTTTGGACACAACATTGGGAGTCTGTGTATTAGGGAGTCCAACCAACACAGACTCCCAATGTTGTGTCCAAAATTATTGGTTGTGTCCCAAAGCTAAATTCAGATGGAGGCACAGTGAGTGGATGTGGCTCTGTAACTCCCTTGTTTTGGTTAAAGTGTGACATAGGGCAAAGTTAAATGGGAGTGAGTGCAGATAAGAGACAGCTATGCAGCCTGGGTAAATGGATAAGGACGCCACATAGCTACTACCACTGTGGCTCGATTTACCTTCTACTCAGGTGCTATCACATGCAGTAGCAGTGCGTGGTTAAAATCACTGAGGAAGCCAAGCCAGTAAAAAAGCCATATTACACCCTATGTTGTGATAATTGCGTTGTTTGCTCCCATTCGTTCATACACCACCGTGATCAAATCAAATGTATTGGTCACATACACATGGTTAGCAGATGTTATTGCGAGTGTAGCGAAATGCTTGTGCTTCTAGTTCCTACAGTGCAGCAATATCTAGCAAGTCATATCTAACAGGTTCTACAACAAAAACCTAATACACACAAATCTAAGTAAAGGAATGGAATAAGAATATATAAATGTATGGATGAGCAATGTCATTATCATTATCAGAGTGGCATAGATAGTTTGATGCAATAGATAGAATACAGTATATACATATGAGATGGGTAATGCAAGATATGTAAACATTAAAGTGGCATTATTAAAGTGACTAGTGTTCCATTTATTAAAGTGGCCAGTGATTTTCTAGTCTGTATGTAGGCAGCAGCCTCTCTGTGCTAGTGATGGCTGTTTAACAGTCTGATGGCCTTGAAATAGAAGCTGTTTTTCAGTCTCTCGGTCCCAGCTTTAATGCACCTGTACTGTCCTCGCCTTCTGGATGATAGCGGGGTGACAGGCAGTGGCTCGGGTGGTAGTTGTCCTTGATTATCTTTTTGGCCTTCCTGTGACATCGGGTGCTGTAGGTGTCCTGGGGGGCAGGTAGTTTGCCCCTGGTGATGCGTTGTGCAGACCGCACCACCCTCTGGAGAGCCCTGTGGTTGTGGGCGGTGCAGTTGCCGTACCAGGCGGTGATACAGCCCGACAGGATGCTCTCAATTGTGCATCTGTAAAAGTTTGTGAGGGTTTTAGGTGACAGGCCAAATTTCTTCAGCCTCCTGAGGTTGAAGAGACACTTGTGCCTTCTTCACAACACTGTCTGTGTGGGTGGACCATTTCAGTTTGTCAGTGATATGTACGCAGAGGAACTTAAAACTTTCCACCTTCTCCACTGCTGTCCCGTCAATTTGGATAGGGGGGTACTCCCTCTGCTGTTTCCTGAAGTCCACGATCATCTCCTTAGTTTTTTTGACGTTGAGTGAGAGGTTATTTTCCTGACACCACACTCCGAGAGCCCTCACCTCCTCCCTGTAGGCTGTCTCATCATTGTTGGTAATCAAGCCTACTACTGTTGTGTCGTCTGCAAACTTGATGATTGAGTTGGAGGCGTGCATGGCTACGCAGTCATGGGTGAACAGGGAGTACAGGAGGGGGCTGAGCACCCACCCTTGTGGGGCCCCAGTGTTGAGGATCAGCGAAGTGAAGATGTTTCCTACCTTCACCACCTGGGGTGGCCCGTCAGGAAGTCCAGGACCCAATTGCACAGGGTGGGGTTGAGACCCAGGGCCTCAAGCTTGATGATGAGCTTGGAGGGTACTATGGTGTTGAATGCTGAGCTATAGGCCTAGTCAATGAACAGCATTCTTACATAGGTATTCCTTTTGTCCAGATGGGATAGGGCAGTGTGATGGCGATTGTATCGTCTGTGGACCTATTGGGGCGATATGCAAATTGAAGAGGGTCTAGGGTGACAGTTAAGGTGGAGGTGATATGATCTTTGACTAGTCTCTCAAAGCACTTCATGATGACAGAAGTGAGTGCTACGGGGCGATAGTCATTTAGTTCAGTTACCTTTGCATTATTGGGTACAGGAACAATGGTGGCCATCTTGAAACATGTGGCCAGCTGGTCTGCGCATGCTCTGAGGACGCGGCTAGGAATGCCGCCTGGGCCGGCAGCCTTGCGAGGGTTAACACGTTTAAATGTCTTACTCACGTTGACCACGGAGAAGGAGAGCCTATAGTCCTTGGTAGCTGGCCGCGGCGGTGGCACTGTGTTATCCTCAAAGCGGGCAAAGAAGGTTTGCTGCACCCGGACAACCCACAGTTGAGCTCAGCTCAACGCTGATTGGCTAATTATTTTATTTAAAAAATGTAACAAGGGAGGCCAAATGCTTGCTGGCATCAATCAATCAAATGCTACGGCGGCAACATGTTATTCTCTTTTGGTCCAGACAGCATCAGATACATGGGCTACACATACTGAGACAGAGGGGCGCTGTTTCCCTCGCGCGGTTGATTTCTCCAGTGAGATTCAGCCACTTGCGAATTGACGGAAAATTCTGAAAACGCAGAGAGAGACGAAAGATACATTATTTTATAATTTACACATTTTTATTGGTCAAATATTTGGGAAAGCCTGGCTTCCCTTGGCATCCATGAATACATGCCACTGATCACGTGTTGCCCAAGACTATCAAGACAGTCGGGTCTACTATACTTAAGTCTACAATGGAATGCACACCATGTTTAAACAGAGCACAAGAACTGCCCCAGGGGCCTATTTAAAGCGGAGTTGCGAGAGTGTAGAATGTGGTTCAGCTTGTTGCACCAGGAAAATCTTAGCATCATATTATAGAGTCAAAGGGATCTGACCAATGGAAGGATCATACTGAGGAGGCCCTCTTGAATAATGTGTCTGCAGTTGCGTCTATTGTTAAAGCTATTTTTCTCAAACTATCTTAGCATTTTGAATTCAGTGACATTGTTAAACCTTGCACACACCACACAATGGCACTCCTGTGTGTGTGTGTGTGTGTCTAAAAGCCTCCCTCTGGCATACAGTCACACACATTAGCCCAGTTGAAGTTAACATGCAAACCCTCTTTACTCAAGCTCAAAGTATAATTCTACTACAGTCCAGTGTAACAGCCAAGGCCTGAAAGCCCTACCCCACCCACCCCCAACCCGTCCCATGCTGGCACGTCACATGGATGATGTTTAATCCCGCATGGTGTTGAAGAATTGACCCAGATTATCCTGCATTAGACTCTTATGTCATTGGCTTGCTGCTTGATGCTCTATTTTAGGATTGTGTTCCAGTGAGAGGAGCCTCCGGTTGGTCTGTCTCACGGATGATCCCTACTGTCCTGACGCTGTGTTGGCATGGAAGACTGGTGGACTACAGCAACTATAGAGCCATCAATAGGTAAGTTAATTCAAATGGGGTCTCTGATGGGGAATTGTTTGTTTGATTTTATGGGATGTATCTTTGTGCCCTAATTTTAGAACAACATTTTAAGCCTCTTAGGCAGCCTGTTTGCGTCAACTCCTAATGTATCAATTGGTTGTTATCTCCATTTCCCTACTGTGTTTAGAAAACCATGAGATCTCCGGCATAGCAAGACTGATGATGTCCCCCTCGAGGCATCATAAAAACCTTCCTACAATGCACTCCTCCACAATGCCACTGTCTAAGAGTTCCTACAATGTGTTAAGTGCCTTCTGCACTGAGGACAATGTTCCCCAGTGTATCTCTTACATCAATCAGGTACTGCACCATTGAAATGGCTATTATATAGGCTACATTTAGAAAATCAATACTTTCCCAATACTCTGTGAAAGTAGCATTGTGTAATGTGCTGCTTGCTTGTTTATATAGCCAGGTATCACTATTCTTTTTCACTACTTGATTTGAGGTTTTGTGTATCTGAAGCTTCTTCATTTATCTCATGTAGTATGCACTGAATCCTCTAAGCACTAACCTATTTGTCTGCTCTCTTTTTTGGGCCTTGTACAGGAGATGGACTCTCTGGGGTTCTCCTCAGCCTGTATTGAGGCCAGCTCACCAGAGGGAAGCGGGGGGCTGAACACGGTGCCAGCTCTGAACGGCATGTATGAGCTGCTCCAGATGCAGCGCCGCAGCCAACGCAGCCTGCAGGAGCAGGAGACGGAGAGTCTGAAGATCTCCAGCGCCCTGGAACACCTGCAGATCACCAACTCCAGACTCAAGGTCAGGCAGTCTTTCCCATAGATCGTTTTCCAGACAGGGTGTATGTTGTCAATAGAACACTAGCATGGGGAGCTAGGTTGGGGCGCCTATAGAATGATAGGAGAAACACTGAGACGGGGGGTTACCGCAACAACACTGCCAGTCATGTTTCCGATGTACAGTACAGTGACCTTGGGTGAAAGGTGCTTGCTTACTGCTTATAGTAGAACTTGTTATGGTCTTGTCTTAGTCAAGGTGAGCCCATTCACATACACTAGGCTATATAATGTCAGGTACATTTGTTTGTTCCCAGGATCAGCTGGAGCTCTCTAAAAGAGAGAAGTCGGGACTGCACGAGGCAGAGAGGCAGCTGCAACTCAAAATCAAGACTCTGCAGAACTGCCTGAAAACCGAAAAAGATGAGGTAAAAACGTTGTAATAAAATTGTTAATCATTGTACTGTATATTTAATGATGTGCTTATGTAACTGCAAGCATCCATGGGAAATGTAGTTTGTGTGTGAGCCTGTAAAATCATGTCTGACAACCCTAATCAGGGTCGTGTTCAGTAGGGCACACCGTAGCAAAGCATTATGCAATGGAAAAATAATGTGTTCATGTTGGACAAGTTCAGGTAGTACCTCCCTGTTTCAAAATGTTTTCTCCCTACTGAACACACCCCAGGTGCAGAAGCTCCAGAGCATCATCGCCAGCAGAGCCTCTCAGTACAACCATGACACCAAGAGGAAGGAGAGGGAGAGCACCAAGCTCAAAGAACGCCTCAACCAGCTACTGGTGGACAAGAGGGATAAGAAACTAGGTAGGGGTGCTGGAGCATGGTCTCAAGACATAGTTTCCTCCTTATTCCAAAGGTTGTTGGAAATGTGAAAATCTTTGCAACCAAGTATCCTTTATTTTTATTTTTATGATAATGTAGGTCTTTATAACAAGTCCCTCATTTTCCTTTATCTCTACTAGCGATTGATGTATTGAACTACTTGGGACGGGCTGATGGAAAGAGAAGCCAATGGAAGACTGGAAAGGTGGAGGCCAGGTAGCAACACTCATCTATCTGAACCATGTCTGTTTTAAGTGCATTCAACTCTTAATGCAACAAATCCTACATAGCTTTGCAGAAGCCACTTTGATGGGTGTGTGTTTATTTGCCATTACTGTAGACATGAGGGGGAGATGTACAAGTCCCTGCTGAGTGACTATGAGGGTCGTCAGAGAGCCCTGATGCTGGAGAACGCTGAGCTGAAGAAGGTGCTGCAGCAGATGAAGAGGGAGATGGTGTCCATTCTGAGTCCTAGTCCTAGGAAACCCTGCTCCAGCTCCAGAGGAGACCGTGTGGAAGACAGCCTAGAACAGGTACAAACAATATCTGAGTACCAGTAGTCCCCTAGGTTTTTATTTGGGTTTTTTATGTGACAATACAGTGAGCGCCAAAAGTATTGGGACAGAGATACATTTAAATAAGAATAGAATATGTTTCTAAACACTTCTACATTCATGTGGATGTTACCATGATTACGGATAGTCCTGAATTAATTGTGGATAATGATTGAGAAAGTAATGAGTGAGAAAGTTAGACACATAAATATCATATCCGTAATCATGGTAGCATCCATATGAATGTAGAAGTGTTTAGAAACATATTCTATTCTTATTTACAAAATGACACAACATTATTTACCATTAATTTCTATTAGGCACAAAATAATCTGAAACAAACAGCAAATGCATCCAAGAAGTTTGTGGAGTGACAGTCTTGATGTAATCATTGCGTGCTAGGAATATGTGACCAAATACTAAACCTTTGACTACTTTAAAACACATAAGTGATTTGTCCCAATGTTTTGGTCCCCTAAAATGGGGGGAGGGAGACTATGTACAACATTTTTTGTAATTTCTAAACGGTTCACCCGATATGGATGGAAAAAATAACCTCTCACTCACTGTTTGCACATTTCAAACTCAAAGTGCTGGAGTACAGAGCCAAAACAACAAAATATGTATCACTGTCCCAATACCTTTGGAGCTCACTGTAGATGGATAACCTAATTTATTTTGATAATACTCTTACAAATGTAAATCTTGAATTGCATCTTCAGTTATGTAGTGCCTATCCCAAGCTCTCTAAGCACTTTACATTATGGATGGGAGTGACATCTGGCTAACATTGTGAAGAGAAGAAGAAGTGATAATTGTTTTGCCTTCAGGCCGGCTCAGACAGGGATAAGGAAGTTGGCGACTGCAGTAGAGAGACCCTGGACCAGTCATGTGACCACGCCAGGGAACAATCCTGTGAGCACGCCCGGGAGCAGCTGACCAATAGCATCCGGCAGCAATGGAGGAGACTGAAGAGCCACATGGAGAGACTGGACAGCCAGGGTACAGACATCATCACATCACCCATATTATCATAGAAGTTGACAATAAATCTGTAACTCAGTAGTTATCACTGGTTTTCTCTGGGCATTAACTGGTGTTACATGTAGGTACTGTAAATTACCAAATCAATGTATGGCTGACTGCCATAAAATTACTACCAGTACTGCTGCATTTTAAACTATTCTGCTGCCAAAAAATTATATATTTTCTCACAGGGAGCTTTCTTCACCATTGATCATAATGTGTTGTATCATCAGCCTTACTGGTGCAGCAGAGCCAGCAGCGTGCTGGTAAAGAGCTGGTCCCTAGACAGATCCATGAGGAGGAGATGGAGAGGATGAGACTGGAGGTCCAGCAGTGTAAAGACTTCATCCAGACCCAGCAGCAGCTCCTACAGGTTAGTTAAACCCACAACGCAACACAAGGCTCTCTTTTCAAACCGAGCTACAAATATCTACAGTACATCTGTTTTTATTGCCTTGAATTTGAGCCTTACTAATCTTGTTCCCAGACACTTCTGACCAAATGTGTGAAGAGTCTGGTGGACCAACGCGTCGAACTTGGCCTTCGTTAGCCAGTACAGAAAGACCGGGAGAATGTCCTGGTGCATAGGCATTGGCTTAATCTACCAACCAATCATCTCCCACAAACACCTTCACACTAACCCTCCCCCGTACACTAGCACACCACAAGCACAGAGCCACGCCTCGCAGTCGTGTGATTCGCTAAAATTAAATGATGACAAGTACTTTACTCAGTAAGGTCACTTCCATGGAATTCAATGGTCACTCCCTCTAAGGCCAACTGTGAACCATTGATGTACCAGGGGTGTAGTCATTAGTCCAAACAGTCTTGTAACTAAAACGAGAGTTAGTATTGGACAAATTCAGGTAGGTCCCTCTCCATTTCATTAGCTTCCGTTTTAAGAAACGTTTTACAACAGAATTGGTGTAATGAATATGCCCAAGGCTTATATGTGCTGTGCGCAATAGCCTGGGATGAGGTTAGTCTAATAGACCCTTACAGGAGTTATTCAGTCAAATGTTATGTCTGTTTCCTCTTCCTCGTGTGTGTCCACGTTTGTCTGTGTGTGTGCAGCAGCAGTTCAACTCTCCCTGCTATGATGATGAGACTGCTGCTCTTCTGAATGACTGCTACACTCTGGAGGAGAAGGAGCGTCTCAAAGAGGAGTGGAGGCTCTTTGACGAGCAGAGGAGGAACTTTGAGAGGGAGAGAAAGAACTTCACTAAAGCTGCCATTCGCCTTGGACATGAGGTATCCATTTTATTTTTGGGAAGTTCTCAAGATGGAAGAATTACACTGCTCAAAAATATTAAGGGAACACTAAAATAACACATCCTAGATCTGAATGAATGAAATAATCTTATTAAATACTTTTTTCTTTACATAGTTGAATGTGCTGACAACAAAATCACACAAATTATCAAATCGAATTTATCAACCCATGGAGGTCTGGATTTGGAGTCACCCTCAAAATTAAAGTGGAAAACCACACTACAGGCTGATCCAACTTTGATGTAATGTCCTTAAAACAAGTCAAAATGAGGCTCAGTAGTGTGTGTGTGGCCTCCACGTGCCTGTATGACCTCCCTACAACGCCTGGGCATGCTCCTGATGAGGTGGTCTCCTGAGGGATCTCCTCCCAGACCTGGACTAAAGCATCCGCCAACTCCTGGACAGTCTGTGGTGCAACGTGGCGTTGGTGGATGGAGCGAGACATGATGTCCCAGATGTGCTCAATTGGATTCAGGTCTGGGGAACGGGCGGGCCAGTCCATAGCATCAATGCCTTCCTCTTGCAGGAACTGCTGACACACTCCAGCCACATGAGGTCTAGCATTGTCTTGCATTAGGAGGAACCCAGGGCCAACCGCACCAGCATATGGTCTCACAAGGGGTCTGAGGATCTCATCTCGGTACCTAATGGCAGTCAGGCTACCTCTGGCGAGCACATGGAGGGCTGTGCGGCCCCCCAAAGAAATGCCACCCCACATCATGACTGACCCACCGCCAAACCGGTCATGCTGGAGGATGTTGCAGGCAGCAGAACGTTCTCCACGGCGTCTCCAGACTCTGTCACGTCTGTCACATGTGCTCAGTGTGAACCTGCTTTCATCTGTGAAGAGCACAGGGCGCCAGTGGCGAATTTGCCAATCTTGGTGTTCTCTGGCAAATGCCAAACGTCCTGCACGGTGTTGGGCTGTAAGCACAACCCCCACCTGTGGACGTCGGGCCCTCATACCACCCTCATGGAGTCTGTTTCTGACCGTTTGAGCAGACACATGCTGGAGGTCATTTTGCAGGGCTCTGGCAGTGCTCCTCCTGCTCCTCCTTGCACAAAGGTGGAGGTAGCAGTCCTGCTGCTGGGTTGTTGCCCTCCTACGGCCTCCTCCACGTCTCCTGATGTACTGACCTGTCTCCTGGTAGCGCCTCCATGCTCTGGACACTACGCTGACAGACACAGCAAACCTTCTTGCCACAGCTCGCATTGATGTGCCATCCTGGATGAGCTGCACTACCTGAGCCACTTGTGTGGGTTGTAGACTCCGTCTCATGCTACCACTAGAGTGAAAGCACCGCCAGCATTCAAAAGTTACCAAAACATCAGCCAGGAAGCATAGGAACTGAGACGTGGTCTGTGGTCACCACCTGCAAAACCAGTCCTTTATTGGGGGTGTCTTGCTAATTGCCTATAATTTCCACCTGTTGTCTATTCCATTTGCACAACAGCATGTGACATTTATTGTCAATCAGTGTTGCTTCCTAAGTGGAAGTTTGATTTCACAGAAGTGTGATTGACTTGGAGTTACATTGTGTTGTTTAAGTGTTCCCTTTATTTTTTTTGAGCAGTGTACATTTTGCCAAGTTGTCACTTAAAGGCCCAGTGCAGTCAAATTCAATTTTCCTGTGTTTTATATTATTCCATACTATGAGGTTGGAATTAGGGCTGTGGCGGTCAATACATTTGATTGTCAAGCAAAAACCTGACCGTTAATTAAGATAAACACATTTAGCATCTTCTGGCTTCCACGCATAGCCTACAAGCCACTGATGCAGACCTTTGGAACATCTACCATCTAAGAAATCAATGTAATATAACCTACACCATCACAATAAATCCATTATTTATTTTAGATAGGTCTAAAAAAAACATGAAGCCTGTTTCAGAAAAACAGAATAGCATACTCTGAGTTATTCAACAACCTCTCCCTCAATGTGAGCAAGACAAAGTAGCAGATCGTGGATTACAGGAAAAGGCGGGCCGAACATGCCCCCATTAACATCGATGGGGCTGTAGTGGAGCGGGTCGAGAGCTTCAAGTTCCTTGGTGTCCACATCACCAACAAACTATCATGGTCCAAACACACCAAGACAGTCGTGAAGAGGGCACGACAACACCTTTTCCCCTTCAGGAGACTGAAAAGATTTGGCATGGGTCCACAGATCCTCATAAAGTTCTACAGCTGCACCATCGAGAGCATCCTGACCGGTTGCATCACTGCCTGGTATGGCAACTGCTCGGCATCTGACCGTAAGGCGCTACAGAGGATAGCCCAGGACCTATATACTAGGCGGTGTCAGAGGAAGGCCCAAAAAATGGTCAAAGACTCCAGTCACCCAAGTCATAGACTGTTCTCTCTGCTACCGCACGGTAAGCGGTACTGGAGCGCCAAGTCTAGGACCAAAAGGCTCCTTAACAGCTTCTACCCCCAAGCCATAAGGCTGCTGAACAATTAATCAAATGACCACCTGGACTATTTACATTGACCCCCCCCCCCCCCCCCCTCTCCATTTGTTTTTACACTGCTGCTACACGCTGTTTATTATCTATGCATAGTCACTTTACCCCTACCTACATGTACAAATTACCTCGACTAACCTGTACCCCCGCACATTGACTCGGTACCGGTACCCCCTGTATATAGCCTCGTTATTGTTATTTTGTTACTTTTTATAATTTTTTTGTTAAGGGCTTGTAGGTAAGCATTTCTACACCTGTTGTATTCAGCGTATGTAACAAATAACATTTGATTTTAGTTGCCCTGATCTGGCTATGCCATATGGCTGTGGGCTACACTAGTTCATATAGCAGAAAAGATTTGCTTAGAATTCCGTGGCATTAAGCCTCCCAAGTGGCGCAGCGGTCTAAGGCACTGCATCGCAGTGCTTGAGGCATCACTACAGACCCGGGTTCGATCACGGGCTGTGTTGCAGCTGGCCGCGACCGGGAGACCCATGAGGTGGCGCACAATTGGCCCAGCGTCGTCTGGGCCAATTGTGCGCCTCCTCAAGGGGGAGGGTTTGGCCAGCCGGGATGTCCCTGTCCCATCGCGCTCTAGTGATTCCTGTGGCGGGCGCATGCACGCTGACACGGTCACCAGTTGTACGGTGTTTCCTTTGACAAATTGGTGTGGCTGGCTTCCAGGTAAAGCGAGCAGTGTGTCAAGAAGCAGTGCGGCTTGGCAGGGTCGTGTTTCGGAGGGCGCATGACTCTCGACCTTCGCCTCTCCTGAGTCCGTACGGGAGTTGCAGCGATGGGACAAGACTATAACTACCAATTAGATATCACGAAATTGGGGATAAAAAGGTGTTACATTTTTTTTACTAATTCCGTGCCATTATTTTATAGTATGAATAATACAATTGAACAAAGCTGAATAAAATAAAAAGGATATTGTCTCCAAACGATTTGAGGGAGTGCGGACATGCGGCTATTCTGTGTTGAGCGGTTAACCAAGAAATAGGTACTCCTATATGCTTAATTTAGAGTTATTAATGTAACTTTAGTTGTTCTACAAACGTTGGGCTATATGTTTTGATTTTTAATACATTCTAAGGCTGCATGGTGCGACTAATGATGATTTGAAAAAAGTCGCATGAAAGGCATGAGCTCTGTTAAGTTTTTTGCGCTGGCTGTACACACTTCATCAGTCTCTCATTCACAATTTGACAAGCACTTGATAATGCCTTACATTTCCGGCCTGCTAATATATAATTCACAAGTGATATGCTAATATTGTCACCCATCAGACTATTCTTGATTTAATCTTGTCTTTACATAAACCAAATAATATATATATATGTGTGAAATGTGTTTTGATTTAGAATGGACCATTATTATTATGCACGTCTCGAAACGGGCAGGGGAAAAAAGTCATCTATGCACTTAAATAGTAAATGGAGGACGCTATTCCCATGGTTCATTTTCATGCCATCCTGTTGTAAAGAGAAGCAATGTGCTTAATAAACAAATATAGTAGGCCTAGCCTATAGAAAGCTGATGAGATCCTATTTTTAAGAGTCCATCACTCTGTTTTCTCACGTAATTGCATAGCCTATAGAAATGTTGCGCAACATGAGCTCATGGGCTCTCATGAAGTGTTTGATTAGATTTTCAATTACATTTGCATTGATGTCAGAGTGATTAGAGGGACAATAGAGTGCTGAGTACCAGGCAGTTAGCAAGTTTGGTAGGCTACTAATGACCATCAGCAGCATCAGAGCTTGGAGAAGCCTAATTATCGTGACGTGGAATTTGTCTGCCATCAAGACTCGTGACCGCCAGTGTGGCAGTAATACGGTCACCTAACAGCCCTAGTTGGAATAATACTGTAAAATTGTGATGATGCCCTTTTTAGTGTAAGAGCTGTTTGAAAAGACCACCTGAAATTACAGCCTGTTTTGGTGGGATGGTGTAATCACCAGGCGGTAAATGAGTTAATAGACCAATAAAAAATAGTTCCAAAACAGGAACAGGTCATTTTCAGTTTCCCACTCCCAGCCAGTCCTTGCAAAATTCTTGTTTCAGAAATTGCTATTTTTGACCATTTTAATGATTTTGACTTTGAGATTTAAAAAAAAAACATCTGCATTGGACCTTTTTTTAATGCATTTTACCCATTTCCTCCATTGTGTTTCCACAGAAAAAGGCTTTTGAGGAAGACCGTGCCTCGTGGCACAAGAATCAGTTCTTGAACATCACTCCATTTGTGGACCGAAAACGACATTCTGCATCAGAAACTCCACGTGCCTTATCAACCAGTAAGTCATATATTTATGCTGCAGCATAGAAAAAAAAAAGTACATTAATATTCTGATGTGTGGTTTGTTTTATGCATGGTTGGTCACAATTGTGTTTTCCTTTCTAGGTAGTGAGCCCGAGATGAGGATCCCATCCACTCCAGCCAGGCTGACCAAATCCCGGACGTACGCTGCATTCTCCACTCCTAAAGCTGCCCCTGTCGCTGGCATGCCCTCCACAGCTGATCTCTACCGCACACTACGCCTCATACCAGACAGCAGCAGGTGCTCTATCCCAGCTCGCTATTGTCATAAAGTCGGTCATTTAGGTTTTTGACACATTTTAGTGATTTAGCAGACGCTCTTATCCAGAGCGACTTACAGTTAGCGAGTGCATACATTTTCATACTGGCCCCCCGTGGGAAACGAACGGCGTTGCAAGCGCCATGCTCTACCAACTGAGCTACACGGGGCCATACACGTGTTTCAAGTTTTATTAGTCGTATGTATGGGATACGCATGGTATACATCGTTTAACGAAATGCTTACTAGCAAGTTCCTTCTCGAAATTGCAACAACGATAAGAAATAATAAAAGATAAGAATACGAACGTATAGTAAATGGCTTAGTGTCAATCAATCTAATGTATTTATAAAGCCCTTTTTACATCAGCAGATGTTACAAAGTACCCAGCCTAAAACCCCAAACAGCAAGCAATGCAGATGTAGAAGCACGGCGGCTAGGAAAAACTCCCTAGAAAGGCAGAAACCTAGGAAGAAACCTAGAGAGGAACCAGGCTCTGAGGGGTGGCCAGTCCCCTTCTGGCTGTGCCGGGTGGAGATGATAAGAGTACATGGCCATTAAGGCCAGATTTTTCTCCAAGATGTTGCAACAGGTCAGTACATCAGGAGTAAATGTCACTTGGCTTTTCATAGCCGGGCATTTCGAGGTTGAAATAGCAGGTGCGGTAGAGAGAAAGAGTTGAAAACAGCAGATCTGGGACAAGGTTGCACGTCCGGTGAACAGGTCAGGGTTCCATAGCTGAAGGCAGAAGTGTTGAAACTGGAGCAGCAGCACGACCAGGTGGACTGGGGACAGCAAGGAGTCATCAGGCCAGGTAGTCCTGAGGCACTGTCCTATGGCTCAGGTCCTCCGAGAGGTGAGAGAGAATTAGAGGGAGCATACTTAAATTCACACAGGACACCGGATAAAACAGGAGAATAACACCAGATATAACAGACTGACCCTAGCCCCCCGGCACATAGACTATTTCAGCATAGATACTGGAGGCTGAGACGGGTCGGGAGACACTGTGGCCCCGTCCGACTATACCCCCGGACAGGGCCAACCAGGCAGGATATAACCCCACCCACTTTGCCAAAGCACAGCCCCCACACCACTAGAGGGATTTCAACAGACCACCAATCTACTACCCTGAGACAAGGCTGAGTATAGCCCACAAAGATCTCCTCCACTGCACGAGCCCGAGGGGGCGACAAACCGGACCGGAAGATCACGTCAGTGACAACCCTCCTAGGGATGGCATGGAAAGCACCAGTAAGCCAGTGACTCAGCCCCCGTAATAGGGTCAGAGGCAGAGAATCCCAATGGAGAGACGGGAACCGGCCAGGCAGAGACAGCAAGGGCGGTTCGTCGCTCCAATGCCTTTCCGTTCACCTTCGCACCCCTGGGCCAGACTACACTCAATCATAGGACCTACTGAAGAGATGAGTCTTCAGTAAAGACTTAAAGGTCGAGACCGAGTCTGCGTCTCTCACATGGATAGGCAGACCATTCCATAAAAATGGAACTCTATGGGAAAAAGCCCTGCCTCCAGCTGTTTGCGTAGAAATTCAAGGGACAGTAAGGAGGCCTGCGTCTTGTGACCATAGCGTACGTGTAGGTATGTACGGCAGGACGAAATCGGAGAGATAGGTAGGCGCAAGCCCATGTAATGCTTTGTAGGTTAGCAGTAAAACCCTGAAATCAGCCCTAGCCTTAACAGGAAGCCAGTGTTAGAGGCTAGCACTGGAATCATTTACATTTTACATTTTAGTCATTTAGCAGACGCTCTTATCCAGAGCGACTTACAGTTAGTGAGTGCATACATTATTTTTTTATACTGGCCCCCCGTGGGAATCAAACCCACAACCCTGGCGTTGCAAACACCATGCTCTACCAACTGAGCTACATCCCTGCCGGCCATTCCCTCCCCTACCCTGGACGACGCTAGGCCAATTGTGCGCCGCCCCATGGGTCTCCCGGTCGCAGCCGGCTACGACAGAGCCTGGATTCGAACCAGGATCTCTAGTGGCACAGCTAGCACTGCGATGCAGTGCCTTAGACCACTGCGCCACTCGGGAGGTTATAATATGATCAAATGTTTTGGTTCTAGTCAAGATTCTAGCAGCCGTGTTTAGCACTAACTGAAGTTTATTTAGTGCTTTATCCGGGTAGCGGGAGAGTAGAGCATTGCAGTAGTCTAATCTAGAAGTGACAGAAGCATGGATGAGCTTTTCTGCATCATTTTTGGACAAACACTTTTCTGATTTTTGCAATGTTACAAAGATGGAAAAAAGCTGTCCTTGAAATATTATTGATATTACAATAGAATAAGCTGTGTGTGTGAGAAATGTCAATCAGTGTCTTAAACCAGTGCTGGGAAGTAAATCAAATCAGTAGGATAATCACAAATCAAATTTTATTGGTCGCATACACATATTTAGCAGATGTCATTGCGGGTGTAGTGAAATGCTTGTGTTCCTAGCTCCAACAGTGCAGTAGTATCTAACAATTCACAACAATACAAATCTAAAGTAAAATATAGAAATATTAGGATCAGCAACTCGGTAGTGAGTGTTGCAACCGACGACAGACTATTTTTATGCGCTTCAGCACTCGGCGGTCCCGTTCTGTGAGCTTGTGTGGCCTACCACTTCGCGGCTGAGCCATTGTTCCTCCTAGACATTTCCACGTCACAATAACAGCACTTACAGTTGACCGGGGCAGCTCTAGCGGGGCAGAAATTTGATCAACTGACTTGTTGGAAAGGTGGCATCCTATGACAGTGCCACGTTGAAAGTCACTGAGCTCTTCAGTAAAGCCATTTTACTGCCAATGTTTGTCTATGGAGTTTGCATGGCTGTGTTAAAACAGTATGTAAACATTATTAAAGTGACCAGTGTTCTATTATTAAAGTGACCAGTGTTCCATGTCTATGTACATAAGGCAGCAGCCTCTAACATGCAGGGATGAGTAACCAGGTGGTAGCTGGCTAGACAGTGACTAAGTTCAGGGCAGGGTACTTGGTGGAGGCTATTTAACAGTCTGATGTCCTTGAGATAGAAGCTGTTTTTCAGTCTCTCTGTCCCAGCTATGATGTACCTGTACTGACCTCGCCTTCTGGATGATAGCGGGGTGAACAGGCTGTGGCTTAGGTCCTTGATGATCTTCTTGGCCTTCCTGTGACACCGGGTGCTGTAGATGTCTTGAAGGGCAGGCAGTGTGCTCTCGGTGATGCGTTGGGCTGACCGCACCACCCTCTGGAGAGCCCTGCAGTTGGGGACGGTGCAGTTGCGGTAATACAGCCCGACAGGATGCTCTCAATGGTAGATCTGTGTAAGTGTGTGAGGGTCTTAGGGGCCAAGCCGAATTTCTTCAGCCTCCTAAGGTTGAAGAGGCGCTATTGAGCCTTCTTCACCACACTGTCTGTGTGAGTGGACCATTTCAAATTGTCAGTGATTTGTACTCCGAAGAACTTGAAGATTTTCACCTTCTCCACTGCAAGGCTCTCTTTCCATGTGTTTTGTGATCAACCCTTGTTTGTGCTTTATTCCTCAGCTCTTCCAGAGGCAGTTCAAAGCGAGGGAGCTGGCAGGAGTTCAACAACTTCCACAGTAGAGAAGATCCTCGGGTCAGGTCCAGGGACAGATACGGAGGTGGAGACTGCTGCAGTATCTTCTCGCTAGGGTCAGAGGAAACAGCCTCACCTGAAGACACACTCCAGTGACATATTACTGTGGACTCAACAGACCACTCAGATGGCAGTCCATGGCCGTGTTCATTAGGCACCAAACAGAAGAAAATGGACTGAAACGGAAGGACTACCTTGATTTGTCCAATATGTCGCACTCATTTTCATTTCCCATTGGGTGCCCTAATGAACATGACCTATGTTTCAACGCCACCACTGTCTCAGGATGAACAGTGGTACATCGGTGTTCACCAAAACTCGATTCAATCAGAGAGCACTTTAATGAACATGCTGATTTATTTTTCTTCTTTATTTTATATTTCGATTTTTACTAAGCAAAGCATCTCCAAGTCTCTAAGCTTTTGTGAAGTGGCAGCCAAACCTTAATTTGGGTAAATCAGGGTTCTGCTTCCACCAATTCGGTGCCTTTTGATAACTGTAACTTGGTCAACTTTTGTCACATAACTTTAACATTCTGTCACATGTTAATTTTATTTTTTACACTTTTTCCCATCTCAAGAGGTGTTACATTTTACAAATTATTATAGTAAGTGCTTCAGTGCCAAATAAAGTTACAGGGTTGACGATGTCATCTTATATCAGCCATAAATCCCCTTGTGACGGGGAATGGAAGCTTGTTGTGTGCAACAGGGAGTGGCAATTGAATGCAAGCTTCACAATTTTTTTTATTGTTAAAACATTTCTAGCCTGTATCTATGTGTAACAGGGTTGACTTGTTACGCTCGACCCGCTCAGTCTTCCACTACAAAACACCAGAAAATGGCCAAAAATAATAGAACCAGGCCACCTGCTTTTACACTATGATTACTATTAGATGTTCAATGTTTCTTTAGATCTTTTTTTTTTTTAAGGATTAGTTTCACTATTAAAATGAGTTCAGTTCACATAACAGGGTTGACCTTAAAATGAGGGACAGACAAATGAATCACTAATCACATTAAATAAATAATAATATTCAGAAATGGCTGTCAAAGCAACAATAACTAGGGCTTTACAATGATGGTGAAAACTTGGAGAAATGTTGGGGCTAAATGGGTTAAAATCTTCCGAGAAGTTACTGACGGTGCATGGAGGGATATATCAAAATGCTGAATTTTGGCACTTTAGCAAGTCTTTACTCATATTAAAAATAGCATTTATTTTATTCTCCATGCTATGTTAAAGAGCACTTCATTTAATATAACTGGGTTCTAAAATACAAAATGAGTGCACAATTTCTTCTTAAACAGAAAATCCACTCGAACTATCTTTCTGTATTTTTTTCATTAGTCGACTGTTGATACGGTCCCAAAATGTTTTGCATGTGAAGTTTAAGATATTGGACTTTCAAGAGACTCAAAAGGCACTATTTTTGTGGAACGACCCAGATATTTTCCAATTTGGGAAAAGCTACTGCCTAGTCATGAATGTTTACACATTGTTTTCTCTCCAGATCATGAATATTATTTTAATGAACTTTATTCTAAATGTTTAAAATGTAAAGTGATATGCTGCTCTGAAACTGCAATAAATGTATTTATTTTTATATATCTGACATCTCTTCAACATCTTGTGCTTGGTGTTTGGCACCCCTTAGCGGTTCATGACAGGAGTCATGAAGATGGCGCCGTACTGTATGGCTGCCGTCTTGCGAGCTCCGACCCAACTTTGCTATTATGTAATTATTTTGGCATTTTATCTTTATCTTTTTTTTGCACTAAATGTATCCGTTATCACTTCTTATGATCGATAACTTTTGAACATCAAATCGTCAGTTACTAACCTAAATTCTGGTTTCAACTTCGACTCATCTGCTCTGGGCTCTTAGTGTAGTTCCGACCAAATTTTTGGGCTACCTAAGAGGAATAGCCGGTGAAAAAGAGGCAGGAGAGGGAGTCCTGGCGAGATTAAGGCAAAGGGAAAACCGGCCACCTCTTCCCTCCATTCTATTGGCCAATAGAGTTAATCTTGATAATAAGATGGATGACCTCCGATTGCGGATTTGCTTTCAACGGGACTCTGGTAACTGCAATATTCTCTGCTTTTCTGAAACATGGCTGTTGTGGAAATTCCTTTAGAGGGACATTCAAAGTCAATCTTAAATTAATCATTGTTTATAGTCAGCGCGCTGGAGAGGTTCCAACCAACTCAATGCACCATATGTACGTACACATGCGATCAGGAGCTCTTCCGGGGCAGTCCCGTTAGATCTATTGTATACAGACAAGTTATATTTGCATGATGTAGCTTATTCATTCATAATTCATCATTAACGTTTGCTTCATTCATGTGACCGACCAATACTGGGTCATGCATGTGACAGACCAATATCTCACGAGGCTTCTCTCTAAGCTGAGACCTTGAAACTGAGATATTGTTCTCAAAACAAGGGTCTGGGCGTACTGCCAAATTGCAGATACTAATAGTGAGGATTCGTTCAATCAGTCACTTGCATGAACACAGACAACGGTATTAGAAAAGCACAAACATAGAACACAGAAATGTATAAATAGAAAAGCACCAACAATTTTCCATCACATGTTTTTCGGACAAGATACCCCCCATGTTTATCCAACTCAATGGATTCACCGAGCGGACAGGACATTGGATTCAGGGAAATCGAGAGGGGTATGCCTCTTCATCAACAGCAAATGGTTTGCTGTCTCTAGCACAGTGGAATACCTGATGGTCAAATGCCTATCCTTCTACCTTCCGAGAGAGTTTTCAGCTGTTATCGTGACTGCTGTATACACAGAGTATACCAAACATTAGGAACACCTTCCTAATATTGAGTTGCACCCCCCTTTTGCCCTCAGAAAGGTCTAAATTCGTTGGGACATGGACTCTACAAGGTGTCAAGCGTTCCACAGGGATGCTTGCCCATGTTGACTCCAATGCTTCCCACAGTTGTCAAGTTGGCTGGATGTCCTTTGGGTGGTGGACCGTTCTTGATACACATGGGAAACTGTTGAGCTTGGAAAAACCCTGCAGTGTTGCAGTTCTTGACACAAACTGGTGTGCCTGGCACGTACTACCATACCTCGTTCAAAGGCACTTCAATATTTTGTCTAGCACATTCACCCTCTGATTGGCACACATACACAATCCATGTCTCAAGGCTTAATAATCATTCTTTAACCTGTCACCTCCCCTTTCATATACACTGATTTGAAGTGGATTTAACAAGTGACATCAATAAGGGATCATAGCTTTCACCTGGTCAGTCTCATGGAAAGAGCAGGTGTTCATGTTTTGTATACTCTGTATATTCCGCCTCAGGACACGAAAAACAACAAGCTGGCACATAACGAACTGTACAAGGCTATAAACAAGCAGGAAACCATGCAAGGGTAGGCTGCTTTTCTGGTTGCCGGTGATTTTAATTCCTCATTATTTAAAGACACGTGATGCCAACTTCCATCCACACGTCTCCTTCGTCACTAGGAGCGATAAAGACCACTGTTATTCTACCCACAAGCAAGCATACAAGCCCCCCTTTGGTAAATCAGATTATGACTCTATACTCCTGCTTCCTTTGAAGTGAAAACGTGTTTTTAGAATTTGTTTGCAAATTTATTGAAAATGAAATACTGATCTAATTTACATAAGTATTCACACCCCTGAGTTATTACTTTGTAAAAGCACCGTTGGCAGCGATTACAGCCTTGTCATCTTGGGTATGTCTATCAGCTTTGCATATCTGGATTTGGGGATTTTCTCTCATTTATCTTTCAAGCTTCCATGAGGCGGCGCACAATTGGCCCAGCGTCGTCCGGGTTAGGGGAGGGTTTGTCCGGCCGGGATTTTCCTTGTCCCATCGCGCTCTAGCGACTCCTTGTGGCGGGCCAGGCACCTGCAAGCTGACTTCGATCGCCAGCTGGACAGTGCTTCCTCCGACACATTGGTGCAGCTGGCTTCCGGGTTAAGCGAGCAGTGTGTCAAGAAGCAGTGCGGCTTGGCAGGGTCGTGTTTCGGAGGACGCATAGCTCTCGACCTTCGCCTCTCCCAAGTCCGTAGGGGACTTGGGAGAGGCGAAGGTCGAGAGCCATGCGTCCTCCAAAAATCAATTTTAGAATAAGGCTGTAACGTAACAAAATGTGGAAAGAGTCAAGGGGTCTGAATACTTTCCGATTGCACTGTATGCCTCATCACAATTGTATCTCGGAGATCTATGGACCATTCCTTGGACTTCATGGTATAGTTTCTGCTCTGACATGCGCTGTCAACTGTGGGACCTTGTATAGACAGGTATTTCTTTAAGTCTTCTATGATACCATGGCGGTCCGCAAACAATCGTTTAAGTGCATGCCGCCACCTACTGTGCTAGAATGTATGATCAATCATGATCTGCCCAATTCTGTACTACCATGAAAAAAAAAATTCTAAACCAAATAAATCCCTAACTTCTACCACACCCTCCCCCAAAACCATTCAACTTTATATCATGCTGAAACACTCCACCCTTAGGATTGTTCAGCATGTCAACAACCATTTCAACAGTAACATCTGTTACCCCCAATATCGCTTTCGCAGTCTCCACAATAACCTTCAACCTGCCATTTCTTCTTTCCACAACCCGAGTCATATTGATAACCTTACCAATAAAAGCGTCCTTTGACACCACACATTCATGAGCACAAGATTTCTGAACAGGCCTCGAAACCATGCCAAGACCATCAGAAGCACCAGCCCCGACAGTAGGTCCACTTACTACAGGTACATCCATGTAAGCTCCATCAGTCCGCACTGTAGTTCTACCAATCTGTTTTATGGCCTCTGCATATGATACATCATATTGACTGATCCTTTATCTTTGAGCCTCTCTCTTTACCTGGCATCCACCAAATGCTACACTGTTCTCCCCACAATTACAGCACTTAACCTTCACATTGCTTCCACATTCACCGTAATCATGTGCTCCTCCACACTTGGCACATCTTTTCTTTCCTTTACACTGAGCAGCTACATGTCCCATTCTTTGGCATTTCAAACAC